TCAGCTCGGCTTTGGACTGCTCGGTTGCCATTGCCGGCATCGTCATTTTCTTCGCCATCTTCTACACTGGTGCTTCCAAGAAACTCAGTTGGTGGGGTACCGAGGTTCATCAAGTAAGTCGACTACACCCTGGAACAAATTGGTCAATGGATGCAGTATAATGACCATGACGCCATGCAGGATACTTGTGACTGGAAGAGCTGCACTTACATGAGCCGAAGCGCACATAAGAGTGCCTGATTAAGGCTGCTCATATAGACCTTGAAATTGGTGGGCGGACAATCGGGGGATTTTGTGTAGGAAATCCTCGGTGCTGGTGCCTCCCCCGGGCTAGAGAGTTTGGGAATATGTTTGCTTTGCAATCCCATGTCCGACTTCAATCGTAAATGAAAAGCATTCAATGTGACTAAAGAGTAGTAGAAGGTGCTCTTTGCATCGACTCTGAATGTGACAAAGGAAACATTGCATGTTGACGACTGCCGAGACTATGCTGCCCACTGCTGCTTATGATCACGGACAGTGGCCGGAGTCGTCATGTGCAGTTTTACGGTGTCTGATACCAGGATTCTGCCAGGTTCATCAGTGGTTCTAGACATGTTATTATCCTTTCGCTCCATACACACAGCCTTGCTCGAAGAAGATGTTGAAGCGGGCAATTCAACAGCTCATCGCTGGTGGATGATGATACATTCATTTTACCTACAGAGGATGAGCCAAATGAGAGGTCCGACGCGTGTATCCGCCAGGGGCCATCCGTAGGGTTTAGTAAGATTATTGGCCCATTTCTGTTATCACCGTGCACGCAGCAATTAAGATGTTGACTGGGTGGGTTCAACAACCGCGGGTCCCTCCGCTTCCCCTGCGCCACGTAAGAGCGACGAAGCGAGGCGGTTCAATGTCAGACCGAAGAAGAGCGAAGGATGCGCCAGGAATGTAGTGGCGGTCTTAGCGTGGTTGATCGGTGCAACTCTTTTCTGGAACTCCCTCCCTGCGGCAAGCCTCCCGCTGCTCCCCCTCTCCATCTTTTGCACCACCAGACTCCGACCGTACTGCCATGAGTTGTGGCTGTGGCGCAAACGCATACGCACTTCGTTGAGGTTGCTCCGTCGAGCGGTGAAATCAAGCTCACCGTGGCGCCACGCAGCAGATCAGTGCGTGAGACAACGGCCGCTTGCTGAGAATGTCGGCGCAACAGATATCCATGAGGCGTTGTTCGCAACGCCAGCCGCCGGTCTCTTGAAGCCGACCCGCATCGCGAGAGTCACGGCCCAAGAAAGATGATGTTGCTACACAGGCTGGGGACGAGTCAAATCTAGTATAAGTAATGAACGAGGTAACGCCAAGATGCTGTACTTCTAGGAATTGAAACTATACGATCAACAAGAAGAGACTCAATCACTTTCGAGACCAGCTTCCAACTGCCGCTTCACCTTCACCAAACATATTCCATCACTTCAAACTTCAAACTTCATTCCAGGCCTCACACCCAGCATGTCTGCGACCACCATCCGCAAGGCCGTTATCACGGAATTCGGCGATGTCTCCAAGGTCCAAATCATCCAGGACACCATCAAGTCGCCGCCGGCAAATCACGTCCAGGTCGCAACCATCTACTCCGGCTTCTCGGGCGCCGACATCAATATGCGCAAGGGCGTCTACCCATTGCAGAAAAAGGCCCCGCTGACACCGGGCTACTGCCTCGTCGGCACCGTCAAGGCCAACGGTCCCGGCGCATCCAGCTTCTCACCGGGCGACCTCGTTGCCTGCCTCACAATCTACGACGCCGAAGCCGAGCTGGTCAACCTGCCCGAAAAGTACCTCATCAAAATACCCCCCGGCACCGACCTGCAGCAGGCTACAGCGCTGATCCTGGACTGGAACACGGCGTACGCCATGGTCTTTGACGCTGCCAAAGTCACTAGAGGTCAGCGTGTCTTTATCCACGGCGTCAGCGGCGCCGTCGGCTACGCGCTCATGAAGCTGTGCCAGCTGCAGGGCGCCGAGGTCTACGGCACGGCGTCGGAGCGGAACCACGCCGCCGCCCGGGAGCAGGGGGCCCACCCCTTCGTGTACACGGACAAGGAATGGATCCGGGCCGTGACGGAGCTCGGCGGGGCGGACGCCGTGTTCGATCCCCTGGGGTTCGAGAGCTGGGACGAGTCGTTTTCGATCCTGTCGCCCACCGGTATCCTGGTGGGGTACGGCGGCAATCTGCGCTCGCTGACTGACGATTCCGGGCATGGCTCTGTGATTATGCCGACGCTGAAGCTCGTGGCGCGCGGGATGGTGCCGTTTTGCGGCAAGAGGACCAAGTTTTATTACATTACGCGCGATGATGCGACGTTTGAGCCGAACTTGAGGGCTTTGATTGAGTTGGTGGCTCAGGGCAAGATTACCGTTCCCATTAAGAAGGTGTGGGAGCTCGAGGATATCCAGGATGCCCATCGCCAGTGGGCGAGCAGCGCGGGGGTTGGATCGTCGCTCATTCGGCTGTCGGGTGTGAAAGCTTGATGATTATGAATGTGTGAGTGAGTGAGTGAGTGAGTGAGTGAGTGAGTGGGTGAGTGAGTGTGTACAAGAATTTGCAAGCAGGCGTTTTGGCGTTGTCATGGGTTATTCGTGTATTCCCATAGTGGTGGACATTTAATGATAGAAGTAATTCCTAAATGATTCGTTTGAAGGATCCGGCAAACTCTCCATTGCCTTGGTTGTTTATTCACCTTCCCGATTCCGCTTGGCGGCGTCCAACATGGGCTGTTGTATTCGACAAAAGGCGCGTAGGACGGGATCATTGTACGCCGCGCTGACAGGCAGGCCATGCTGACGCAGCAAAACGCAGTTCGCTTGCTCATCTCATTCTCAGGGCCCTTGAAAGCTTCCCCTCATCACACGCCGTTCATCTTCACCTCAATTGTGCCGAACGGCACCGTCCCTGACACTAATAGGTTGAAGATATAAAACGAAGCGCGCGCGAGGTGATTGGCGACAGTGAACCGAAGCCAGACACGTCTCTTTTCTCTCATCTTCCCATCATCTACTCAGGTCAATTGCGCCGGGGTACCCGTCAATTCTTCACACGGCAATTGCTTCATCACACATCCCCCCCGGCTTCCATCACAATGAGGTTATCAATTGGCCTGGCCGCCGTCGCAGGCGTCATTGGCCTCGCCGGTGCCGAAGGCGGCGACCCTCCCAAAATGACCGACTTTGACTGGAAGACCATCACGCCGTCACGCAAGCTGGAATACCACCCGTGCTACAAGGACCACCAATGCGCTCGCCTCACCGTCCCCCTCGACTGGCTCGACGAGACAAACGAGCACACCGTGGCCCTCGCAATCGTCAAGCTCCCTGCCACCGTCCCCGACGACGACCCGGCCTTTGGCGGCACCGTCTTCACCAACCCGGGCGGACCCGGCGGCTCCGGTGTGAGCCTGCTCCTCCGCCAGGGCCACGCCATGCGGCGCCAGCTGAGCGGCGGCAACAAAAAGTACGAGATGCTCAGCTGGGACCCGCGCGGCGTGCAGTTTACGACGCCGGTGGCCGACTGCTACGAGGACGAGCTCGCCAGGGACACGGACGGCATCCAGCGCCTGGCCATCGGGCCGCTCGACGCCAGCCCGGACGCGTTTAGAAGGCAGTGGGCAAGGGTTCAGGGGTACGGCAGGCTTTGCACGGAAAAGCTCGGCAATGGCTCCATTATCCCCTACGCGACGACGGCGTCGGTCGTTCGCGACATGGTGGAGATGGTGGATAAGATTGATGAGCTTCGTACTGAACAGGCGGCGGCCTCTCGGCCGCAGCAGTCGCTCGAGCTCCGGAAGGTCAAGGACGTGCCGCGCATTCAGTACTGGGGCTTCTCCTACGGCAGCATCCTCGGCAATACGTTTGCTTCCATGTACCCCGGGCGCGTGGGCCGGCTCATCGTTGATGGCATCGCCGATGCAAATGACTACATGGCAGGCGTAAGTGTATACCCCGTTCGTCGTCCGCCTCTTCGCGCCGCGGCTGATACCATGTGACTATCCAGGGCTGGAAGACCAACCTTCAAGACACGGAGAAGCTTGTCGACTATTTCTACGAGACATGCTTCAAATCCGAGGGCAAGTGCGCGCTCAGCCGGCCTTCGGACAAGAAGTGGCAGGACATCCGAGACCGGGTCGACAAGCTCGTGAAACACCTCAACGAAGCACCCGTCGCGGTCCTCGACGGCAAAGCCACCAACATCCTCACAGGCTACGACGTCACCCTCTCCTTCAAGAACCCGCTCTACGCGCCCTACAGCCGCTTCATCAAGCTCGCCTCCCAAATCAACGCCGCCATCGAGGGCAACTACACCGCCCTCCTGCAGTCCGTCTCCGCCGAGATCCCCAAGCTCGACCAGGCCTGCACCCACCCCAACGCGACCGACCTGCCCCTCTCCTGGGGCGACGGCGGCCAGGCCGTCCTCTGCGGCGACGGCGAGGACAACTCCGATTCCTCCCTCGCCGACTACAGGGCCTACGTCGCGGAGCTCGAGCACCAGTCCCCGACGTTTGCGGGATACTGGTCCCAGATCCGCTTCGCTTGCACGAGCTGGCTCGTCCGTCCCAAGTGGCGCTTTACGGGGCCGTTCTCGACGCCCCCGCACGACGCCGCGCTGGTGGAGGGACGGCCCGCGGCGCCGCTGCTCTTCTTGTCTTCGCGGCTCGATCCCGTCACGCCGTTGAGGAACGCGTGGAGGATGAGTGAGGGGCACCCCGGGTCGGCTGTCGTGATTCAGGAGTCTGTGGGCCATTGTGCCCTGGCTGCGGGCAGCAAGTGCACGACAAAGATCATTCGGGAGTATCTGGAGCATGGCACGGTGCCGGAGAGCGGGACGGTTTGCGAGGCTGATTGTGGTCCCTGGGATGGCGATGCCTGTGACTCGGAGAGCTTGAGTATCAACGTGGCGCCTCTCGCGCCGCCGCATGATAGGTCTCATCACCTTGCCTATTAGATAGTAAGGGAGTAAACAGGAATTTTAAGCGAAAAAGCCATTGCTCGGGAAGAGGTATTCGAAAATGTGCTTCCAAGTGGGTGAGTATGGGCATACGGGTACGGTAGCTACCTTACCTTGCATGTAGGGCCATGTAGTGTCCAGGTGTCGAGACGACACCGACGAAATCAAACATAGCCACAGCTCAACGATTTTCAACGGAATGCAAGACGTTGGAGCTTAAAGTTTAAACTCTTGCAAAAATGCTACTTCCAAGAAACACTTCATCACGATTGGATGCATGCCTCGTAGGTCCCACGACTGATCGCTGAATGCAGATGTCAGACGCACGTCTGGTAGACCGGAGCTGAGGCCGATCCCACAGCCAGCTTCCGAAATTGACGTCAACTGCTGGGCTATGCCGTCACTTGGATGGAAAATTGTACCCTGGATTCACTCAAATAAGGGAAAAATACTGGTGTTTGGAACCACCGTCTTCGACTGCCATGTTTGCCGGCGCATCACAGCCAACTGCCATGTCTTATCCTTCAAAACTCCCACACCGACTTCAAGGTTACACCTGCTGGAAGGCCCGACTGAGACATGATACCAGATAGACGTCAGTTCCATGCTTGGTACGATGTGCAGGGCGACCCCTCCCCTTCCGCCCTAATACGAGCTTCCCATCTGCCCTCGGAATCCGGGATCTGAGCTTCCCAAGACCCAGCTTTGGACCAGGCGGTCGATCAACCTGCATGCATCCGAGGATACGATTGCCCTACCTTTAACGCCCGGTAAAAAAGGGTTGCCCAACAAAATCTGGTCAAGCCTCCCACAAAACGAGTTCCACATTCCCCTCCATGCCGATGCCATTTTCAGCTTCTGCCTGGGGCTTCATACGCTAGTGACCCAGTCAGCCCGAGGATCAATCTGCTCTAGTGTCTTGCGGGGAGATCGTGGCATTGGTTCGACTGGCGCCACATTTGGGACGTTTCTCCTCGTTTTCTACCACAACCTTTTTTTTTTACGAGATCGATCGGCATTGGCTGTGGCGTGGAAGGAGGAACAACGACGAGGAGAGTACGGCTGAGATCCTGCTGCATCGTGAAGCTGTTTGACAAGGGACGAAAATACCTCTCGAGGCATGGACCATGTGAGTTCGTATTCGTCGTACGGGGTCATGCTCGAGAGGGCCCGACATGGACGGTTGTGGGAGGACGAGTGCTGATCGTACAGCAGCGCAGGCGCCGCAGTGGCCTACGCGACGGATAGTCCAGCCATCTTTTCTTGCTTGCGAAGTCGAGAGGACGCGGTTCAGGTCATCAGGTAGAGTCTCTGGAGGACTATAAAGACGCTCATTAGAGCTCGCTGAAGGAAAGAACACCATCAAGGCAGTCAGTCTCATCACTTTCCCATCCCACATCAGCACAATCACACACCTCTATCTTACCCTTACTCCGACATCACAAAGTTCACCATGAAGCTCACAGTGCTCTTGACTTCAATCTCTTTTATTCTCCCTTCCATCTCTCACCCGCTTGAAGAGCGAGACGGCCCTCAAACTGTCCACCTAACCTTCCACGGCGGCCCTGCGTCCTACGAGATGACGATCCCCGCTGATGGACAGGTGTATCCCACCAGTCAGTTTCCCAAAAGAGACCTCTCGGCACGTTGAGAAAATGAAATGGCTGACCTCCCCCCAACACGCAGATAACGACATCGCAGTCAACATCATCGACGCGCCAGATTACAACGCCCTCTCCCAGTGCACATTCTACACAAACGGCGAGAAGGCCCTGGTCGGCGGCATCACGCCCCAGGGCCTCCAACAGGTCATCATCGGACCCCCGCAGCCCGTCACCGGCGTCAGCTGTCTCGGGATCTGTGTCCCGGTGTACGGGGAGTGCTACGACCTCAATGAGCAGTATGTCGGGCCGTGCTGTAACGGCTTCTGCGCGGCGACGCGGTGCAGGCCGTGGATTCAGCCTTATTAGCAAGGAGAAACTACGGCATGTTCGAACATTTGACTTGCCTGGACTTTGGGGCGTTTGATTTGGTGAGACAGACGTAATCGGGCTTTTGCATTTGTTGTCAGGGTCATACTCCATGGCTGAATCTCTTAGACCTGGGTTGTGTCCATTTAGTTTCAAGCTTGATTAGTTAATCAAAACACATGAGAGTGAGGAATTTGTATTTGTAAGGACGATGCCGGCGTTGATCAGAATGAGGCGGGATGATTCGGCATCTCCCCATCCTTGGTCCCCGGGACGGGAATATGGGGCCGGTGCCGGCCCCGATGCCCGGAAGCGGGTCAGGGGTCGGGTCCAGATCTTCGGCCTGAAGTCGATCCATGATCACTTGGGCTTTTTTGTTGGCTTACTCTAGGAAATCCGGCCCGTGATGCCTAGCCTTTGACTTGATTGATCAGGTTAAACGGCTTGTGCTGACAGGATTACCACTCCGCAGACAAAAACGCGTTCATTGCATTTCTAATCATGATTGCTTCAAGCCGGGTCATCGTATGGCCATAGATGCTTGGTCATACGTCTAGCTCGAGTCATCGTATGTGAAATTTGGTCTCTTGAACATCTATTTAATGAACGAGTCGCCCGCAATGTTGTGTGTAAAGTAATCTATCAGTCATTGTCATTCCCAACCTCGAGCTATCAAAACAACTCCAACGATGGCAATGGAGTTCAACCCAAGCCGTTCAGTCTTGCACAACGAGGACTGCGACATCCACTACTGGTTCCAAGGCAAAGGCCCGCTCATTGTCTTCATCCCAGGAGGCAACGGCCATGGACGGCAGTATGACACAATCATCACCGCGTTGTCGGATAGATACACCTGCGCCACATTCGACCGTCGCCAAATGTCCGCGAGCCAAGCCAAGGTGAACAAGAGGCTCCACCCACCACAGCAAGCCCGAGATATTCGCGCCATTATCAAGACCCTCGGCTTCGACAAAGCCACTCTCTTCGGGAGTAGCATGGGCGGTATTCTCGCGTTCCAGTTCGCCATCGACTTCCCTGACATGGTCGAGCACATCATCTCCCACGAAGCGCCGACCTTCATGCTGTTACCCAACGCCACCGAGATCTTTGAATTCTTGTATAATTGTCTCGAGATATATGAGGCTTTGGGCGTCGATGCTGCGCAGGCGGAGTTCAGCTCCAGACTTGTCGGTTACTTTGACGAAGGCGTTCCTCGGACGGGGCCGTCGGATCCGATGAACCCCCCTAATCACTGGGCCAACGAGTTTGCCGTCTTGCTGGGCTATTTGCCGAGTTTGTATCGCATCAAGGAGAACGGGACGAGTGTCGGGTTGATGAGGGGCATTCGGAGCAGAGAGGCGTGGTACGCCCAAGCGGTCGATGAGCAGGCAAAGATCCTGGAGTGTCCCAAGCTTGACGTCGCAGGTGCCCACGAGGGCTTCCGAGTCGAATGCGAGGCGTTTCTCCCCTACTTTGTCGAGTTGATGGAGATTCTGGAGGGAGAAAGGGGGGAAAGCTCGTGATAGCAAAGCCAACAGGTGTTAAACCGACTTCAAGTAGACATTGAATCATGACCGTTTCCCCTTCTGTCCCACCATCAGACCCATGCCTCGCTGTGTTTAGCTGGGGAGTCGATTTGTGCAATGATTTAATCAGGTGAATTTAAGTTTCCGCAAGCCTCTTTTCTCCCTCCAGTAATTCGTCCCCTCCAGCATTTCGGTGCAGCCGGCAAGCAGCCAGCCCCATTTCCGGAGAAACGGCTCCGTGGCCTCCCACCCCCGCGGATCCCACGGCTCCCCCCAAACGATGAGCGCGGCGTGCTCGACTCCCGCCCCCGCGCCTACATCGACAACGTCCCGACATATTTCGTCCTCATCAACGTAATCTTCGCCGTGCTCGGCCACGATCCGTAGAAAGTTGTCTCGCATGCGGGCGTGGGGGAAAAAGTCGATCCAGGGGTGGTGCTCGACGGACATTTGCAGCGCGGTAGGCAGCATGTTGGGCGGACACGTCTCGGTCGCCGCGGCGGGGCCCAGGCCGGGACCAATCTTGTTGAAGGGCGAGATGGAGTCGTAGGTCAGCCACTCGGCGTTGAAGTTGAGGGCGCGGGCGTTGCGGACAAAGGCGTGGAAAACGTTGACGCGGACGAGGGTCGTCAGGTAGTCTGTACAGGGCCTGCCGAGCATATAGTCCGCGTACGCCTCCTCGGCGAACTTTTCCAGCATAGCTGGCGTACCCTGTCTACCCAGGAGGCAGATATTTGCGGTCCCTTCATTCTTCCCTGTGGTGATGGCTGCCAGGGCCGTCTGAGTGTTTTCGGTGGTTGGCGAACGCGACTCCTTCTTTACCAGGGATTTCGATGGGTCAGAGTCCACTTCAGGGGCTGGACCTATATCTGATGGAAAATGCTTGCCGACTTTCTTCTGTGCTCTCCGCCCTATGAATGCGCGTGCTCTAGTCAGCTGGATGATACTAGCATTGGATATCAGCAAATGGTACCGAGGTGGACTCACTTCGAGCTCTCTGGTTCAGTCTATTTTGTAATTTCCGCCTCTCCGTCGTACTCGTGACTCCAGTCCAATCCTCTGAAGGGTCACGTAGTTCCGCCAGACGAGGATTCGCAATCACCGGGATGGTCGTCCCGACAGGAATCGCCGGACCGGGGCTAAAACACATGTCCATGACTGTCGTTTCTTCTGAATGTGGAAAGATTTCCCCAGAAGACATTGGTCAAAGGCCGTTAGGCGCGGGGGGGAAAGGAGCCGAAACCACCAAAGCGGCGTATCAGCAGTCAGTACTGAGATCTGGTCGCTTTGACAAAGGGATGACAATGAGGTTCCGCGGAACGAGACTGGTCCTCCCAAAGACTATATGCAGCCTGCTGACGGCATTCCACCGTCTGCCTAAGTGACAGGGATGGTGGCGCAAGGCCGTTAGCTAACTCGTCGAATCGGCGTCGATGCCTTGTTTCGATGGTGAGGACTCCCTCTGGCAGGTCTAGTTTGTGCGGATAGTCTCGTCAGCGACCATGTGCCTCACGATCTCTCGCACTTTTGAAGACTATTGAGGGAACGCGAGAGAATGCGAGAATGGCGACTACGGTTCTGCTTATGCTCCAAGTCTCTTTTTGACTTTGTGAATTGCTATCTTCAATTCTTGGTGGATTGCTAATCCAGACAGACAATGTGTTGTTATCATCGTCGAGGCGAAGCGTATTAGGACGGATTTAAAGCCCCCGTTTTATCTCTCCCAGATTTTGGCGTGTCAGCAGTGTGCATTAGCGTCCGCAGACCGACGTTTGTCTTTTCCTACTGGCCAACCGAGAGACAGGGACAGTCTAGGCTATCCCTGTTTGAGTAGCTCGCTCTCGCTCTCGCGTTGAGCTACAGCCAGAGGCTGGTTCGTCACGTCGGTGCACTCGGTTGTTAGACTTGCCCAATCGCAAATGAATGGTTTGGGCACTCATCCCATATCTCTACTGTGCACATCCTTCTACCCCCATAGTACTCCATACACCTACAACTATCTACCCGCTTCTACTTCGGAGAGTAACTCTCGCGACTGTCATGAGTCAGGGCATTTGAGTATCCTCCATCGACCCTAGGAAGAGGTTTAACACCCGTAACTTTCTTGACTCATGAACTACTTATCATCAAGTACGAGTGCGGCTTGTCGGGCCGAGAACCACTGCCGTAACGAACCATCACCAAGCCAAACCAGGCTAACGAGAGTCTAACCCGATGATTCAAGTCTGCGAACCGAACATGAACCGAGAACACCAACGACATCCCGGCCATGAGTCTGCGAACTTGCATGTTGCCATCGAACATTCGTATTTTGGTTTCTTATCGACGTAATAATTCAGCGAGAAGCTGGAACTGATACCTCCAATGCCCGAAGGAGCATCTTTCTTCCTTTCTTTGAAAGGTAGAAGAAACCAAGTGCCAAAGGCGCTATTCGACGGACACGACCGATGGCCTACAAGCGTGCGATAGACTTATGTCCATTAGAGAAGCAGCTATCCATTTGGCCTGCTATTCATGGGTTCTGCTCTTACCTCCTTAGCACTAACACAAGTTCTCGGTTTCTTGGACGATGCATATATCCGTATTTGGGTCCGGTTCTACGGGACAAAGTTGGATCGCAGAAATTCGGTCATAAATGTACCGACAATGGATGAAGAGAATTTATATACAGAAGAAAGCTGAGACGTGCGCACCACAGTTTGCTCTCAGAAATGCCCTAGCAATGGCCAACCCTCTCCGATCTCTCAGACGGCGTAAGTGCTGCCGATAGGACCGAAGCGGATGTTGGACCAAACAACCTGAGAGTTGGGGAACTGCTCGATGACTTCGGCAGGGACACCCGAATCCGGGGCACAAGGTCCACGCTCGGTGCCGGGCTGTCCAGCCCTCTCGGGAGGGTAGGTGGAGTCGAGCCAGAGCATGTTGGCATAGTGCTATTGCAGGACATCAGCTGGGTACGTTCACACCTTGGGAATTTAGATGGGGAAAAACACTTACGTCGCTCCAAATAGACATTACGAGAGTCATGGGGATGTTGAGGGCGGCGTTGAGCTGGGGGTATCCGCCCACCTCGTTGAAGCGGTCCCGCTCGTTGAAGACGGCGAACTGGCGCTCGCAGTATTCGGGCGTGATCTCCGATGTCTCTGGGACGCCCTCCCACTTGGCGCCGGGCACTTCGATGGTGTTACCGTCCTGGATGAAGACCTGGTACATGCGGTCGGGGGCGAAGCGGGTGATGACGGTGAATTTCTTGGTGGTGTCGACGGTCTTTCCGGGGCCGTAGAAGTCGGGGTTGCCCATGCGGTACGGGTTGTAGTCGCAACCGTTGGCATCGCAGCCCCCACCGTAGCGGTCCTCGGAGTAAGTACCGCCACAAGTGTCGCCCTCGCAGACGTGGTAGTTGTTGTTCTCGCACGGATGAGGAGTCAGAGCATAGGCGTACGCATTGGACTCCCTAGAGATCGATCAGCACTTGGAGGCTCTCGAGTGAAAGATTGAGGGTTCTTTGGTGGCTTACCAGACGTCAATCTCAGCGCAGCAGGCACCCATGTTGCCGACACCAGCACTGTCATCGGTCTCTGAAGGCTCCCAACCTTCAACATTACCCTGTTCATCGTCTCAATCAGTTACAGTACCTTTGTATATCTAGCATGGTGCGTTGAAGTTTACCTTGCCGCCGATGAACTTCAGATCACGAGCACATTGGGCGTCACAGTACCCTGTACCGTACTTGGCTCCGGCCTTGTTGTTAGACTCGGACGAGAGACCACCGTCCTCTTTCATGGCAACGAAGTACAAGGCACTGTTCATGCCACACTCAACGCTGGACAAGTCGACGTCGAAGGCAAACTCGTTGTTCAGAAGCTGGAAGGTCTGGTACTTGCTGTCTCCGTTCATGAGGTACATTCGGGAGCCAATGTTCTTGCCGTACTGGTGCTCCTGGACGAACTTCAAAGTCAGGGCATTACCGCTGGTCGACACGCCGTAGGTGCCGCTGTACTCAGCTCCCTCGACAGCACAAGTCTGAGCACAGTTGTCTCCGGTCGTACACAAACCGGTCCATGAGTTTCCGTCGTAGCAGTTCTGGTATCCGCTGCAGTATCGTGTTAGTCTGTGCTATTTGGTAATGATGTCAAGTCGGAGATGGGATGGGAAGTGTCAATTACCCAACACCGTGAACCCAACGCCAGTTGGCATCGATGACGACCTCGGCGTTGACGTTGGAGCAAGATGCTGAAGTGCATCTCTGCCAGCTCAGCTTGGGGTGAGTCTCGGCTTGCTCGGTGCCGACCTGCTGGGCCACAGCCATGGCCAGCATAGAAAGTGCCGAAATTGTGTACTTCATTGTAAAGATAACTGCAGGCACTGGAGAATCTTCCTGAGGGTTGAAAAGAGAATGCTGAGAGATGGTTGTGAGGCACCTATTGGAAACTCAAGCTGGAGACGGAAACTCCCTCCATACTTATGCTCCTGTCTTCGTTTATGGAACTCTTGTATCTCATCATCGCGGAATGACGCTCCCCGAAGTGATTCTCTGTAGCGTCCCGGATTCCGGCAACAACGCGTAGAGTTCCGTGGCCCATCTCTCCGTGTCAGTTGTCAAATGTCGACAAAAAGGGTCCAGTCGTTCCATTGTTAACATCCGTAGAGGCGAAGTCTTTTCTCGACAGAGTCCCATGTGATCTTGGATCGTATTCCACCGTGCCATCCAAGTCTTGGAAGGAGTTGACCGGGACGGAATTCCCGTCGGCAACTGGGATCCGCGTTCAAAGTGGTCGGAAGTTGAGCGCTGTTGCGAAGAAAAAGACCCTTGGAATGCGGACCCGTGGTATCTCGCGCCGAAGTTATCCCTATATCAAACGATTGCCAAGGTCTTGTAAGCGGAGATGGTTTGCTCCATTAGTCAGTTGTTTGAGAGTTAACAGGCTATGGTGGCCGGGTGATGAAGAGCCAAGTAGGATTTCCAAGAGCCAAGTTCTCGGCGACGGCAAGAGTGAGTAAACAGCTCCGCAATGTACGGGTTGAGGCGACCGATGGTTTTCAGGGACGGCCGGGATGACTTGCTGATCGCATCCGTCTTCGGTTCTCGCTAGTCTACAGTCCGAACTCGTTCGCCAGGGCTCCCTTGTCCGTATCGGCGCTCAAACAACGCCCTGAGAGGCAATGCACCGACGTTGAAGCTCGGAAAGGCTGTCTTCCTGTGGCATGGGATCAAACTCCCATTGATGCGAAGCGGCTTATTGATTTTTCCAGCTAACGTGACGAAAGACTGTAAAAATCTGGAGGCTCGGCTCATCTTGACTTTCGACGATGTATTTCCGGTGTCTGGACTCTCATGTATCAGACCATGATATGGTATTATATGCTTTAATATCGCTCACTAGAGTTCGTAAGCTTCCTCGACGGATATCATTGAGGGTTGGTTTTAGGATCCAGGGACTGAAGCGGCGGGGATTTCAAGAGGCCAGCGCTGGCACGTATTATGCAAACTCGGCTTCAGATAGGGAGCAGCTGCCTAAATCGTCAAATATCAGGTTGTCAGTCACCATCTTGCTGACAGCTCAAGAGCAAAAGACTGTGCGTGGCCCGACACGCTCTTGGCCCAGACTGTTTGCCGAAGGGGGCGTCTGGGGAATCTGCGGGGTGAGTCTCGGCGCGTCACATTCGCAGGGTAGCTGGTGCTAAATAGTTGTCCCCATTGGTGTTGTATGATTGTATCACGGCTCGCGGAGGCTGAACCTCCGTTCATATCGCCTTTTTTCCATATTAAGGAGCCTTTTACTTTCGTTTTCGCCGTTGATGACGAATCGTTTAATCTGTTCTTCTGCGATGAAACACCCTTTCCCTCTCATAAATGAGGCCCGAGAGATGAACTTCGTATCAGAGACAATAATTTATGCAATTAATTCCGAAGAGAAGCCTTTTGAGCACTTTCATTTATCTAACACGGCAGTCACTATTTGACTGGCGACCGGAGTGCGGCCCGAGGCTACTAGACGGGAATTCAGCTACCATACTTGCGTCATAAGCTCTGATCATAGCTCACGCCGCCGCTCACCAACTTCGCAGAGGCATTTCTCATCCAAGCTCTTGATAGTTCGCATGGTCATGATTAGGTTTTAAGAAGCTTAAATCAATGCAGTACGACTTCCCTGTATTACATACTCTCTACTCAAGACTCCCATTGCCTCGTTTCTCGCAGCCGTCTTTCGTTCAGCGATTCCTCAATCCACATGTACTTTTTTCAATAGGAAGCATCAGAAGCTCACCGTTCATCCTCGTATCAATTTCAAAAAACCAAATCATTGTATTCTCATCATGGATCTATATTTCAGAAGTCAACGTTGATAGATGAGCATGTCAGGTTTCGTCATCTTTGATAGCAACCTGAACCAGTGTGGTGCCGAGACATATTGAGGCATTCCATTGGAAGATATCAAAGCCTGAGCACATTCAGACTAACTCAAAGGGATAAGAATGGTTCTACTCAACCTTCCCAATTCAAGTCGTGCTAACTTGAGACCCAATCAACTTGCAGGTGCACACTCCGAGTGGTCTTCCCTTCTATACCACACATCAGTCATCGATATTCTTGCTCTCCTCAGATTCACTTAACAGAAATTCGTTCATTCCTGATTCCGACAATTCACGCCCAATGATATTGAGTGCGGGCCCAGCCTCTCCCTCTTTGGGAATGCGATAAGCTTATTGTGACCTGCTCAATGTTGTATCTGACATCTACCTACTTCACCTCGGCCAAGGTCCACAACGGCCTATCATTATCATCAAAAGATCGAAATATCGATGCATTGAATTCTTTAAAATAGCCTGGGTAAGCATCTAGGGTGTTCCCATTCAAGTGCAGTCTCGAGGCTTGAATGGCAAACTTTTGATTCACGTTACATGCATGTAGTAAGAATGTTGAAGGGTGCGCACGATTTTCATTTTGAGCAGTATCAGATGCGGTATAATGTCATCATTTGAGAATTAGTTGTATTTCATTGTGTGGCAAAATGTGAGAATTGCGAGCTGAAACACTCCGTTCACAAGTCACCAGCAAGGGGATCACTTAAGTCGAGAACCTACCACGATAGTTCCATCTTCTAATATCACAGCGCATTTCCAGCCATCCGCAAGCATTATTATGCATGAAGCATGGATTTGGTAATGGCAAGCTTCGACTCGTTGAGAACCAATCCGAAAACGATGGCTCTTTGTGGTGGGAAGCTGCATTGGTACCTTTTCGGGTAACGCAGAAAGAAAAACAACGACATGGTGTCGACATAACTCCCACATATGTTGCAGAAGAACATCAGGGTGCCCTCAGTACCTTATCTTGCTTGTCATGCGCGTTGACAAAACACCTGCTTGAGGAATACGTGGTCTTACCGTTGCTTTTACCACGTGTCCTATGAGAAGCCTGACCAGTTCCCCTCGAATCTCTCCCTTCTGCGGCCAGCCGAGGCATCAAGGCCTGGCCCTCAGCCAAACACATTTCTTATTCACCACCATGCATTCCAACGTGCATCTACCCATCATCGATTGGCTCCTTTCTCGGGGCGATGAGCACGCCTATCTTGTCTTGGCGGTAAGCGACGATTTGTTCGTTGGCCGTCCATCCATGTCCTGTGTCGCAGCACAGGAAACAGACCAACGGTAACCAGATATAGAGAACACGAACCCCGATGTCACCCCAACCTCATCGCTTCTTTGGGAAGGTTACAACAGATCTCGCGAATACTGATTCATTGGCACTCGGCCCGCAGCGGTCACAGGCATCCCTTTGATCGGATGGTTAAGCTTTGAGAGATGCATAACAGGCTTGCTGGTCTAGACCAATTGGCCAGAGCCCGAGTGCGTGTCCTACCTTCTGTCTTACCTGCATGTTCCGACTGTGATCCTTCAGGGCTAGCTTGGGTCATCCTGCTGCTCTCCTGTTGGCGGTGGCAATACCACTAGGGCTTTTTGATAAGACATGCTGACAGGAAAGTCACTTTTGGTGAGGGTTCGAGAAGGGGTTAAAAAGCTTGACTTCGGCAGCCGCACTTCTTCCCGCGAAGCCAAGTTGTCTGCCCCAGAAGTTCGTCTGATCTGGTCTCCCCGGTTTCCTGTCCTGGACAATTACCCAATCGTCAACATGGAATCCGATAGTGCTCCAACATCAGAAAAACAAGCTCGCGCCAAATCGATCGAAGTCGCTGAGTCGCAGCCCTTCGACGGTCATGCAACCAAAAAGCTGCTGAGGAAGCTAGATTGGCACATCATTCCCTTTATGAGTTTGATCTACCTGTGAGTCGTCCCACAGACTTTCTGTCAATGCCATTGCAGCATCTCGCCATGTGACATGAATACTGACCAGGGTCAAGACTATGCTTTCTCGACAGGACGAACATTGGAAATGCCAGGTTGGATAATTTGGAGCAGGACCTCAAATTGAAAGGCATTCAATACAATGACTGCCTCGCCATCCTGTTTCCGTTCTACATTGCGGCCGAGATCCCGAGCAATATGATGATGAAGCGTCTCAGACCGTCGATTTGGCTGACATTCATCATGGTTTGTTGGTCTGCATCGATGATTGGCCAAGGATTTGTGAAAGACTACTCAGGACTCATGGCGACTCGAGTCTTTCTTGGTGTCTTTGAGGGAGGCTTGTTTCCCGGCGTCAACTACTACATCACGCAATGGTGAGGCTCTCTCTCTCCTCTCTGATGCTCTGATCGACACGCCCTTTCTGTCCACGAAGCTCTGACAAATGAGTGGATAGGTACTGCAGAAACGAGTGCGGGTTCAGAATGGCCCTTTTCTTCTCTGCGGCAACTCTTGCTGGAGCGTTTGGTGGTATCCTCGCGCGAGGAATTGCGGAGATGCACGGGGTAGGTGGTCTCTCAGCTTGGGCATGGATCTTCATCCTCGAAGGTCTCCTGAGTATTCTGGTGTCTTTCACGGCATACTGGGCAATTTATGATTATCCTTCCACGTAAGACAAAGGCCTGGGCAAACATAAAGCAGGATCTAAGCTAACCTTTGTCACCAACAGGGCGCAATTTCTTTCCGAGAAGGAGCGATCTGAAGTCCAGAGAAGGCTGCAAGAAGATTCAGGTCATCTGTCTAATGACTTCAATATCAAGTATGTTTGGCAGGCTATCAAGGATTGGAAGATCTACATCCACATGCTCATCTGCATGGCGGGCTTCTGCCCCATTTACTCGTTTGCCTTGTTCCTGCCTACCATCATCAAGAACATGGGCTACACCTCCAACAATGCCCAACTGATGTCAGTACCGCCGTACTGTTTCGCTTGCATATTCACTATTGGCGCCAGCTGGTATGCGGATCGCGTTAGACAGCGCGGTATATTCCTGATGGGCTTCCAGCTGGTGGCTATTCTGGGTTTCGGTCTCTTGGTCGGTACCAGCAAGTCTTCTGCACAATATGCTGGCACCATCTTTGCAGCGATCGGTAAGCTTTTACATCCCAAACAGTTGTAGTAGAGACAGGGAGGAGAGTTGCTCACTTTCGATCAGGCATCTACCCTCAAATCCCGCTTGGTCTTGCCTGGAATAGCAGCAACATCGGCGGTAGTCTAAAGCGGGGAACTGGCATAGCGATGCAGGTTATGGGTGGTAATTGCGGCGGCATCATTGCGTCTTACGTCTACCTCAGCCGGGATGGACCCCGCTACACGACCGGCCATAGCATTCTCATTGGCTTCGTTACGTGAGAGAAAACCTTCAATATAGTTTCGATAGTGATGGTACGTGCTAACTTCCACTAGCATGGCCTTCTTCTTGACGCTATTTATGACCACTTGGTGCCGAAGGGAGAACGCCCGCCGGGATCTTGTCGCTAGCGAGGCTGGCGTGCAAGAGTTGACTGATGAGCAAAAGGTATTGGAAGCTGAACTTGCCGACAACGTACCATGGTTCAGATACACCGTCTGAGACGTTTTGTCCGAATGAAAGTCTTTCCAAAGGAAACCGAAGGACACTGAAGGGATTAGACAGGGGAGCAAATTGATTCAAGTCAGGCTCTTTGATGATCGCCTATCTGATGGCATTTTGCCCAGTGTTCAAATCGTCCTGCGATCTGTTCTCCCGGCCCTGTAGACTTCATGTAACCAGAAGACGCCTTAGTTAGAGGAATTACATGCTTGTCAGCGACTATTGGCAAATAGCAAAGTGTAGGGGCCACTCGGGCCACTTCATCGCCCAAAAACGCGACCGATGCGACAACGAACACGACACGACCAAAAGAAGTCGTTTTCCGAGGTCAAGACCTAAAATATACTCCAACTGAGAGAAGAAATTTCGATCTCTCTAAGATGAAGAGCTGTGAGTCCACGGAGCTTGTTGGTTGAGGAAGACATGTACAGAGGACAGCACACAAGATCATTGTTCTAGAAGACATTTTTAGGTTCGCTCGGTTTCGGTTTCATCGATACTCCCCGGCCCCATGGCTAGTGGGCTCAACTCACGCTACGAAAAATGCTTCGCTAGCGCCAAACGATGTAGTGTATGTAGATGAGCTGATTTCTTTTGAGCGCACGTTCCTTGCCGGTAGAATGGGACGTTCGCCCATTTTATATCCTCAATAGACCTCGTTTGGGATATAACTCGGCGAGGAGGAATGTAGCCTTAAAGAGAGTAGTCCGTGAACTCCCCAGAAAGGGTATGGTCGCGAGGGAATTGCAAGTGTGCCCTGCTTCCGGTCTGACAGACGTCAAAAGATTCGGATTGCTGGACACAGGTGACCGGATAGTACTTGTAGCGGAAGCTTAGGTTCATGGAGGCATAGGGGCATGGCAAGGGCCAGTCGTGCCCGTTCACCCCGGAAACCCAACACAATTCTCGGCGAGCACCGGGTGTGTCGCTCGCTGCCTGGGATCACGGCGTGACGACATTGGCACTGGCCAAGGCGGGAGACACTTTGGGAGGAACCTTTGAAGGAATCTTGGGAGGAACCTTGGTAACAGAATGTCTATGCTGCCACCCCGACTTATGTTACCTGCGCCGCTTCACTCTGCGTAAAGCGGCGCAGATGATTCCAGTGATACACGCAATGACTGTGTTGCGTTGCCCGCCCATTACATGTATGCAAATTGGCGCAAAGCGTGCCATCGTTCATGGAGGCATGGTGGAGGAATTGATGTCTTCATGCTGTGGCTCTTGGCCACATGAGAGTGTCTACATGTACGGATATCTGCCAGCACTTCCAGCACGCAGGATCAGGAGCCCCCCAACTCGACGTGGATCGTCATTTGGCGGGCATGGATCTCGAGGGCGACGTTGAACCTTTGTTAGAGTGCCAGCCCTCTCGTGACACCCCTGAGCCTGAGCCTGAGCCTGAGCCTGAGCCAGAGCCAGCACCACCACATAGGAGTAGTGCTTAGTCCTGATGATAGTTTAGACGAAACAAAGCCGTACATACCGACACACCATTCTTGCTTCTTTACGACGTCCTGTCCTTCCCTCCCTTCATCTTTACACTCGGAAATCAACAACGGACAGGGATCCAATAGGATTGAGCAGAATACGGCCTTGTTCGTTTCACTCTCTCTACGCACACGCCATTCCAGATCCGTACGAGCCGCTATGCTATTTTGTTCCTGACGCACACGCTCGTGCTGCGGCTTGAGTCGTCAGCAAGGCGCAGATTTGGGCCAGCTCTTCTCCAATACCCGCCCCGGCGCTGCCCATCACGCAACGGGGCAGATTCTCCCAGTTACTCCGAGAGTCCCAGGAAGTATCCTCTCCGCCTGGTTACCGCTCGCTCGCGTCCCCTCCGCAAGATAACTCGAGTGACTTGCTCCGCGCTTCTCCCTGGGGCGGGTGATAAACTGGGCCCCATCCGGGATTGAACTTAACTACGGCTTTATCGGACCAGCAAAGCGACAGGAACAGACATTTATCACATCATCACTACTCGTACTTCCCCTACACTATACTACCTAGCTATGCTACACACGAAGCCATTGCCTCAGCCGTCCGCCGTAGAAACAAGTACAGACCATCTCCGGCCCCGGCGCCCAGCTCACCGACTTGCCTCTCCTGTTCCAGTCCGAACCATTTGCCATCCACCATACATCCATCTTCTCAAGCCCACATATTCGCTTTCGGTCTCCTCAACTTGCTTGTTGGCTTGCAACGACACAACAAACAACCATTGTCTTCGGTACCTATAGCGGACCGCGCCGCTCTTGAAGCGAAGGAGAGCCATATCATTGCTGACATTTCGTTACTGGGTCTGAACCGATTCGTCGGATTGCCGACTGCTTCCCCCGTTCATCGCTGTCATCGAATCCCCGCAACAAGGGGACCTGGGGTCCAGGTGTGACGAAAGTCGAGAGGGCTCTGTTCTGGCAGCCAAAGGCACTCGCTCGCCTGTCTGGTGTTCAGCCTGCCCACTCTTCATCGGAGGTGAGATTGGGGAAGTTACGGAGCTGTTGCCTCTGCGCCAATGCAGGATAACAACCAGGACCGAAGAGGTCATCAGAGAAAAGGCTGCTTATCCGGATTGCTGCTGCAAGATGCCACGCTTAGGGTACAAAAAGTCTCGCGGTGGCTGTGCAAGGTGTAAACAGCGTCGTGTAAAAGTACGTGGCACCCTTCCTCCACACTTACACTCATCACCTCTTGCCATTCACGAAGCTCTCGTATACCGAACGCGGCCTGGCTGACACCCTTCAACCCAGTGCGACGAGAGCAAGCCTTGCAGCGCCTGTATCAGGCACAACACCCAATGCAGCCTTCTTAAGGGTTCGGCGGACGGCTCCGGCTCCGGCTCCGGTGACACCTTGAGCTGGGAGGCGTCATCCAGTTCTAAACCAGAAGTCTCGAGAGTGCCGAGTTTCCAACGGAGGAGCTCATCGCGAACGGGATCGAGCGGCAGCCGTAAGACTCAGACGCCATCAACCAGCCCGATAGACCCCTCTTTAACACCGTCGAGTCTGCTCGAGGCCAACCTCAAACTGCCGGCGGACTTCGCCAGTGACCGGGGCTCGTCGATCGGAAATAGGAGGTCTTCTGTCGCCGCCTCGAGCCCCGACCCGTTTCCCTACTTTGTCAAGTTTTCAACCGAGGCCGTGGAACCCGTTCATTTGAGCAAGTGGATCACCGATCTGGAGCTGATGCACCACTACTCCACGGCCACCAGTCTCACGATGCCGAGGTCATCGGACGTGGGCAGCATTTGGCAGTTTGTGGTACCGAAACTCGGCCTGACGTACACGTTCCTGATGCACGGCATACTCGCCATCGGTGCTTTACATCTGGGTAACCTCCACCCGGAGCAGCGCGACTCTTACGCCTTGCATGCTTCACAACACCAGAGTGATGCTATAGCGGGCATGCGGGAGTCACTAATAAATATCACACCGGACAACTGCCACGCTCTCTTCGCGGCGTCGTCATTACTGTTGCTCAACGCATATTCCACGTTCCCTTATCAACGAGGTGCGCCTCACTCACAAGAGGCGCCATCAGTCGACGATATTCTCGACGTATTCTTACTTGTGAGGGGAATGAGCCACATCTTGTCGTCATTTCAACCAGCCATCCAGGCGGGACCATTAAGGAATTTCTTTACAGAGGTGGTTGCGCCCGCTTCCACACCAGTGCTGGAAGCGGTTACTCAACATCTCGAGAATCTCCAAACAACTTTAAAGACGTCTAGTGCCGACGAATCAACCAAAACTATCGTCAACAAGGAAATTAATGTGTTCCTGGGGTGGATCATGCATGCCGTTGAGACCACGGCGTTTCCAGAGCTGCGGGTGGCCCTTACTTGGCCCATTAATCTCACCGAAGAGTATCTGCAGCTGCTGCGGAACCGGGATCCTGCGGCTCTGACTCTGTTGGCTTACTACTCAGTTGTCATCCGCTCGACAGAATCTACAACGTGGTTCATGCAGGGATGGGGCATCAACTCGGCGCGGGCGATAGCATCAGACTTGGATCCAGAGTGGAAAGAAATGGTCAAATGGCCCTTAGCCTTCATGAGCGACAGAAGTATCCAACTTTAGTCGTTAACCAAACAATTCAAAGAACAAAAAGACTGGTCTACATCATTCAGTCGATGCTTTGGACTGCCTTGCTAGGGATGTGAATGGCCCTTAGGACTTTGGAGTAGGTGCTGAGAGCTATTGAGTGCGGGTATCCTCTGGCACACCGAGGAGAAGAGGCCCGCGAACCGACGTCAAAGTGTCAGCTTCTCCGATGCCGTCAAACTGATTCACAATCCAATCCGTCTTTTCGTACCTCCAGTCTATTAGGCTCGAAAGTTTAGCTAGCCGATGAACAAAATTTCCCAAGAGTTCGGCCGAGCGGCGGAAGGACGTCACATGCATGCAGGCTCAACCGGCCGGAGAGGCCGCTGGCGATTACGACTCGTTCAACCTGCCTGCTTAGGATAGGGCCGCTCGAGCATTGAAGGTAAGACACATTCAAATACAAAGCTACTGTAGCATGAGTGAGCTGTAAAGTAAGAGTGTGTGCCCGATGTGAAACAATCAAAACAAGAACAGACGGGTCGTACCTCAATCCCCATCTGACCAAGAAACCGAAACCGAAAACGAGGTGGGTGGTAATGGTCAGGTGAGGATGGTGCGACGGACGCTTCAGTGATCCGAGCTGCCGACATCTTCAGGCGGGCAGGGGAAATGGTAAGGCTGAATATGACTCTACTTGCCAGTTCAACAGCCTTAAAGAGTGTCCAGTGCCGTCATTGTAAACTTTGTCCGCGTAGAACTTTTTGGTAGCTAGGGGTTTCCGACGTGAAGCGAAGGTACGCTTAGTAGGATAAGTTGGGTTCGATTCCTATCGGCGTCAACTGGTGTTTTGGCCAAACGGCATACTTTCCCGATGCCATGGATCCTAGCTTTTTCTTCAAAGGCAAGGCGCCACGAAACGGGCACAACCTTTAAAGGTGTCAAGGTATAGAAAACCTTATCGAGGCCCGGATGTATCCGACGCGGGATTATGGATAGGAAATTACACCTTTCCTTCACTGTCAAACTAACAACTCGCAGTCCCCCGACTTTGCGGCCATGCCGATGCATTGTCACAAAGGCAAGCGTACCAAGTCGCGTCGGAAGTTCCGTGCCTCTCTATTCACGTGCTTCCCAAAGTACATGTAGGCTTGGGCAGAAAAGTATCTCAACAACATTTGCTTAGGTACACGAAGCACACCCATGGTTTCGTTGAGTTGTTTAGCATCCCTTTTAGTAGCCCTCCCTAGCATCGCTCTATTCGCAGACCTTGTCTATGAGGCTTGAACGAGGTCTTTCGGATGATCACACCATCGCTAAGTCCATGTATCACCATTGGATGAGTCTAAAATCACGAGACGAACCGGTTCACAATCACGGATCTCCGAAATGACTACAAGCGCACATATCCGCGAGCGCACTGCAAAAAAAGGTTGGAAAGTGCGAGTATTTGTTGGACTTTGAATGCCGAAAGCTTTCAGTATAGTACGCGATCAATTTTCAACCGCAACTTTTCAGAATATGTACATGAAGTGTCGCTTCGATCAAAGCCAAGTGTCAAAGAAGCGGACTGCCTGGAAGAAGGCCTCCTCCTTGCCGAACTTCTGCTTAGGGTCCGAGATGTTGGCGCGAACGCCGAAGCCGTGCTCGGTACCACCATACAGCGCGAGAGAGAAGGGCTGGCCAGTCTCACCGAGCAGAGCCTCAATCTCGGCACGACGAGCGGGCGACATGAGGCTGTCAGTTTCTGCAGCGTCCTTGTCAGTGACCGAGAAATGGCCTATAACCTTTTTCGGGGGCAGAGGGCGGGGGGGTTTGACGACTTACCGGCGGCTGCGACACTCGCGGGACCGGTGATGGCCGCGATTTCCTCGTCAGTGAGCAGACTCGGGTGTGCGGCAAAGCCAACATCAGCTCCCTTGCCCTCGGCGAGAAGGCGGAAGGTGTAGCGGCCTCCGAAGCAGTATCCCGTGACTGCGATCTTGCTCACACCGAGTTTTTCGCGCAGGTACTTGATGGAGTTGGCAATGATCGGGTCAGTCACGTTCGGCCCGTGCTGCGAGAGGAACTGAGTCGTGTTAAAGCCGGGGACGTTGATGTCTTCTGGGGCCGGGTTGCCGTTGAACAGGTCCGGCGCGACGGAGATGTAGCCAGCGCGAGCAAAGCTGTCGGAAAGGCTAGCCGTTTGCGTTAGCATCAACACCCAACGTGATGTTGCCATGGCGGCACATGGGCGACGGCGGCCAGCAACTCACAGCTTGTTCTGCGCGAGCTGGATTCCGAAAACGTCGGTCAGGTATAGGACGCCAGTGGTCCGGTTACCGCGCACGCTCGGCTTGGTAACGTATTGGGTCACTATATGCGAATTGCGTCAGCATATGCGCTCGAAGAATTGACATGAAGGTAAGAATAAATTTCAGGACTTACGCCCATTGTACTTGACCTCCTTTCCAATCGGGGTGCCTGTGTGGGCAATGGCGGAAACATCGGCAACAGGGCACTTCTTCGCAGCATTGGTAAGAGATGCAAAGCCCAGGAGGGCCGCGACAATAGTTTTGCTGAGCATCTTGGAAGGTTTCGGGCTGTTGAGGTGTGTCGATCACAGAACAGGGCGTTGCGAGACCGGATGGAAGAACCTAATCATGGGACGGGAGGGGATAACCCAACATTCTTTTAAGGTTTTGACTTATCATCGTTCCATGGGTCTAACGATTACAAATTAGCCAGATCGGAACCAATTCTTGGATGGTCGCCCGGACTCACGGAGATACGGATGTGGTATCTTCGAGATGTCATTGCCAAGCCGGTAGGCATGGTGCAAGACCCTTGAAGACGTCATCCAATCCTTAACCCGTGTGCTTCGTCTCACTCTGTGCAAACATACCGTGAACGGTCAAGGGGTGAGAGTTGCCGGGGCGGGGAGAAGGTTCCAGTCTGGGCCTAAGAAGGAAGCTAAGGTTCGTTCTTCTCCGCTTCAGAAAAGTGCGCCAATCATTGTGCTTGATGCCCCTGTTTCGGGGTGGCTTTGTTTGCTTGTTTAATGTTTAAATGCTACATCGATGGATGTGATGATCCATGGATTTGCAGGGCCAAGCGTGCAGCATGGGAAATGAGGATCGGTTCGGGGCAATTGCGACTTATTATTAATTAATGGCCGATTCGGTGCCGAATCGGCAAAAACAGTTAGTCTTGAGCTTTCATTAATGGGACTTAGTAAGGTTTCGGTGAAATCATCTTCAATCTTATCAGACTCGGTCTGTCTAACCCCTTCAACCTCCTATGACGTAGCGTTGAAGGGCAGTATATCTATCCCAACAGTCGTTATGCCGCCAAACTCAACTCCAGGGCCGCAAAGTCCCATCCAACCTTCTTCTCAGACAAATCCTAAAAGACCCTCAGTCGAGAAGAACTTGGCGCAAAGAGTCAAAACCGCCCCGGCCAAGCAAACAACGCCGCCAAAGATGGAGATCTGATCGTAACCGTGGTACCGATTGAGCAATGCGCCGCTGACCGGCGGGCCAACCAATACAGCCATTGATGCGAATGCGATGCCCATTCCCATGTAGGTCCCGATATCCTTAGGCGTCTTGGGACAGAGGGTGAAAACCACGGACCCTCCTGAGATAATGGCGCCTGATGTGAGACCGTAGGCCGCGGAAAAGCCAATGATTCCGGCCTCGGTCACTGCCTTGGGCCAGCATAATATCAAGATAGCCGTCAATAATCCCGCAGTGAACAAGATATTGATGCGACCAAACTTGTCGCCCAGAACGCCGGGCACAATGCGGCCAGGGATCGATGCTCCGTTCACGACGGCCACCAAATATGACGCCAGCGCCGGGCTCATGCCGTGATCGATACCAAACGTCGGCAAGTAAAAGAAGGGAATAAACATGCCCACAAACATGAGGCAAACGCCGCCAGTGAGACACAAGAACAGCGGCTCTCGGAAAGCCTTCCAGATGAAGAATTGGCTCCTCCGCGGGGGGAGACGAGCCCTGACTGTGACGGACGAGAAGAGGAGGAACGGCATCATGATGAACCCGCAGATACGAACGGCCCATCCGAATCCCAGCCTGTCCAGTAACTCTGAGAGTACGATGGGAAACACGACTGCACCTAGCGACGAGCCAGCGATGGCGAGGCCCATGGCTGCTCCTCTTCTCCTCTTGAAGTACTGCGGCGTGGCGGCCATTGCCGGGAACATGATCAACCCATTTGATATACCGCTGAGCACACCTTGAGCGAGCATGAATTGCCAATACTCGTTGCATAAGCTGGTCATCATGACTGAAAATATGTAAACCACCGCGGCGGGGCGGATGACCTAGTCGAGGTTAGCTTCTTCTCGAAAACGATACAGACACAGTGGTATCTCTGAATCAACTCACCCATGCGCCATAACGGTCAAAGATTGGCCCTCCGATGGCTCCGGAAGCAAACACCAAGAATGCTTGTATTGATCCGATCCAGGAAATGTCGTCTGGCGTATGGTCCGAAAGCTGGTGTCGCGTGTAATACGCTTGAAAGACGCCAAAGGAATTGGTGTACCCCAGGGAACAGAACAGAATGGCCGCCGTGCCGGCCGCCACGAACCATGCTCGCGTGCCCCCTTCCGGGAAGTCATCTTCGGCCGACTGGGTGACCTTTTCCTGTTTTTCCTGATCGCCTTGTCTTCCAAGGTCTGTCGATGGCGTTGACTTGCTCTTCTCTGATTCTGCAGGCGACTGTTGGAGAACCTCCCCGCGGCTGTCACCGGAATTCGGTCTCGACGGCCCTCCCTCGACGATGTCCTTCACCTCGTCTTTGGTCTCTGTTGATTCGTTCATGATGGCGTTGCTCTTGGAGAATTCTTTAACGTTCAGAAATTTGAGAAGCTAGGATGAGCCATCTGCTCCCTGGGGAATTGAGGCGCGTGCCCGACTATTGAATGCCGACAAGGCGCCCCAATCCTCGGGACCGACTGCCCGCAGCCACCGTCATGAGATGTCATCCCGCGAGGCGTACATGATTTCGAAAGTTACGCAGAATGTAGGCCCCGTCCGCAGCTTGGCAGCTAGTCGAAGGACGTGCCAGTCCGAGCCATTGGGACTTCGCCGATCGACTTGCTTGACTGCGGCTACGGCACGGCCAAAAGCGTACGTGCGCCGGCGGGATTCCGGAGGCTGATATGTTTACAGTCAGTTTGAGAAGACGCAGCCCAGCCCGACGGGACCCCCTCCGGACGGGGTCCCGCAGATCGGGGCTTGGCAATCTGCAAGTCTGCTGGGGCGCATCACCTGGCTGGAGGGCGTTTGAGAAGTGACGATGACTCGATTGATGGCAGATAGCATAGCCTACTTACTTATTCTGCGGGGCCATGACGCTACCGACCGTTCGCAGTCAACGTCGTCTGATCACAATGCGCAATTGCTGTGGAGTTTCTCAAACAGCCTGTAGCAAGACTTGGATCGAGGCTAAGGAGAAGCGAGTGAGGCCCTTGATTCCGCAGCTACTGTCGATCAAAAGTCTCCGACGCAGGGTTTAATACAGTCTCTCTTTGCATGCTCGCCTGTGTCATCTACCCCCGATAAGCTTAATCAAATGACTGAGTGTATTCGTCTGTGAACATCCGCGATCTCGACATCGATGTTGCCATTCACATCCCACCCTGTCCCGTACTCCGATGTTGATTGCACCTTTACTGTGCCTCCCCATAAATTACATGTACATTATAGCATCTCGGCAAGTCGGCATATTAACCAGTCCTCCGCCTCATCGACCGACAGAATACTAAGCATCGTCAAGCTCGCTCTCAAATTTCACCTTTAAAGCTAGAGTCATTATCATTGAAGTGAAGCATGATGACGAGTTTGGTAATGTTCTATCTGTTGATAAGTCGGAGAGCTGAGCAATGTTTGTGCCGGTTGATCCATATTTTATAATACCGATTTGAGGGCATATTCACTCAGATCCGGACAGGCTAGGCGATGAATGTAGAAGTTGGGAGATTGCATTTGGTTTCCGGAGTTGATTGAGCTGGGCTCCTTGTATCAAATACACGAGTCTAATAACAGACGGAATTTTTTTTCTTTCAATTAGAAGGATTGATAAGGTTGAAATCAAATTATGATGGGACTGGAGGATGAGTACGAGGAAGGAAGGACGGGCTCAAAGTCCAACTATAGATGGGGGCTCTATGGCCTCTTTATCACCAAGCTTTTCTAAAAGCTGCAAGCAAAACACTAAGATGAGATATATTGAAATTTTAGGATCTTTGCAGCAGTTCGTCCACGCCGTGAGTAAGGTTGCTGTGCCCCGTTGATGTGAACATTCGGGACGCGTAAATCACACCATGAGCAAGTCCGGAGTGATTCCAACCACAAGGTTCAGAAGGCGGGCGGGCGAGGGTGTTTGCAGCCTATTGAGCTCTACTTGCGCCACAGACGGTGCAGAGTTTTCCGACGATATGAGCCGCCCCGACGTAGACGGCATCACCAGATATGGCTGGTGCTAAAGTCCCCTTCTTGGTATGGCGATTTATTCTTACGGCAATTACTGTAATTACCTAGAGATGTAGTTGTATGATGAATCTGGGCCCTTTCGTGACATACCTGTGAATCGTTGTAGCATTATCAACCGATACAAGACCAGTTGCATCTCCCTATGCGCTGCCACATCTGAAGATTCTAGCAGATTAATGCCCAGGACTATTATCTCTAGGCTGAGAGTTGACGCACCTCTTCCGATCAAGACTATTGTGGGAATTGACTACTTCATGCTGTGGGAGAAACACAGAGACACTACAACAAGGTCCAAATACCATAGAATCTGTCCGCAAATCAAGGAAGAGATATAACTTATCAGTTTGAGAGCCGTCCTTCAGCTCACACCAAGTATAGTTGTATGTTAATATCAAAGAACCATGATCTTAGTCTTACCTCCAACTGTGACGCAGTACAATAATCTCATGAGAACCAGCTGACAAGTGATTCAAAATGCAAAAATCGTGTTAATAGGAATCTGAAAGATGAATTATTATGGTCATTAGTCTTGACCACAAGATCATGCCGCCTATTCTCAGTGCGATGATAGCATCCGACACAGTTGAGGGTTTCTGTGAACGCTCTCACGACTAGGTAGGTACATGTACTTCCCGGAGAACTTTCCCCTCCTCCTAAATGCCCCCCATGATGGTGTCTCTCATTTCGCCCAGTCGGACGTCTAGAAACGACCTGGGACAGTTTGAAGAGTTTATTTCTCAACTTTAGCTTTTACTGTGCTACTTCAAAACATTCGTCCGAACAGACGCGATGGCCTCATTCTTTTTGAAACTGCCTGGGATTCAAGCTTTCTGAGCAAGATCTTTGCCCTTTGTAAGGTAGTCGGACAAGACACGAATCTTCTTTGAATCTGACCCCGACGTTTTGCATCCTTTCGCTAGTTTCACGCTCAGCACCATCGGTGATACATCCAGTCATTTAAATGAGGAGGTCAAAAGGCGACGTCGCTCCAAGCATCAACCGCAAGCTTACCCACATGATATCTGTCAACTGAATTGCATTGTTGTCCAGAACAATTGGCGATAACGCGGTGATGTTACTTAGTAATTTATTATGTCTAGAAGCCTTCAAAATTTTCAGTCAAAGTCATATTGCGTCACGACGCAACTTCATGCGAAGATCCCAAAATAGCGCACTTATAGCCTCTAAGAGGCAATTAATTTGGAGGCTCAAAGTTCTAACAGGGGTTTCCCTTCGACTTTTTCCGGCATCCATCAATAATACTCCACAGATCGCAAAATCTGAGCTTCTGAAGGGATGAACATGCAATCTAGGCATAATTCAGAATCGCTTCTGTGTTCATTGTGGTTAAGTACCTTACGTATACATATCTCTCAGCAAAGGTGCGTAGATCAAGTTCAGCTCTTGTGCTCGTGATCCCCCAGGCATTCTGCACAGCCTTGATCAGGATTTTCTAATCAACATGTCCGCGATGTCGATGAATGCCTATATTATGCTTAACATGACCTTCAATGCCGTAGCATATTTCGCGGCAAAGTGGATCTAAGCACCGGCAATGCATTGATGCTTAACGCATGTCTCCAAGGCTCTCAATTCGGTTATTTCACTCGGTTGCCAAAAATGTTGATGATGTTGATTGAAAGCGCTCCATCTCAAAGATACGATCACCTAGGGCGTTTGCGGCAAAAATCTCGTCTTGGGATTTCGTGATTGCTGCGCTCCTCGACATCATCTGGACTGATGCGGATTACAACAATCAGCATTGGCTTACGGATCCCGTGGGCTTTTGAGCGCCATACGCTCTCTACGAGTTACGTCGAATTCATTTTATCTTGCATAATGGTTCCACTAGCGGCCTTGCACGATTCATTCATTGTCGTCATGATGAGAACCCGGCCGTTGCACGTGTACGATATGAAAGGCGTAAATGTGAGGAGTCTCGGGGGTTAATGACTCGATACCCAGTGCGCCTTCGGGACGCTCAATTCACCGCCTGGTCTGATGCTGAGAACCTGGATGCTTCTCGTCAGCGGGAAAAGGCCCGTAGAGTGGATTCAACGTGGCGGGAGTGCATCATCGGGGAAACCCTGGTCAAATTCTTTGACAGAAAGGCCATATCGGCGGCGGCACACACTTAATGACCTTAGGGAGGGAGCTATCGTGTTCCTGCCTTTTGGTCACATCATCTGCCAGATTGCGGATATGACCAAAGGGATGGCGCGAGTGTCAAGTATTCATTTCGTGCAGCTCTTAGCGTCGGTTGCCACTCTATCTGCGTGGCAGAGCTGTGGCAAGGCAGTACAATGCCAATAACTAGTTTCCCGTAGCTCTGCTTTTTCTATTATGCATCGTTGTTTCTTTCGTTCGATCAATCAATTGCGGTTAATGAAGGGTTGAAACCTTGTTGGTTACGAACGTATCGCAGTCCCTTGGGGTATATTTGTCCTCATGTGTCGCTTGATAATTATTATTTCTAGGTTTGCCTTCGATTTAGGAGAAACACCGAATATCAATCAATTAGCCTAAAAGTTTATGCAAATCCGGATTGGATGAGGCGAAAAAACTCTCAAGAACATCACGCACTCCACGGCGAACCAAGCTCGGAAGTGGGCACAGCTGAATGAAGGCCCAGAATTGGGAACCTTACCACGCAAGATAAGGGCTCCCACAGCTGGAGCTGGCCCTTGCCTCAAAGTCTAAATGCAATAAAGGCATTCAGCGGCACGTCTTTGCCAACGGTTTGGAGCACACTCAGCATCCGTTGCCACACGGGTGAGTGGTATGTGGGAGTGGAGGTCCCGGCCGTAATCCGGAGTACGCGGAAGGCCGACAACGGACCCGTGGCTTCATCCCATTACGATGACGAGCTGAAGCTTGGTACAGATTTGCAGCACTTGCCGTGGCTCGAGGCGGGCGCTTGACTCAGGCACCTCGTTAAAGAAGCGCGGCTGTGGCTAGCGTTAGCGTAACTCCATTCACGCCAACCCCGAGCTCCGCGTTCTCGTGGGTCGCCAGTCGCACATGGCCTTGAACTCTTGAGCGAAAGACGACTTGTCATATTTCCGGTTTCCGGCTGTGGCTGCGGATAATCATTCAGCGTGCCGGTCCGGGTCGTGTTACGTCAACATCCTGTTCCTTTATCGCTTGCCTCCAAAGTCCGGGTCCGCGATGGCGACTATTGCATGGGCTCTTTGACGTGATTCAACTCAGTTGCTCCACAACCAACCCCGGGTACGGGGCATCAGCGCGCGCAAACTTGAATCGCACGCGCTCAGCACGTGGTCGGCTACATGGAGCCAAAGTATGATAGCGGGCGCAGTGCTTCTCAACTTGTACCGGTGCATGAGGAAAAGGTAGGGCGGCTTGGTGCCAGAGTGGATAGTTGATAGAGTGCTGCTCACAGCAAAGTCGCCGCAGATTTGAGTTTCTTTTATATTGATCAAGCAATATGATCTGCCCCCGACTCCGCTTGTCAGTGACCCGGACTCCCAAAGAGGTGGCCGGAAAGATTGCACGGGTTCACTTGAGGGCATGTCAACATGAAACCCCGACTCAGCGGACATCAGACGAACCAATGGATCTCGCCGCCGGTAACAGGGTTCATGATTCAGACTTAAATTCATCCCGCCCACCATACTGGTCGCTCATGCCGGATTGAGCTGCGAGGCTCATAGCGTTTTGCCGTATTGGGAGACTATTGCTACCCGAACTCAAGAAGACGCGAGTGGGTCAAATCAATATCAGACGCTTGCAGGCATGTGCAGTATTTGTAGGCTCTCTGCCAAGATGCAGATGACAAACTCGCAGGGCTTACGTACCTGATAACCTGGTCAGGAATAGATTTAGACCAACGGGCTGGCGGATGGCACAGTTATTTGAATTTCGGATCCGGACTGTCAAGCCCGTCCGAATCGTGATGATCAACATACTTATCTGGAGGCCAAGCGCCCCCAGTTTGACCTCTTTCCTATCGTTTCTGGAGACGCCGAAGGCCGCATTGAGGAACAATGCCCCGACTTTCCCGAGACCAATACTCGGTCTGGATATTGTTCTTCAGATAAACAAGAACCCCAAAAGTCCCGGTTTTCTGGTTCATCTTCGTTTCACATAACCATGAAGAACCACGTGCGGTGGTCGCTTGCGCTGCTACCGTGGGTAGCAGGCACTGTCCTCGGCCAAGACAACACTACTGCAGTAACATCTCCGTTGGAAATCTTGTCTAAGATCCCACAATGCGCCGTAAGTACTGGTCACTTCAAAAACAAATCGACTTCATCTAATCCTTGGGTAGGTGTCTTGTATCACGACTGCGTTCGGTAACTCGGGCTGCAGATTGGACAACATCGCTCCATGTATCTGCACCAACCTCACACTTCTCGATGGGTTATCCGGATGCGTGCAAACGTCGTGCATATGGCAAGATCAGCTTGGTGAGTTCTAATCGTGGTGCACTGGCTTGCCTTTTACTGATGGATTCTAGCATTGTCTTATTTGACAGATGACCTGTGCCGTCCTTACCCACACCCCTCTCGAGATGTCGAAATCAAGCTGGTTGTTGCTGCGTTGGCGATCACAACGTTTCCGATTGTGGCATTGAGAATGATTTCAAGATGGATCGTAGCAAGCCGCTTGGAGCTTGACGACTGGATGACGCTAGCCACGGCCGTAAGTTGAATCAGTCCTTGGTCGGTCTTTCTCAAGCAACTCAGGAACTGATCCGAATTCCACATAGGGCATACTAGCCGCCACCCTAGGTTGCGTGATTGCGAGTGAGTATTTCACGCCAGCGGCCCTATTACTCCGTGTTAAACTCGGTCACTGACTTTGGATAGCTGCCGAACTTGGATTTGGGCTTCACTATTGGAATGTAAACCCGGAAAATGCACAGACAATTCTCCAGGTAAGCCTGATACGTTTTGTCTTGTGCCAATCATGATCAATGTCACTGACTCGTCCAACCCAGCTCTATTACGCCGTTCAAATGCTCTACATCATCGTCCTCATTTTGGCCAAGCTCACCATTCTTGCCCTTTTTGCCCGCGTCTTCCCCGATCGCAAGTTTCAAATCATCAACAAACTGGTGTTTGTGTTTCTAATTCTTCATGGACTGATCTTTGTCTTTGTCATCATGTTCGAGTGTACACCTATTGCTGGAATTTGGGATCGAACGATCGACCGGCAGTGCGTCGACCTTAATGCAGTGGCCATGGCAAGCGCAATCCTCAGTATTGTTGAGGATATTGTCATCTTTACCATGCCCATCCAACAGCTGATCAGGCTCCAACTGAGTTTTAAAAAGAAGATCGCCGTCGGCTTCATGTTGAGTCTCGGATCTTTGTAAGTTTCAGTGCTCGACGAGTACACTGTGAAACCTCTGGCTAAGTGATTCCTCTTTCAGTGCATGCATCACTTCAATTGTTCGATTACGCTGGCTCGTACTATTTTCTATATCTTATGACACCACATGTAAGTTTGATCTCGGGAGTGGGAATCGAGACAGATACTGACAGAGCCAGGGGACAATGTCGATGTGGTCAACTGGAGCATGGCTGAGATCTCGTGTGCTTTAATGTGTGGCAGTCTTCCTGCACTACGACCTCTACTCAAGAAGATTCCTGGATTTCTCACCACGATACGAAGCACTCGACCAACAATCGAGGTGAAAGATACCCTCAACAGGGGAAGCCGCCTTCCTTCATTTGGAGACAAAGAGTCTGTCGTTCCGACTCAGGATAGCAAGCCTCGACATCTCTCAGTATCTTCCCCCGACTCGTCCCCATCGGACGACTCATTCATGATCAAGATCCACATTGCGGAGCAGCTTGATCCAAGAATGAAGCCACTACCACCGGCACCGCTGCAGCCACTTAGTTACCAGCCCCCTTGGAGAGATAGTGGCACTTTGCAGACTCCAAGAACCCCGATTACTCCGATGAGCATCAGGAGTGTCAGGAGAGAGGCCAACGCAGAGTACGAACTAGATTTCAGAGGCGTCGTTGATACGAAGACGTGGATGTAGGCATGGAACGAGCATGACATAGAGATACCCATTTGATACAGGAGGATAGAACACGATGATACCCCATTCTTAAAGTAAATAGAAGTTACCTCACAATGAACAGAAGTTCTGTTATCTGAAAGTCTCCCGGTCGTCGAGTTTCCGAGGACTTGAAGTTAACGCGAATGATGCCTCAGTTTCTCAACTTCCTTTCATGATCCCGAAGTTCAAGGTCGGCAGAGAGGAAACAAAGAATAAGATTATTCTGTATTCAGATTGTTCAAGTTCGTCATTTAATTTCGATTTACCATGGGAAGACAGTGACGGAACCTTCGACTTCGGCGTCGGAAATTTGCTGTTATGTCCGATCAAAGAACTCGAGTTATCCGTGGGAACAACCCAAATCAGACAACCGAAATTGCCAGTTAGTGATGTAAGCTTAAAAAAGACCTGAACAGAGGTCTAAAGCATTGAGTTGATAAGATCTTCCAGAAGCAAGGGGTCAGGTCAATTAGCTGGTGGTGTACTTGAGAGCCAGCACCGCTCAACCAATCAGGAACGGGCGGAATTCTCGTATTGAATACGACAAGTTATCCGAGACACGGAGACGGCACGTGCGGGGAGGCCGGTCGCGGAACATGAATAGCATCGAGGAGGTCTAGAGCTCTGAATCCTCAAGCCTTTCAAGGCGCTAGAACATGTGTCGATTAACTCAATGCTGACCCTCAGCTTTTATCAGTTGACACCAGGCGCTGTCATACGCGGCACACGCTCATAGGAATGCACGATGTCGTCCCACTCGAGTCTCCGATCGCTACTGAGCCCGACCGAACGCGCTACCCCACGATCGCGAACCATGAAGGAGGACTAGAGCGAGATCGTCCCGAAAGCAACATCAACAGGATGCACGGCGGCGAAGGAACACACGAGCAGAAGTGGCTGCTGCTGCGGGACATGTCGCAAGAACAAGAGAAGATCTCATAAGAAGCCTTGCAATGGGTGCCACAACTGTAAAACAAGAAAAGCCAAGGCACGTCTCTATGCCCCCTGCCCTTGGGAAGCTAAACAGCCGTTCAAATGCGCGTCCCGCGCCGTTGAATTCATTAAAAGTGCTGGGGCTGACTGTAATAGGATTGACAGTGCGACGAGGATAAGCCCGAATGCGGAAACTGTTTGAGGCTTTCGATACATTGCGACTTGGCTCCTCCGACAACGAATCTCCTGATCTAGTCTCCTACCGAATCGTCGCCGCCGGCACCGGCACCGGCACCGGCTTCGGCACCACGGAAACGGGGCCGTCCTCGCAAGGACTGGGACGCCGTTCCGAAGCTACCAACCCCGACCGCCTCCGGACCGTCCTTCTTACCCTCCGACCTCCCCGCGGCCCTGAACCCAGACGACCTCGAAGTCCTACATCACTACATGTGCCACACAGCTATTACGCTCGGTGAAGCCGGTGTCTGGCGTCAGAATGTACCGCGGCTTGGCTTCCAACACCACTACGTCCTTCACATGGTCCTGGCAATATCGGCACAGCATCTTGCCAGACTCCGGCCAGCTGAGGCCCCACGCTGCGAGGCGCTCACAGAGCAGCTCCCCACGAGTGCGTTGCCGGCGATCATGAACCTCGTCCCACGACTGGACAAAGACAATAGCCAAGCCCTCTACCACATCGCAGTGCTCGTCTGCTTATCGACATTTGCGAAGAAGCCAAGCCCGGGGCAGCTCTTGGTCACCCCAGAAGATTGTGAAGTCCCTTGGTGTGGAATGCTCCGAGGCGTACATATAGTCGTTCAAAACATGGGCATACATACCATCATCGCCGGCTGGGCGGACGACAGCGTATCTTTCAGACACACCTGGACTCACTGCCCGCCACTTCCCAACCCGGTGCCCAAAATGGTCATATGGGAGCGGCGGCTCGAGGAGCTCGCCGATCTGGTGGCCACAATTCCTGCGCCGGAGCGGGAGATGTACACGAGCTCACTCGACCTGCTGAAAGACTGTTTCAAGTAGACATTTCGTGTCTGTCGACCACGCCGTGCTTCCCGTTCAAAAGATGATCGCTTGAATCTATCTCGACGTGCCATTCCTCACATCCCCAACCCTAGCAGTGTTGGCCAATGTCGGTTGGCATGATGAGCCAGAATCGGTGACTTCTCAAGCCCCCCTCTCGGCGAACTTTCCGCGGCATTGTGCCAAGAGAATGAAACCACCACACGCCCCATTGTAACCCAACGTGAATGAGGAGACTGAAGACTGAATGACCGCAATGAGTACCTTCTCGAGAATGGGAGGGCGGGGCTATGTTCTCTGCACCGCATCTGGTCCATGTCGCCATGTCTGCTTTGTCGGTATCGTGTGATCGTCCACACCATGGTGGTTCATGAGATTGCGCCTGCATGATTTCGTACGCCCTAGGTCAGCCTGCATCTAATCCAGCTCTTCATCGTCTGCTCGAGGTAAGTCATATGCCGTATAAGTATTTGATTCTCGTGGTTAATCTTCTCACAGCTCTCCAGCGCGAAATACGACCAACACTGTGCCGTAGATTGAACTTTGAAGACTGGGGTCCGGAGGATCTGGGATGCCAATCTCGTTAGTACCGTGGCGATGGGCAGACAGACTACTTGAGCGTGCTCACACCGCTTCACGTCCCCATCGGAATCAGGGGCAGCGGCGCAGATTGCTGCGCCTCTTCCAATGCCGCGGCGTCTTGTCCTACCTCGACCCAGCGACTCGGAATCGATGGCTATGGAGCAGCGGAGCAGCGGAGCAGCGGAGCACAGGATCCAGGGACACGGAGCAAATCGGCCTCTGGTGGATCAGATCCAAGCAAGGGTGTGTGGCAATCATCCTGCTGGGCATCCATGTCGAAACAATCGGGATGAGTGGCTAGTTATGTAATTTTTATCAGTACGGATAGAGATGGAGGGGAGGGCAGATTGTTTTCCTTTCGTTTGGGACACCCCGCGTCGAGCTTCGAAGGCAGCAAAGAGGCGAAGCCCGCAAACGAGATCCAGTCCGCTTGGCCATTAGTAGTAAGGCCTGCACAAACGCCCTCGCGCGGCCGTCCGCGCAGGGGAATACAGTTTCTGACCGCTACTCTGCCGCAACCCGGGGTTAGGGACTTCTCTCATATCTCCAGAATCAGTGCAACTGCTCCTTGCGACTTTGCGATCCCCCTTTAGGATGGTCAAGTCGTCAACCCTGATCCAAGATCGCCCGCATGAACCCCTTGTCACGAGACCGTAGGCTCGGAACAGCAGTCCATCGGCTGTTCCACATAGAGAGAGTTCATTCATTGAGAATTCCCGTGAAAAACCTTAAATCAGGCGGTGAAGAAGTCTATCAGGCTTCTCTTGGAGCTTGCCGATGGACCGCCGGCCTTCCACGTAGTAGATAGAAGTATTCCAGACTCCTGGTCCCTGGATGAGTCTAGCGCCATTGAGTTAATTCTCCGAGGGCACGTCCATAGGATCACCAGTTAAACGACCCTGGACGATGATCTAGGGCTCGTTGTGGCTCGATTGGAAGTAATCGATGGCACTAGTTTCCGTTTCCAAATTCGTGGCAGAGAATCGAAAACCTCTGACGCTGGTCCATGTAGTCCTCGTCTTCTTTGATGCGATAGCGGGCCGGTTGGCTCCCAGACCTCCCCTTCGACGCCAAGCCAGTGTGCAACTTGCCAGAACAAATCAATACTCGTCCTTTCACGACCAATCACAAAGAGAGTATTCAGAAACAACACTGAACAGTCTCTACATATGAAAAAAGCCTAGTTGAACAGTGTTGCTGGGTTCAAGCTCCCCAAGTAGTGAGATCCGATGCCAAAATCCCGTCCTAAACCGCCCGTGAAGCCATGTCAAACAACCACAACCCACCCAAATCGCATCAAATCGGCTGGAAATCAATCCATGGCCTCAAGAGACATGTTTGCTTCAGTTTGGAACCCTTTTACATTCTCAATTGCGACCAACGGCACTTGTTGGCGGTGGCGGACGGGGCCGGGATGCCCTGATCGCAATTGCGATCGAAGATTGCTTCTTAGTCGTAAGCCGCCCCGTTGAGCCATGGATCGACTCCCTCTTCCTCTCTCATTCCGAATTCACTTTCCAGAGTATCCTGAAGTTGTTCCCGACTCTTGTTTGTCTTTTCCCATCATCTAGGATCCGGTATTTGCGCGTTTGTGTGTGGTTCCGGGTTGATGGCTACTCTCCATGTCTATCTGACTTGAACCGAATGGTGCTCAACAACACGCCAAAGAGGTGAGTTATCCCCAATCGGGTGTAAGCCGGACCAGATCCTTGGCCATGGAATAGCGCTAGAATTATCGAGTTGAACTAACCTTGTCGATTTGTTCGAGGGTAGATCTACAAGATCGCAGGGTCATTTTACTCGGCAGCAACAGCCTTCATTTTCACTCGGCTCGGTTGTCAACAGCGACCCCAAGTACATTGGAACAAGCAACAGACTTACAGAAGCCTGGGTTCGAGAACAGCAAGCCACCTTCCCAGCAAACCTCATCAAGCTCTCCGAGCAAGGATTCAAAACCGAGGCCAAGGTTACTGAGCATCGTGTTCAGCGCATTTACCAGATAGGAGAAGAGGTCACAGAGAACCTCGCAGCGTTTCAGGAGCCACGAAAACCACACTTTTGGCCATCTAGCAACCATGGGCGAGAACAGCAAACGAGTCCGGCAGCGAAGCCGTGAGTCTGTCACTCACGGCAAGTCCAGCCAGGTCTTGGAGGTCAAGCGACCCAAACTTACAACCAACGTTCCTGTCGATGTCATTCAGCAACCAACTCCACAGTCACCGATGGGCTGGTCCAGTATGAAGGACTTTCTCATGACTGAGCTCAGGAGAGAGATGGGTCTTCCTCTGCACCGCCCCCAATGCAAGGACAACGTCGACGAGAAGAGCGTCAACCTGGCCTGCCCTCTTTTTATCAAAAACCCAGCGGCATTTACTCATGTCAGAAATTCCTGTACTGATGGAAACATCAAGGGTGGGATCGGTAAATTGATGTGAGTTTACAACCCCTGTCACTGTCATGCAGGCGAGGCATACTGACTTACCCAACCCAGCGAGCACATCAAGCGAGTTCATCTGAGAAGTGACAAGCAGTGCCATCACTGTGGAGCCCGCTTTGGTTCAAAGCCAGCGGAATCCAAGTCATCCCACTCGCGCAGCTGCACCAAAATGTGGTCGCCTCACGAGCCCCCTTTGCTGTCGGAAGACCAACAACGTGTTCTGGAGAACATTTCTGTGCGGGCTAGTGGACAATCGCTCGACTACAAGTATCGGCACAAGCTCCTGATGAAGCTGTACCCCGGCCAGGAGGACTGGGCAAAGAAAGTGGAGATTTGTAAGTCAACTCGAGTGCTCACAATTGACCTGGCCAGCCGCTAACTTGTTGGCACAGACCACGATGCCTATTCCCCCTGTCTTTTGCCTACGCAACTCATGTTTGACGCGATGGAGAAGGCCGTCGACAGATGGGAAAGGGGGTACGCAACGCATTACGACTCTGATGGAAGTGATGCGGACTCCGAGAGATCCAGAGAATACCGAAGACTCTCTGGATCGAGCCCAAGTGCATCCTCTACCGATGCTTCAAGCGCGTACCCTTCTGCAAGCTCCGGTGGATATAGCCGGACCATAGGGAACGGCAACGGATACAGCTCGCACCACGCTTATCACAACTCTGGCTACCAAGACCAGAACTGGGGCGTGGACAACATGTCTCTGGCGACAGACTCTACGCAGCACGCGAACACATCCGGTGTCACCTCATCATCATCACACGAGTCTCGAAAGACCCGATCAAAGAGTCGGCCGGCTGAGGCTGGCTACGCGGGGATGCAACTCCCGACAGATTACCAGACATACTCACACCCTGGGACAGTGGACGATTTTGACGAACTCGGCACCTCGGCTTTTGATGCTTTTGAGCCGGTATTCGACGTCGTCTCAACTGTTCCATCCGACTATCACTCTTACACCATGGACACTGAGCCGGGTCTCAACTTTGATTACCCTGCTCAGGCTCACTACTCAAAAGACACAATCAACCCCAAGGACTTACATAACACTTTGATCGGAATGGGATCGGCGACAGTGCCCAGGTATCTCATGGATAGCGAAGAAGACGCGGGTATTATACTTCAGGATACTCAAGAGTATCTGGGCTTTGCTGGCCAAGCTAGGAGGTCTCATAGATGAGCGGAGTTTGGGTTTCGGGTATCACGACACTTACGACGAAATGATGCATCATGTCACGGAGTTGCCTAGGTTGGGCGCCAGGACTGAAAGGGGTCAGATTTCCTGTATGAGCGGCAAACTGATATTTTGCTATCGTAATATCTACATCTTTCTGAATCTTGCTTCTTCAACCTCGTTTTGACACCTCCACTTTTGCATTTGTGCCTCTGAATCATTCTGATGCTTCATCCCGACTCATCTGAGGACACGGATGCATGCTTCAAACTCAGAATCCGTCTCCCAAGAATCAGAGATTCAGCGCCAGAACCACAAGGGAGCCGAGGACGAAAGACATGTTGAGATGGACGCAAAGATGTCCAACTCCTGACTTCGGCCTAGTCGTCGAAGTCGGTGTCGAAGCCGGCAAAGATCCCGCCGCTGTGCTACTTGGAGAGTTGCCAGAGCTTCCGTCACTTCCTGAGGCCTCAACGATTGGAGCCTTGGAATCCGTAATCAGTAGATTTGACACCGCAGCGAGTACACTCAAGCCCTCCCCAAGACCAGTGGTCTTGTCGGCCGTCTGAGGGTCGACGAATGTGCCAGTGCTCCAATAGAAGCCGCAGCGATTGCTGACTTCTGAAGTTCCAGCCACACACTGCTTGACCGCAGCTGCAGCAGAAGTTTTCAAAACCGGAAGCCACTTGTCTGCCAAGAAAGGGGCAAGTTGAGTGGCTGAAGAGAGCCACCGGTGCACGAATCCTTTGTAGAAGAGGGCATCGGTGGGACAGCGACCTTTATTTCCTTCGCAAGCCGCTTCAAACAAAATCCCCTTAGGGAAGAAGTCTTCCAAAAGAGTGTCAGACAGTCCAAGGGCACGATCGCGCCAGACGTCGGAGCCGTTGGTCTGTGATCGTCGTTAGTTGGATCGCCCTCCCAGAATCAAACGTCCGATAGAAAGACTCACGATGTTGTACATGAATGCCGCGCCTTGAATGAGCATAGCCGGCGTATAAGACCACTACACCTTGTTGATATTGGTGCAGTTAGTCTCTACACCCGCTCCGTCATAAACCTTCCAGTTATTAGTATCAACGAAACCGACTCCGGTGAGCCAGTCCCATCTCTTGTCAGAGTACTCAGAGTAAGTCGTGTTACCGCTGAACCGAGCCAGCCGGGCTCCCAAATTGAAGAAACATGCATTGGAGCCCGCTACGTAGAGTCAGCCCCGACTGCGCTCAATCTTTCCAGTGAGATACCATAACTCACTGTGCTTCCAATCGTATCCAGCATTCGATGCAGAAATCTGCCAGCGGAGGCCGCCGTTGCAAGTATCATCATAGCGATCAGGCGATGCTTGAGTCCTCCATACATTCTCCGCAAGATCAATCCACTTGGGTTTCCCGTCCATCTCAGGGAATCCATATTCCGCAGCCAGCAGGGCGGCAGTGCCCCAGAAACACTGATCTTCGTTGCCAAGATTGGCTGTCTGATTCGGAGGCATGTAATCGTTGTTTGGCCCAACCTGGAACTGCAACGCCTTGCTGATTGTAGCCGCATAAGAATCATCCCCTGTCAAGTGCCAGTAGTCGAGATATGTGGCGAAGAAGCTGCCACTTAGGTACCACCAGTATCCGTTCTTGTCCTCGGACGACCATGACAAGATTCCCGGAGTGTTTCCCGGCTCATCGCCTTTGTAGAAAGTCATTAAATCCTTGGCGAGCGAGCGTGAGGACTCCTTGATGCTGTTCGGGCTGCTGATGTCAAGCTCAGCGATTACGCTGGGTAAAGCGCCCAAGAGCAGAATAGGCCCCGCAAGCGTTGAAATCAGTGGAGAGAGCATGATGTAAAATAATAGGGAGAGTCTTGATTTGATGAGCTCAAACTGACCCACGTCTTTCAAGGCGATGAGGAAGACAAGGTTTGGTTTCAACGAGCGTTGATGACTGGTAAGGACTGGAGTGTTGAGGGCCACAAAGTGCTTTATATTCCCGAGCCAGCCAGGACGTGGTGAAGTTTCCCCGTCCCGCGACCTGAATGGCAAGATTATGGCGCCAGTGAGGATTTCAGGAGAAAAGTATCTCGCGGAGTTCCTCACGTCGCTTACTCTAGTCGGGCGTTGTTGACCCCTGTTGTGCCGCGTCGACTAGCCGCCTTCGATCGATGCCCGCCTAGCGGTACCAGCACTAGGCCTAATAAGTAAAAATGTTAATTGCTGCCATGCTCGTATTTGTTATGTTCATTACTGATGATCAGAAATCTCCAATTTAAATGCGATCCCTTCCCAGAAGTTGCCGCAACTCCATTGCCATGCTAGATGCCAGCCGCTCACCCAGTGTCGACCTCCACCATCAATCATTCAACTGATTCTTTCCCTTTTACTTGCGATTCCGCTTCCTCAAGTGACTTGCCTCCTTCCTTCGCGCCGACCGGAAGCTTTTGGGAGTTATCGCTAGCGCCCTCGGCCTTCTTTTCCACGGCCCTTTTGGCCTTCTTAATTTCTTTTGCATCAGCTTCCTCCTTGGCTCCCTCGCTGTCCGAGTCCGAAGCGAGTGCCTTGAGCGCTTTCATCTTGAGAGCTTTCTTCTTCTTCGCTTTTCGCTCACTTGCCGCCTTCTTCCGTCGTTGTGCTTCGTCCATCGCGGCCTTCTCTTCCACAATCCAACCTGCAATGCTTTTGACGGCCATTTCTGGAGCATTTCGGTAATTAAGCAAGAATCCTTGCAATTGTGCTGGGGTGAATACGTTATTTGGTACTTGACAACTGAATCCCTCTGCCAATTTGTTGAATGCCAAATTCTGCTCCCTCAGAGCCTCACCGCCTTTGTCCGTGGCAGCGGTCTCGGTTGACAGGTGTGGTCGATACATCCGCTCAAACATACCTTTCGCACTTCCCTTTGAGATGTTCCCCAGATAGATCATTCTGTCGATGCGGCCGGGTCTCACGAGGGCCCTGTCAAGCTTATGAGCCACATTGGACGTCATCAGGACGATGCGGCCTTCTTGGGACGCAACTCCGTCTAGGACGTTCAAAAGGCCGGACAAAGTGCACCGGCATCGTTCAAAAGGTCTTGTGCTGCTTCCATCGCTGCTGTCGCCGTCATCTGACGACGAATCATCGGGGTCGAACTTCTTACGCCGCTGGATTCCAATGGCGTCAATATCCTCCAGCAGAATGATGCATTTTGGCGGCAGCGCAGTGAAGAGGTTCTCCAAGTCGTTGTCTTCTCGAATGCTGGGGATATGGAGCAGGTAAAGCTCCAGGTTGAAGTAGCTTGCGAGTGCAAGAGACAGTGACGTCTTGCCCGTACCGGGTGGTCCGTAAAAGAGATACCCTCTCCGGTAAGGAATCCCTCTCTCCGTATAAAATTTCCTGGTATTTTGATTGAGATAGGTCTCTATGTCATCAATAAGCTCTCTCTTCGTCTTGTCATCAAAGTGTACGGTTTCCAGTGGCCGGATCGGTCGGAGAATAGTGGTGTCCCAGTTCTGATGATTGTACTGATTCTTTGTCGCTCTCACCGTGATGAAAGCCTCGCGCTGCTTATCTGCAAAGAGCCGACAGTTATTCAGAAAATCTTTGACAGGCTGGATGGCGCGTCCCAACCGCATCACGACGAGAGGCTCATTGCCTTCCGGGGCGGCAGAATATTCGTCGGGAACGCCGGTATATGCAGAGCCGGCGCGGACATTAGAGACTCGCCGCACCATGAAGAATCCTCCCTCATATACGAACCAGGTGGTACCAAAGGTCGGCAGATACTGCACAGGGACTCTCTTCTCATGGTGGAGGTCGTCCCGCTCGATAGGCTTCCGATAGTACCATGCCTCGTTCTGGATCACCTCAGTCCGAGCGGTCAAAATGCGAGTGCCTTGTCGGGTGAGAACGTGTGCACCCAGCCAGTTGAGCACTTCTCTGTTGAGCTTGTCGTTGCTCCCGATGGAGATGGAAGCGGTGAAGAAACGCGTTATCCACCAGTAGAGCTGCGTCCCCAACTTTTGAATGCTTGTCAACGCTCTTGGCAATTCCCCTCCAAGTGTTATTAAGACGAGAATGGTGGCGATGTCGAGTTTCAGCCAAGTTGTAAAGAATTTGAAGCCTGGCGCGGTGCGTTCCAGGAAGTCGTGGAGTCCCTGGTTGAGCTTTTGGGACGTTAGATCAGTAGCGCTGGTGAGGAGTGAGGCCTTGGTCAGCCTAAATAGGTCGCTCATTGTTTTTCCAAGTGAGATTGAGTAATGAGAGTCGCGGATAATGGCAGCAGATTGGGTGCCAGTCTTGCTGTTAAACCCACTTTCAATTTCTGGCGAGGCAACATATATGAAGTCGCGTGAAGCTTCAGGCAGAAACGAGGCTGCCTGGGTTGTCTCACCGATGTCCCCTGACCCTTGAACTCAATTGGAATCGGAAAGGCGAGCTAGCCAAATGGATCCTGCAAGAATCAGCGTGACGCATGACGGAATGTGGCATAGTTCGATTCGCTGATTCTGGATCGGAAGCTGACTCCGCGTTGGAGCCAATGGTTGGAAGAAAGCGCTTAGATCTGTGACACAGTGAGACAGTCATCCTTGGCTGCCGCCTTGCTCACACTCTCGTGCATTTCCACTCACAATTTTGTGAGCCGTTCCCAACAGTTTGGTTGGTCTTGAATTCACTTTGCCGTCGCGATTATACCAGGACAATGACCCTTCCTGACGGTGAATGGCATGAGTCTTCGCGTATCAGGGAAAACGTCTCCTCAGAGCTGAAAAGTCATCTAAATGTTGCAATTGAAATCAAGAAGTAAATCCCAAATAGTTCGTGTTACTCACTGCTGTGAGACTTTCGGACTTCCGGGTCACTAGTATAATGCAAGATCTCTTGGCCAAGTTCAATTTGGTGCCTTGTAACTCCTTATGGAATGGTCATGAACGTTGTCTACCCCAGCGAAGAAAGTGGCCGTGATCCTTGTCTGGACGCTCGACACTAAGCTAAATATTTGCTTCATTCCAGTCACGATATTCATATTTTCAGTAATTTCCTAGTCAGCAGGCGTCTTATATGTTTGACCTCATGGCAAATCTGAGTCCATCCTCAATCGCTGCGAGTGCGAAGCCTGGATGAGAGTGGAGGTGACTAATGAGTGCTCTTGCAATTGAAGGATTGACTCATGAGAATTGATTATGATGAAATTTGGGAATACTGCATTGTGGATTTGGGTCTGTTCCTCAATTTAATGATACACACTCAAACTCCTCAAATGGTTTTAGGAAGCTCAACTACTTTTATGTACCTTATTACGGACATTAAACACGATCACCTTGCCACTTTGGAGAGTTGCGACCTCATCGTTGGCTCCGGGCCGCATAGTCGAATAAGAAGCCAAGAATCGCTTTCCTATTTGTGCTTGTTGTCCCATGTTCGCAAGTTCAAGACTCAATGTGCAACGGAAGTTTGAAGCCATATTACATTACTAATCTTCAAGCTTCTGGTGAGTAGTATTTGACATTGGCCAATGGTTTCACCAGTAACAGACTCTTATGAACTGAAAGAGTCAGAAAAGTTGATCTAGAAGACACCTTGCTGTTCAAGGCTTGAATACTGTAGCCTAGTAGACACGGTCTATCAACTACCATCAGTCCTATTCACTATGTCTACATGTAGACACGTCCAATGATCAGTCATACGATTTCGAAATAGGTTCAAATAGCAAAAGGTTTGGACAGTCTTGCAGATATTTTTTATGGTTAGGGAACGTGGTGTTGCAGCTAAAGCATTGAATCCAAGCATCCAAAATGACGAGCTAAAACTAAGAACAAGATCTACGGCAACTTGAGGTATCCCTGCACCTGCGTTCCCGGCAGGCAGCAAAGGCAATCGTTCGCCGCCAGAGGCGAGGTGAGTCTGTTGATTTTTTTTTCCAATGAGAAAATTCTCACAAATGATCACTCCGATGGTGTTCTCTGCCCAATTTGAGAATGGTCTGCAGCTCACCCAGCCCTATCCCTTACCGGAATGCCTCGTCAGCATTTGGGCCGCTTGATTACGGCAGTATAGGCCTGACACGAATATCAATGATTCAGGTACGCCATTCCTTTAGTCTAACAACTCAACCGTTCATTGCCTTTGCTAATACTTATTCGAAACAAACACCCAAACAATCTGCGATCAAGGCGGTGTGGACAGTGGAGATGACTCGGCTGTCGTCAACATTGAAGGCAGACTTTGCTGATGACATCTAGACTCTTCTTGCAGCACTGAAATTTTTTGTGTTTCTCTCTCTATCTGCTAAAACATCTGCGAGAATCTTGACGATGTGTCAAGATCGGGTCTGCATCAATATCTCGTGCAAACCATTCGCAGTGCAGGAACAGCAGCATGTTGGCATTTGCGGACGCAATTAAGGGAACGTGGGTCAAGTTCGTGGGACAGTTGAGCATCGCGACAACAAACCAATGTTCTCTGAGGTTAGGTTAAGTCTATAACCGAAGATTCATGTCCCGAGGACGTGTAATGTCGAGGCATGCCATACAGGACAGTCGAGGCAGCAGCCAGAGGCGCTGTCAGCCCCTGTCAAGTTTTGATTCAAGCAATGCTTCTGCCCAACTTCATCCCAACAAAGACAGACCCAGGTCATTGATCGTCGTACGACCCCTCCGTAGATACCCTGCTTCCGAAGACCCTCTCGTTTTACACGTGGGTTAAGGTCAAACTTTCCAAACAAAGCTTGTAAAACGACACAAGGGCCTTCTACTACGACGCTGTTGTCAGAAATCGCCGCAGAAATCACCTTGACAAGGGAGTCATCGGAAGTGTCCCCAGTCAAGAAAAATGTTGCCGGCATGGTCGTCCGGGGAGCGTATCCTTGAGATCCCCTCTAACGTGCGCACGCACCTCTCGACAAGACTCCTATCAATTTGTATTCGGCCCATTACTGGGCAACGCGACCCCGTTGGGAAGTGCCGTTGAAGAATGGCCCGCATTAAGTGCAACGCAACGAATCTCCTGAGTCGTTGGACCCGCACCCAGCTCCGTAACCCTCGCGAGAGATTTTGCAGTTGCCGTATGTTGGTGGACTCCTTCCAGGGTTTTCCGAGTTCCGGGATGGGATTCCGGCGAGCTAAAGGCGTGTTTTCCAGGGATATCACAGGGGCCGCAGGTTTTAGTTTTACAAAGAAGAGGGGGAGAGGATGGCTTGCGTTGAGCGAGGGGCAAACGCGAGTTAAGATGGGCTTCCATGAGCAGATATCACTCAATTTAAATAACATGGCACTGCCTTTCTTCTGTCTGTCATTGATTCAAGCTTTTGACTTTTTCTGGAAATTCCCCTGCCGAGCTAATTCTTCTCGCTTAATTCTTTAACGCAATTCACACGCTACCAACCATGTCTACCACCAAGCCCACTTTCGTCCTCGCTCCTGGTGCGTGGCACAAGGAGACCTGCTACTCGCCCGCTCAGAAGATTCTCGAGTCTCGCGGCTATCCCGTCGAGGCCGTTGAGTACCCCTCTGTCGGCGCTGAGCCCCCAACCAAAGGCCTGACAGATGATGCCAATGCGGTCAGAGCTGTCCTCCAGAGACTCGCCGACGAGGGCAAGGAAATCGTTCTGGTCGTGCACTCCTATGGCGGTCTTGTCGGAGCCAATGCTGTTGAAGGCCTTGGCTACAAGCAGCGCGCCAAGGAGGGCAAGAAGGGCGGTGTTATCACTTTCGTCTACCTCAGTGCCTTTGTTGTGCCCAAGGGCAAGTGCATCAGAGAGATGCTTGGCGGCCAGTTCCTCCCCTGGATGAAGTTTGAGGTAAGACGATGCGGAGAAAAGCGGGTGGATGACCAGACCCCCAAACTCACATTTTTGCAGGGCAACTACGTCTACGCGGAGACTCCTGAAGTGTTCTTCTACCACGACGTTGAGCCCGAGACCCGCGCCAAGGCCATTGAGCAGCTGCAGCACCAGTCCGCCCAGGTCTTTGACGATGTCGTTACCTACGAGCCGTGGCACGAGATCGACTCCATGTTCTTCTTCTGTGACGAAGACAAGGCGATTCCCCTCGCTGTCCAACAGGGCATGGCCACCATTCTCGGCCCTACCGCCATCACCTACTCTTCCAAGGCCTCCCACTCCCCCTTCCTGTCTCAGCCCGGTGATGTCGCCGAGGGTTTGGAGCTTGCTGCCAAGGTTGGGCAGGAGAGAGTCAAGGCTTAAAGTTTGATAGATTTTGCCGTTTGGGCCGAGAGCCAGGCATGTTAGATGTTCAATGTAATCATGATTAACGACCTCATCATCTGTTCTCGGGACGCAAGTGTTTTCAGGCTCGGCGTGAACGTCTATAAAAAGTCGCAAATGAGATACCTAAACCGATGTTGAGACAGAAGGAACAGTGCGGAGTGTCGAAGATGGAGCCCGCCCTGTCCCCGTAAGGCCTCACTAAAAGTCATGAGTATCTTGACGCTCTTACTGGAACAGGGATTTTCGGCTTTACGAGACCTCGTCCGTAGTAGTTGATCTCTCTGAGTGAGGTTACCAGACAAATACTGATCAGGTCTTCCGTGTCGAACTGAAAGAAGCTCCCAGATATATCACTACAGATTCATCAGCTATACTGATGACGTCCAAGAGGTGCACTTGACTCATGCATTATACTTTGACCAGGTGTTCCATACTTCGCATCTGCTGTCAACCCGTTGACGATCGCTTCGGGCCGCCCCAAGCAGCAGGGTCCCACTACTGCCCATATCGGCACGTAGGACACGGAGCTTAGATGAACTACCGCGTCTCCAGCGTCCGAGCGTGCAGCAATGGTACCTCGCCTCGTGAGCATCAGTGGAATCACTCATTGCCGGAGCACGACAAGGAGTCTGAGTCACAACCGCATGTTATCCCCTGCATACGAACCCTGAGGTCCCCTTGACGGGAAATCAGAGGTGTGGGTGGAACATTCTCAAACGGGTCGCCAGGCTTTATGAAGCGGAAATGCCCACCCCCCATCGATCTCTTCTAATGTGCTACTGGAAGAGCGCCAAGCTACTGACAGCCCTTTATTGGCCTTCCTATAGCACAATAGAGTCTCCTGCCTGGTTGTGTACCCACATCTTGAAGTGCGATAGTTACAATACTGACTTGGGCGCATCCCAATGTTTCGGTTCAGGAAAGGAGACAGTTGAATCTTCCATCTTTATCCCAATCTGCCACCTTCCAAGACCAGGCCAAAAGTTCTCGTGTTCGCCGATGAAATCGCCCTTTTCATCCACCTGTCGGATGTCAAACCAACCCAGGCTCGCCTTCTTCGAACTTTGGCCAGGCGCAATGCTGCACCAGCGATCGGTCCCTGGTAGTTCGCCCTGGCTACCTTTCCCTTCGGGGAGTGGAGGTTGAACGAGCGTTGCATCAATACCGACATATTTCAAGATGTCTAGTGAGAGGGGAACTGAAGGCACATAGGGGATCGGCTTGAAGGTGGCTTGGAAGAGAGGCGTGGTGCTTGCCGAAGATTCCTTCAAGTCACCAGACGTGTCGTGAGGGAAAACCTTTACGCTGGTGCTACCATCCGAATTTGTCTTCCAGTCGAAGGTCGCTAGATGTTTGGGAATGTTCCAATCTAGCTCCCTTGTGAGCAACAGGCATCGATGCCAAGGGAAATGGCCAGGGAAACTTACTCTTTCGCCCATTCCAGCACGTATACTTTTGTGAGACGTATATCCTTGTGATTCTCGCATTCTTCTTTTTGATGCGCCTGCCATTCTCCTCGATTGTGTACTCATGAAACCCCGGGCTCAAGATCAGTTCATCATAGGGACCGACCGGACTTTCGGTGTAACGGATGATTTGAATCATGCTGATTCCCCCAAGAGGGCGGCTTCCTTCAGGGCGTATGAATGACGAGTTCGCCTCTAGAGGAGAGTACGTAATTGTCGGAGGGTGTTCTGCCTGCTTCCTGGGCACCCAGAAGCTGAAGAGGTAGACGTCACCCTTGAGCTTCCATGGTGCAGGAACAGGGGTGATATCGCTAGTCATGACGGCGAGAGCCTTGCTGCTTCGGCTTTTCGGGGCTATTAGTGAGCTAATGGCGACAGGAGTCTCTGCATCACTACCGCTTGAAGAAACTTGGAGCAATCTGAAAAGACCAAGAGCATGCAAGATGAAGAATCGACAAGAAACAGAGCAGACGAGGAGGTTGCCGGCGCATGAACGACAACTGAACCATTGGTGGGGGACCGAATGCACTACCCGCACTTTGTATCCCCAGCCCCTCGGCTATGAGACAGCCATGGCATGTTGCATTCAGCCACCAAGACTGGTAAAGCAGACATTCCTCCTTGCGGGGTTAAGCCCCGGGTCACATCACAAGGGGCCTCGGTGCTTGGCAAGGCACCGACGATCTAGTTACCTTCTTCGGAAATAGAATGGGGCTAGCTGATGATGTCTCAAATGCCGTCCCGCACTATTCACCGCGGCCTAAGAAAAGCCTCTCAAATCGTGGAGAAAACCGTTGTCGCCGTCATTTTGCAATCGCTTAGCTTTTAGGAACACATGCGTTGGGTAAGTGATGATTGTGCCGTATATGAGGCCCATGATCTGTATTTCAGATGTTTCCCAAGTAAGTTGTCGTGGTATTTTGTCTAAAATTCTTATTGGGGCTCTTTCCGTCCTGCAAATTCTCAAAAGTCACACACGTCATTGAAAGAGATAATAGATATTCCGGTGACAGTGCATCTTCAGAAGGAATACGAATAACTTTCATACGTCACAACCTAGACAGTTGAGCATATCTTGGAAAAGCATCTACCATTCACAGACCAAACTATATATTTGTCTCGACACTTCAAGGCTATCTGGTCTTCCGAATGTCTGTCCTCGCAGGCAAAAGGGAGCGCGGCTGCCAGCGAATTACCCAAGGACACCACCGCCCTGTGCCGGGTTATCGGCCAAGCCCATGTGGCCCTGCTCGGAAACAAATAAGACCCTTCCAGCCGATGCTCTGTACAGAACGCCATTAAAGGTTTTTGCAGTTTCATGCAGCCCCGGTGAATCTGAATAGGCCATTGAAGCGGGATCTTACCAGAGTTCTCCGGAATGAGTCGGCCAACGCTGTAGTCATTTGCTTTGCTTTGCGAAGTGCAGGCTCCCATTCTAATACCTGAGCCTGGGGGTTCATAATCTGGTCAAAAATACAACCGGGTTTTCTGAACATCCTTGGCTCAAATGGCAACGCCCACTCGATCCTATCTACGAGCCTAAACCCCCAGCTGCAGCTGAGCTCCTTCAAATTTGCTCAGGGTTTCCTCTTATCCCCAGCTGCATATCCATTTGGCCACAAGAGAAGTCTTTGGCCCCTTTGCACAATCCAATCAGGACACCAGGTCAGGTCGGTAGATCGGACAAGCTGTTTTGTGTGCTCTTATGATCACCAAAGATCTCAAGATTCTCCAACGGACGAGTTCATGCAAGCTCGAACAACTTCTTTTTAGCCGTCCTTGATTGACCGACTGCAGCATCGGGGACTCTCGGATGATACTGTTACTTCTGTTCATCGTGATGACCTCTACTTTCCGATTCCGGCCCTGGTTTATTTCGTTTTCGACCACCCCACGGGAAAATAGAGGTCAGCCCTCGGATTTCTGAATAATGCGTTGCCTTATAAACGCTATTTATACAACGGTCAGCCAAGTTGAAGATACAACATGATGGGGAACTTACAATGTATTGTCATCATTGATCTGAACTCGATAGACATTTAGCTCTAAATCATCATACCTAGAGCTTTTTAAAACGTTTTTGTCCACATCAAGGATTATCCATTGCTTCCCGCTCTCGGCGATTCCATGCGGCGTGTAAACATAGTCGCTATCCCAAGCAAAATCCCGTTGAAAGTTTTGTGACATGAAGTCATTGGCAAGGGTTATCGAGCGCTGTAAAGGTTCACCAGGGATTCCCTCCACCCTGACCCTGAAGCAGTACCTCACAGGATGAGCTGGAGTTGTAGCTGTTTCCGCTTCCTTATCGGTTGAACGTTATATGGTATTCATGTTGAGGAGTGTTGTTGAGTGACAGATAAAAATGTCGGGGAAGCGCTGTAGAGACCGCATTTAACACAACGGCTGGAGCGTATTTAAGCCTCAGGCAGCAAGAACACAGTTGATTGGGCTTACGACTTCGCAGTTGGTAAGGGCCGAGGGGGGGCATCACTCCACGTTACTCAGCCATGGTAGCCCATGATCGTCTCATTCTCCATCTCACCTCGTAACGCGCACTAATCATCGGACGCTCTCGAACTAACATAAGGTAAGCGCGTGGTAGATAAAGCTCGGCTATCATTGTGGGAAAAGATAATAACCTTGTCAGAGTTGTACAAAGTCAGCCGAATATAACTATCAATATTGAATTGAGTGTAAAACTAATTAACGCTTTAAAAATACGGTCTTGATACTGGGTGTGTTTGGCATCTTAAATTCTTTTTCAAAAATTGAAGTATTTAGTTTATATAGTTAAGGTATACCAAGACCTATGTTGTGGCGAGCTCGAGTAAAAGCGCAAGCATATTCACTGTATTCAATTACATTTGCTCACCATCTTTAAATGATAACTAAAGATGGGCATTGCGAATGTGGCATCATAAATGAGATGGATGAGCCTTGTCACCGAACTATCTTTAGGCTTCCTATAAGCAAGACTTTTTTTTTTTTTTCGAATTGAAACATGGAAAGAATCTACGTTAGCAATTAGGTGGCTGTGAAGACAAAGTGGAAACCACTGGAGATCTGATAGTCAATAGTTGCTTCTTGATTGATTAGCCAAATCCCTTTCAAACACTCAGCACCAACTCGTGCAACTTGAAAACTTTAGAAGTCATCTTAACTTCAGGAGTGAAGCTCTAGTCGAGGTTCGGGCGAGGTGATATTTTCTAATATCTCAAAACTAAATTCTCTTCATGTGAAGGACGTGCAAAGAACGCAGATTCTGACAGGAGATGGCAGGTATGAGAGGTAAATGAGGGTATCTAATTCGCATTCGATCTCTAAAAGCAAGTTTTTTTCTCCCTGTGACCCTAAACGCCATGCCCTGCGACATCCCCGAGAACCCGCCAAAGCACCGCGCATTTAGAAAGCAGTTCTACGTTTGCGCCCAGTGTACTTGGAGGTAGACTTGACAACCTTTCCCTTTCTCTCCATCTGCTCCTTCTTCTTCACGATCCACGCCTTGCTTCCCTTCTTGATGTCACCCTTGCCGCTCTGCTGGCTGGCTTTCCTCCTCGCGTCCTCGACATCGACATTGTCCATTCCGTCGACGACGTTTGTGATGTCTCCTCCACGGCCGCCCTCTGCAGTGCCACCGACGGTGAGTACAAGGTACAGCTTGACATTCTTCGTCTCCGGGTCGTCCTCGAGCAGACCGGCGCCGAAACCGGCCTTGACGGCTGCCTGAGTAATCATGTTGCGCTGCGTGTCGTTCTTGGGGTAGAACTGGCACACGGCGCGACCGCCTCTGCGTAATGACGCATACAGACCGTTGAAGAATCTGGTGAGGCGGCCCTCGGGGGAGGTATCGCTGCTCTCGGCGTTGCAGAGCCATTGAATCGCGGAAATGCTGATGGCGGCGTCGAAGGAGCCAGCGCGGAAGGGTACGCCCTGGCCAATGTCCGCGAGGAGCAGGTCGCCTTCTACGTCTCGTTGGAGAGCTATGTCGAGCATAGAGGGTGACACGTCCATGCCGACCCAGGTGTGAGGCCCGCCGTCTTCGGGGCCTTCGGCGGTGAGGATTTCGCCGGATAAACCGCTGCCGCAGCCGACGTCGAGGATGAAGGAGGGCTGCTTGAGGTCGAGGAGCTCGAGAGCTCGGCGGGTCATGGATGCCTGAATATTTTGGATACGGGAACTCGTGGTGTACTTGCGGGCTTCGGTGTCATTGTAGTGGATGTCGGCCGCGCTGAGGAGAGACATTTGGTCAGCTGCTATATATGGCGGGGTTGGAAGGGGGGGCTTTGGCCTACAGGGTGTCCTCGGGGCGCGACATGATGGGCGGTTTTGGGTAGGAGACCGATCTGGAATGATCGTGGACGGAGACTCGCGTCAATGGTTGCTTCAGAACAGTCTGTCGTCACGCCGGCGCATCGAAGAATTGGGTGGTGAATTATGTGTCGTGGGAAATCCTCAAAAATTCGCAACTGGGGGGTCGCGGATAGTTATCGATAAGAAAACCACCAGCAATGGAATGGAAGATAAAGGTTTTTTCGATAAGAGCCTCCCCCGCGGACGGGAGGTGGTGGGGTCGAAAACGGCCGCCCGAGTCCAATGAGACAGTCGCTTATCTCATCCACCTCGGATCAAGAAATCCCCCGAGGGTCCGGTAGGTACGGATACGCGCAAAGGCCACGCTTGCGCAAAGTGGAATTCACGACGCGCCCTGGCCAGTCCCTGCCTTTCTCCGTCATAGCTTCGGGAGCCCATGTAGGGAGCTTCTGTGCATAACCCTCCTCCCCCCGTAGTCCAATTGTCCGACAAACTCACACGCTCCTTTTCTTTTTCAACTTCATGCCACGCATCTCGACGACATTTCCAACATTACGCCCGTCACCATGTGGATTCTACCTTTGGTCGGCTACCTCGGCTCCATCGTGGGCTTCTGCTTCCTGACCCTGGCCATCGGTTCGTCTTGACACCCCCGGTTCTCCCTTGGCACCCGACAGAGGATGGTTCTTTACTAACATGGTTTGCCCAGCGTCCGGTCTCTATTACCTATCGGAGCTTGTCGAGGAGCATACCGTCTTTGCGAAGCGTCTTCTTACAAAGTTGATTTACTCAGTCATTGTTCTGCAACTATTATTATGCATCGTCGACCGATTCCCGTTCAAGTTGACCCTCATGGGAGTGGTCTCCCATGTCGTCTATCTTGGCAACATGCGCCGGTTCCCTTTTGTCAGACTGACTGATCCTCTGTTCCTGGCTTCTTGTGGTATGTTCTTGCCTTGGCAATCGCGGAAGATCCTCTGCATACACGTTCTGGACTAACCAATACCTTTCCAGTTCTGGTCCTCGTCAACCACTACCTCTGGTTCCGCCACTTCTCTGCTGCGCAACAGCGGTCCTACTCGAACATGCACTCCTACTACGACCAACCCGAAGTCCCGAGCTTCACCGAGATCGCATCATACTTTGGGCTGTGTGTCTGGCTGATCCCCTTTGCCCTGTTCGTGAGCTTGTCCGCCAGCGACAACGTTCTGCCCACGATGGGTAGCGAAGATCCCTTACGGGACTCTTCGGGTAAGAGCAAGCGCCAAGGTTTCGTCAAGTCCATCGTCGATACCGTCCTCGGTGCACTCGCAGAGGTCTTTAGAACAGTTGGCTGGGAGCGTAGTTGATCTCATGTCAGGGGAGCATGGATGAACGTCACATATGGAGCATGTGGTGTGTACAATACTTGGGTAGAATGATCTAATCGTCAACCCTCAACAAGAGCGAATGAATAGATACCCGGAGACTTTCTCCAACCAAGAAGATCTCTCTGTGTCATCGTACTGCATACGCATCCCTTTTGCACTTAGGAAGGTACACCATGGAACTCTGACTGTCATGGTTAATGATGTTCCCTGAAGCATCTTTCGATACCACGAAGAAGGCCATGTTGCTTGTATGAACACGTCAGCAATGGGCTGCTTACCTTAGCTAGATGCAGTGTTCATGGACGGCCAATCAAGCTCAACGAAACAAAAGGTACTCTGCATGTTCACCGCAAGCGAGGTCCCTGGTCCGCCGCGGCGGCCTAACAGCAAAAGTCCCGCCACAAGAATACAACCCCAATTACTTACGAGCCCTTTTGTGCTTGATTGTCGGCCAGAAGTCTCTGCCCACACTCTGGCGTGGTCCTTTTGCACCACTGCCTGCGCACTAAGCGACTGTACCTTGCAGTGGTCCTCGGTAGTCAGAAGTTCCTGCGAGCTTACCTTAACCTTTTCCAACTGTAAGGTTCTCATGACAGGTGTGCGAATCACAGACCCGCAGCGAGGGTGGTGACCGAATGCGAATGCTATCTGTTCTCAGACCTCAACATCATGGGGAAACGTACTTGATTGGATTTTTTCTTTTTTTCTGTTTGAGAAAATGAGGAGCAAAAGGACCGCCAAAGAAATCCTCATTTGTTGATTGAGAAGGGAGACGGTGAGGAAGAAGAGGAGGAAGAGGAGGAGGAATCTACCGCTTCGCTCCTCATCATAATGAGGAGCGAGGATTGCGAGGAGCACCGGGCCTGGATACAAAAGCTGGCTCGGGGAATCGAATTATTCATTCGGCCTCTTGGTCTATCATCGATGCTTATACATACCAATTGAACTGTCGTCTAGACAAACGAACAAGCAAGTTCCGCCCCTATAATCTGCCACCATGTCCTCAAAGCAAGCTCAAAACCCCTCGCAATACACCACCATCTCTCGGCCCCAACAAGATCAATCACCACACATCTTTACACACCATGAATCCAAAGGCTCAGACAGACTCAACGCCTGGCTGTCATCTCCCGCTTCGGCGGCGCCGTTCCATAACATCAGTGCCTACCGATCGTCAGCTTCCGCTTCCGGTAGCGGCGCGAACGTGTGGGGCTCGGGGCCGGCTCCGAGCAGCAACGGCGCGACGTGGGGCAGCGGGCACGGCCGTCAAAGCTGAGCGGTCCGGGGCGGCGTTGAATGCCGTATGGTAGCAGACCTGGTGCGAGAATCTGAGCGGACGTCAGGTTTAGACGTTTTCTGACGAGAGCTGGATTGAAAGATGGGCGTTGGGATAACTGACATGGGTCAATTGTTTGCGTGGTTTTGCGACATGTGATGCTTTCACTTCGAGATTGTGCTTTTTCGGGATGTCTCCGCGAGCTATGGGGCAATAGGATAATCAATATTACCAAAAGTCCTTCCCCCCCGTTCTTAGATGATTGGAATTCGACTTGTTCCGTAGGATTCTCGCCAACAATGGCAAAACGCTCGCGAGGGAATGAATGTTGACGGTGGTATGATCTCTTAGGACCGTTAACTCCGTGTTCGAGGTCTCCCATCAAGTGAAACCAAGCCGTGCAATTTCCAATACGTCGTGACTATCTCCGGCACCTGTGTGGATTAGTCTCGGTGCCTTTGTCCCGATATTTGCCCGAGGGGCTTCGAATTGAAGCATGGACAGTGACAAGCCCGGGGAAGTTAGGACTTAGGAGTGGCCCTCTAGTGTCATGCTTCATATTCCCCAGCTGAACCAATCTCAAGACGATTCGACTCGAAGCATATACCGAGGGTGGGCCGCGTCATTTCTCGGACGTTTCACTGTGGCTCGAGGATCGGGGTATATATAGAGGTCGTGCCTCGATCTTCGCCATGTAAGAGAGTAGAGATACATTTGGAAGATATAGCATATGCTTCCATGACAAGTTAAGCTCGCCCAGATTTATCAGTACGCCCGGCCGAACATATAATGGCTCCTTCTTACAACAACGAAACCAGAGCGAGCGAGCTGGTGCCCTTCTACGCTCCTCATATCGCCGGCAAGACAATTCTCATCACGGGAGTCTCCCCAGGTAGCATCGGCGATAGCTTTGTCAAGCAGGTCGCCGTAGCCAAGCCAGCAGCCTTCATTCTAGCCGGCCGCTCACCTTCAAAGTTCCAGCCACTAGTGGACGAACTCGCTGCCACACACCCCGATGTCAGAGTCAAATCACTGACCCTGGACCTTACCTCCTTCGCCAACATCCGCAAGGCAGCTGAGACGGTCAACTCATGGACTGAAGTCCCTCACATCGACCTCCTTGTCAACAACGCTGGTATCATGGCCACGTCCTATAAGCTCACAGAAGACGGCTTTGAAAACCAGTTCCAGACTAACCACCTCGGCCATTTCCTCTTCACCAACCTCGTCATGCCCAAGATCCTCGCCTCCCCCTCGCCGCGGATCGTCAACGTCAGCAGCAACGCCCACAGGCTCGGCCACGTGCGCTGGACGGACTATAACTTCAACGAGGGCAAGCACTACGAGAAGTGGGCGGCGTACGGGCAGTCCAAGACTGCCAACAGCCTGTTTTCCATTGCTCTCGCCGAGAGATTGGGCGAGTCTAAGGGTCTGTCGGCGTTCAGTCTCTGCCCGGGGTACGTCCCCACGAACCTCACCGCGCACGAGGCGCACGACTTCCCTGGTTTTCTAGAGGCCCTGCGTAAGGCTGACGTGCTGATGGGGACCAAATACATGTGGGGGATGGGGGATATCAAGCCCAAGGACATGGACCAGGGCGCCGCGACGCACGTGTTCGCGGCGTTTGATCCGCAGTTGAAAGAGAAAAATGGAGAGTACCTGACTGACTGCCATGTCGGAGACCCGTGGAAGGAAGAGGTGTACTCCTGGGCCAGGAGTAAGGTTGATGCGGACATGCTGTGGATCTTGAGTGAGAAACTTGTTGGGCAGGAGTTCAGATACTGAAATGAGCTTTGCGCCTTCCCTCTCTGTATTGGCCGGCGGTGATATATAGTCCAGCTTTATTCCAGAAATCATCGACCCGCCTTAGCCGAGCGGTATACAACCGGTAGAAATCAATTCGGAGGTGGCACTGTCACACTTCGAGATTTCATAGGATTCAAACCTCGCAAGTTCGAATTCCGACCTTTTTGATTTTTTTTTAAAGAATTTAGTCCGCTGCTTTCGATTCCTTCGACTCCCGTGCGGTTGACTTTGAGGAAATTGCGCCGCTGCAGCATTTAAAGTCCTTAGGTCGCTAAGAATGCCATCAATCACAGCTTGAGCAACTTATTCATATCGAGGTCTGAGAAAGAAACGCACTGGTTGAGTGGCTGAGGGCCTCAAGAGAGATTTGGAGGGGAGCTTTAGCCACAGGGTTCTTTGGAGCACACGCCACAGTTCCAGCAGCATCAAAGCACAGCCACATTGAGGGGTACTCTGTTCCTTACTTAATCATCCAGAGCAAAGCGAAAGCCACCAGCACAGCCACTCGCCCTCGTTTGCTTCACCTGCTGATCCTTGCAGTCCAACGAGTGGCGAAAAACCAACCACCAGCGACACCTTGGCGTTGAAGGCCGTAGTCTCTAGCACCCACGTCGGCTGGCTCGAAATCCTCCTCAGACCGGCCCAGACGGACTTACCCGAACTTTGATTGGGGCGTCGAGTGCCTCCCGACGCGTACGCTCGTCATGCGTAGTGCGAGGCAGGTCGAAGAACGAGAAGGAGTGTGAATTGCGGCGGCCGAGTCAACAAGCCCGACTGGAGAAGTCTGCCTCCATGGCCCTTTACCTCCACGGCGGGCTTCCCAGGCAGGGAAAATGAGGCTGTGCCACTGCCGAGCTACCGACGTCATTCGTCCAACCCGAACACAACGCGTTGGTCCCCGTCACAGAGTTTGGTGGCTTTGCGTACATGGGATCAGTTTTCCTTTCTCCCGCTGTTCAAAGTCTTCCCGTCCTGCAAATCGCAGACCGAGTGGTCCTCTAGCCTGCAGTGTCCAGTCCTTAATGGTCTCGGCTTTGCTATCCGACGCCGAGTGACAGACGAAATAGTAGTATCCGTATTGCCGTAGGCGGGCGAAAAAGGGTCCAAACGGATGGATGCCTCTTTTTGCTGGGCTGGGCTGCATCAAGCCAAGCAACATCCATGGAATGCCAACTCTATTGTCGCCGCACCGCCGTGGTCCCCGGTGGCGACGCAGAGGTAGGCGAAGCTTTGCCCTTTCCCCACGCACTGGGGGCTGACGACGCGGCTTTGCGACGACTTGGAGCCCAGATCCAGGCACCCTTTCATGGCTATTGGGCACACTCGCACCTAGAGGCATGTGATGTTCGGTCGAGACACGTCTCGCGCCGCAATGCAAGCTTGCGCTGCGTAACTGCGTAATCCCACATAAGCTTGTTCTTTGGCTGGGCAAACGTCAGGTTCTTTTTAAAAACGTTCTCCCCTCCCAGTGTCTGCCCACGCGCTTTGTCCTCGAGTCTCAAGACTTTCCTTGCGCAATCACCCACATCACACATACACCGAGACCAGACTGTGATGGGATCATTGTACGAGGTTCCAGATACCAGCCGTCACCACTCAACTAACGCCTCTCTCAGACCCGAACGCGACATGGCTCCGAATATTGACTCGGCGCTGGGGACGGCGGACATGGCGAATGAGCAGCGCGGCCTGCTCGAGCTCATCGACAAGCTGCAGTTTGCCCAGCTCGACAATGTCAAGCTACCCCAGATCGTCGTTGTCGGCGACCAGTCGGCGGGAAAGAGTTCTGTCCTTGAGGCCATCACTGGCACGCCATTTCCCCGCGATGCCGGCGCCTGCACACGCTTTGCGACCGAAATTCGCCTGCGCAGGTCGGCCGAAGCAAGTCTGAATGTTTCCATCATTCCCGACAAGAACAAGCCTTTCCGAGATCAGGAACGACTAAAGCAATTTGGCGGCGCCGTCGACACCGACATGTCATTTGAGTCTCTCATGAGATCTGCGGTGGAAATGATCGCGCCGAAGAACATCCCGGGCAGATTCGCCGCCCGCGATATTCTTGTGGTTGAGAAGAGAGGCCCGGATATGCCTCTACTTACACTCGTTGATCTTCCCGGTCTCGTCAAGAACGCCAACAATGACCAGTCGATGGACGATATCAAGACCATCGAAACCCTTTGTGACCGATACATGAAGAGCTCGCGCACCATCATCCTAGCTGTTGTTGGTGGTAATACCGACTACGTCCAGGCGCCCATTCTCACCAAGGCACGCCACTTCGACCCCTCTGGCAGCCGCACCATCGGTGTCCTGACGAAACCCGACCTCTGCGAATCGATCGGTCTGGAAGACAAGTTCATTGAGCTTGTTCAGAATAGAGACAAGCAAAACTACTTCAAGCTTGGCTGGTATGTCCTGCTGAACCCTGGGCCCCGCGATCAGGGCCAGCCCTGGCCTTCAGCGCGCGAACGTCGCCAACGCGAGGAGGAGTTTTTCGGCCGCGGGAAATGGCGTGCTCTCCCCAGCTCCATGTGCGGTGCCAATGCGCTCAAGCAAAAGCTCAGCGTTCAGCTGCAGCGCCACATTGGCCGTCACGTCAAGACGCTTCGCAAGCAGATCCAGAAGGCGCTTGACGACTGTGATTCAGAGCTCAAGTCCATGGGCACTGGTAAGGACACTGTTGAAGAGATGCGCGTCGAGCTAGTTGAGCTCTTCTCCAGCTCCAAGGAATTGGTCATCCCCGCCGTGTACGGTTTCTACAAGAACCCTCCTCGCAAGAACTTCTTCCGGGCTACGGCCGACCCTCGCGGCACACCCGCTCAGAACCTGCGCGCCCGTGCCATCGAGGAGAACGAGAAGTTCTCGCACCGCATTCGACAAAACGGTCGCAAGTTCGGCTTCTCGTCGTCCACTGCCCCCGGCACCGCGGACGGTGTTACCATTAGCGAGAGCAGCAAGAGGGAATTTGTCGGCAGAGAAGTCGAGATGCTCCTGCGCCAGATTCGCGGTTCCGAATTCCCCATGGACCCCAAGCCCCGCGCTGTCTACATGCTATTCCAGAGCTACTCAGAGAACTGGCCGAAGCTCGCCCAAGAACACAAGGACAACCTTGGCGTGGTATGCAATGAATTCCTCAGCGAGGTCATCGACTTTGCCTGGCCTCAACGCATGCGGGAGCCTCTTCGGTACCAATTTCTCGACGTTCAGATGAAGAAGCTACTGGCGGACGCGCAGGTCGAGCTTGAGCATCTCACACAAGACATGAATCTTGAAATTCAGCCGTATGACCCCGAGTATGAGGAGCGTCTTCGCAAGTGGCAGATGGAGACAACCAAGGACGGCGCCACGTACACTGAGGCGCAGGAGGTTTGCGAGAAGATGTTGATCTTCTACGAGCTGGCAGCCAAGACTTTCATCCGCAACACGATTACTCAGGTTGTCGAGAGACACTTGCTGCAGGGCATGTACAGCATTTTCAACTCTGTCGAGATTCTCGGCATGCCCAGTGAGACGGTCGAGGCCATTGCCGCTGAGAACAAGGAGACGCGTGATCGCAGGATGACGCTCAAGACGCAGAAGACTGCGATTGAGGAGGCTCGCGACATTTGCGCCAGTTTGGCTATGCGTAAGGAGTTGAGAATGGTAAGCCACCCCTTTTCCCCTCATGAAAGTCAGGCAATACTAACGTGCACTTTACAGTACGCTGATGAAGATCGCGATTTGGAGGACAACAGCTCAGATTCGGACGAGGACAAACCACGGCAGACAACAACGACGCGCAAGCCCGTCAACAATACCGCCGCCGCGAGCACCAGTCCAAGCCGCGGATCTCACCGCTCAACACGATCCCGTGATGAGCGCGAGGAGCGCCCGTCGACGAGAAATCAGCCTGCCGCCGAGCCCGCGGCAACCAATGGCAGCTACTCTTACAGCGGCCAGCAGGCGCCCGCGCAGGCTCCTCCCGTCCCGACCCAGCGACCGGAACGAGCCGAGCCCGCTCGGACAAACACCAGCACGTCCCAGTGGGAGGAGGAAGAGTACTACAGAGCTCCCTCGCAACAGGCTGCAGCGCCGGCCCAGGCACCTCCCCCGCCTCCTCGTCCCCAGAAGCTGAGGCCGGAAGACGCGGCGTCGGACGCGTACAGCCACCGTTCGCAGTCCTCCATCTCGGAGCAGCAGCATGCTAATGGCTACGGAAGCTACTACGACGCTAACGAGCATACACCCTCGTCTACTAGACGGGTGACTGCTAAGAAGCTGTTTGGCAGAGGCTGAAAAAGAGGAGTTTCGATTGACAACGGTTTTGTATGCGGGTCATGGGACATACTTCTCAGCGACCATGTTTCGTTGGCGTTTGGTAGGACATGAATGTTTCCCTTTTGTGTAGACAGCGGTCTCTTTAGACAAGTGTTCGAGTTTGGCCAGCCGCGCTGGCATGAATTTAGATAGTACGTAGTATGATACCATTATTAGAATTACACGCAACTCCAGTTGACAGTGTAGTAGGCGTGATATGATATATGTGCACTGTGAAAGGAATTGGAATGATAATGGGATAGTGACTCTCTGGACAGTGGTGATGTGATCGACACAACAATTCATCGGCGTGTTCCCACTTCTAATGTTGTTTGACGGAAGTAACCAACCATCGTGGTGGTTTCTCTCGGTGACTTTAAGACAGCACGAAAGTAATACAATGCTAGCAAACGGGATTATTCACAGAAAGTCGCTCACACTTTGTGTTTTGGTTCATTGGTCATCAGTTGTCATTATAGTATACATCTAGCATGCTTTTCCCATCCTTTTATGCAATATAATCCGTTTATCCATCTTTACTCCTGAGCAATCTTCAAGACGGCCTTGCCAAAGTTCTGGCCGGTAAGCATGCCAATGAAGCCCTCGGCGGCCTGGTCGATGCTGTCCGTCTGGTGGATCTTGACCTTGAGGTTGCCGCTGGCAATGAGGGGCTGCGCCTTTTCCTGGAAGGGCTTGTACTTTTGCGGGGACAGGTCGACGAGAAAGCCCTGGAAGGAGAGCTTCTTGGCGACGACGTGGAAGAGGCCGCGGACGCCCTTTTGCTGCTCGCGCGGGGTGTTGTAGTCGGCAATCATGCCGCAGCCAATGATGCGGCCCTGCTGGTTGAAGGACTCGAGGGCGGCCTCGAGGTGGTCGCCGCCGACGTTTTCAAAGTACATGTCGATGCCCTGGGGCGCGAGGCGCTTGAGGGCGTCGTGGGGGGATTCCGTCTTGTAGTTGAAGCCGGCGTCGAAGCCGAGCTCGTTGAGGATGTAGTCGAGCTTCTCGTCGCTGCCGACGGAGCCAATGACTTTGACGCCCTCGGCCTTGGCGAGCTGGCCGACAATCTGGCCGACGGCGCCGGCGGCGGAGGAGACGAAGATGGTTTCGCCCTTTTTGGGCTTGCCGATCTCGTAGAAGCCCTCGTAGGCGGTCATGCCCGGCATGCCGAGCGCGCCGACAAAGAGGGGGAGGTCGACGTTGTGGGTGTTGGGGACCTTGAAGAAGCCGGGGAGGAACTTGGCGGGGATGGCGGCGTACTCGGCGTTGGGGCCCATGAAGGAGGTGACGAGGTCGCCGGCGGCGAACTGGGCCGTGTCGGAGCGCTCGACGCGGGCGACGATGGAGGAGGCGATGACGGCGCCCTGCTCAAAGGGGGGAATGTAGGACTTGCCGGCCTCGGCGGGGCGCATGCGGCCGCGCATATAGGGGTCGAAGGAGGAGTACAGGACCTTGATGAGGATGCCGCCGCTGAGGTCCTGGTCGAGGTCGATGGGGCGGTCCTCGGTGACGAGGTCCTGGCCGGCGATGGGCAGGCCCTGGGGGACCTGCTTGAAGATGAAGGACTTGTTGGGGGTGGGCGCCATTTCGGATGTATGAATGTGTGTTTCTAGGTGTCGAGTGAAGATAGGCACAGGTTTTTTTTTTCTAAAAACAGACGGGTATCTTGAGTGTAAAGGAGATATAGGGAACGGATGTGAATGATTCTATGAAACAGCAGCTGAGAGATATGGGATTGTCTTTGAGTTATATATATCTCGTCAGAACCATATACTCCATACCATGACGAATTCTGTCGCAGGGTCCATCGGGCCCGCGCCGGGTCCGACCTTGCGGTCCGCTTAGGGTGGTTCAACCTTCAGCTCTTCTCCTGGGGAACACGGGGCGACGGAAGGCATTGGAAACCGCAACGTCATGATGGAAGAACCGCCAGGCGGGGCATCCACTTTGCTTGTTCGATCAGTGGAGATTCTTCAGCAACGTGTTTTGTGAGATGGCTCCCGTAAAGAGAATAGCTTGATTGTCAAACGGTACTTGGCCGCCATTGACCCCCCCACAGACCCTTTCTTTTGATCTGTCAGCACTTAAAGATGGGCGCTAGAGTTTTTCTTCCTTTCGATTTGCCCCTCAGTCTCTGTCATGTCCGACAAAAAAGATGCCGCGGCTCATGGCGGGGCGTATCCTGCCGCAAGGTACGGAAACACTTGCCAAATGTCGCTTGGGTAGGCGGTGTGTCTGAGAGGCCCAATGAAGCTAAACGATACCACCATGAAGGGCTATCAAGACAAGGGGCTCCTAGACTCCCTGATCTGCGGTTGAGATCACTTCGTCAATCGTCGTGGGCGTTGACTTGCCGTACTCGCGCAGCTTCCGCCACTGTTGTTGGGTGGATCCGTCATGCTGAATTTCTGTCACTGTCCTTCTTCAGTGGTTGACAAGTTGACGACTCATCGGAATAGCCGCGGCGCCAGGAAGCCCGAGTCAGGGTGAGGCTCACCACTGACTAGTCGAGACCCAATCTTTGCTCGGCGTCGCCTCTCCATTCTCCAAAACATGCTACAAGAAAATCTCTGCCAATAAAGCAACGATGACAAAGCACCAGCTCAATGCCGTTCCCGTCCCGCCCGGAGCTGGCTGCCCTTTTCGGTGGAGAGGGACCCGGAAAAAATCAGAACAGCGCAGAAAATATCGGTAGTCGCCTGAGCCGCGCCGGTTGCCAGGTTCGCGGGGTGAGCGGGTGGGCGGGCGGCCGAGGCTTGGTACGGTGTCTGTCTGCCAACTGGGTAGGTATCCGCAATGAGTCTGGACCAGGTCCGTTGGGGGGATGGGAGCCGAGGTTCGTTTTGCACTTTGTTGTTGACGGACCGCAACGGGATTCTGAAAGGAAATCGGGTACGGGGCAACTTTTGGCTTGTTGCTATTCTGGCGCCTTGGAAAGACGAGCTCGGTCGAATGATTGCTCCAGTGCTAAGCAATGTCGACCCAGCTTTCTCTTGTGATGGGATTCCTGATTTCAAAGCCAAATTTCCGTCCTCCACGTCGCCTGAATTCCGCTCCTTGCCTCACGCCCAAACAGGGGATCCCTCCCGCCGCATCGTCGATCATTCACTGATTGTTTCCCGAAGCCTTGAAATCTCCGAAGCCATCGGCGGTAAAGCTGGCCAGGGGGTCCCTTTCCTCTCCTTCACCCACAGGCAGCTAAGCATTGGTGACGGGATGCAAGTGCTTCGCCAGCATCCTCGCGTGGCCTCGGACTGTCGCCGCCTCTCGTACTTCGCGTTCTTCGGGTGCGCTATCCGCTGTAATCGTCACCAATTCGACGCCTTCGTGTCCGTCGTCAACCCAAAATTCCTCGTATCCTGTCGCCTCAAAGCCCATCTTCTCAAAGCATCGTCTTCCCTCTGGCGTTGCTGTGAGTGCTGTCGGAATGTTAGATTACATTGGGCTCTATCGTTGAAACAGCGGGATCTGCAATTCATCGAAAAGCCTGCCTGGCTTGGCCAGCCACCACGAATCACTTACCTGAATAGCCGATGATCGACCAGCCCTTCTTCTCTGCACCAGCCACGACAGCCCGCATCGAAATGTCGGCGAATCCTCGCACCTTGCCCCGCGCCGCAGGAACATTGAACCTCTCGACGTGGAAGACGTGCAGCCCGACTTTGGAACGCTCGTCACCGGCGCGAGGAAACATGGTCCCCGCGTCCACGTCCACCTCCTTGATCTCACCAGTCAGCAAATCCCGCCAAGCAGGCGCCAGGACCGGGAGTGCGATGACGGCGCCAATGAGTGTCGGAGCGTTGCTGTTCCCGTCGGCATCGGCAGAGAGGTAGAAGCATGTCGCCATCTCGGGCGCCGCTGTCGTCCAGCTCCGGAGGCGGTCCCAGGTCAGCGGCGCGGGGTACATGTCTTGGTCGGACGCGAAAATGCCCTTGAGGACCTCGTCGGTCATTGGACCTTGGTCTAGAGCTGGTGCTGGTGCTGGTGCTGATGCTGGCGCTGACATTGTGGCGACTTTGATATTGGGGACGATAGGAGCTGGAACGTAGGGGAGTTGAGATGAGGTGATTCGTGGATAATCGACTTGAAGCTACCAAGTTCAGCGATGAAGTTGAGGATGTTGCTGAACGACATTGGCTCGACTCAGTGTCAGGCTTGGACGATGGGAAGGCGCTGAAGAAGCTGTACTGCAGGTGTTCCCCACCCAACGTCGCCTGGAACGTGTAAGTTGAGTGCTGTAATTAACACCACACCTCATGGAACCGGCAGGACTTGAGCACCCCAGCCTTTGATGGGAAATTAACAAACATAGACCGTCTCATTGTTATCAGAGAGGCTTGAGTGCGAGTACCAAAGACCTTTTGCCATTGTTTCGCTATTGCAACTTGTAGATGTCGGTCTGTTCTCACTCCTGAGATAAGTGCCATACATTGGAGTACTCACATTTCCGTCGCACAGAGGCCCGGAGGTGACACTCTCTCCCACAGCACACCTGCCAGTCGCCATCACATCGACAAACACTTGGAATATTTATGCGATAGCCTTTTTGGGGGGTTGATGCTGTTTCCTCGTGATTCTCGTTGTCGTTACAGGTCGTCGTCCCTATTTTCCTCATGCCCTGTGCACATCCATCCTACTTCCTTGCGCAGCTAGCGCTTTGCCATACCCAAATACGAAAACCAGACTCCCTATGTAGTGCCTCCGATAGAGCACAATGACTTCGTCCCATTGGCATCCTCCTCGCATAGTCGGAGGAGTAAACTTGCTGGCCTTTGATGACTGACCGCTGTTTCTCCGCTTGATTGCATTGAAGGCGGCATCTAAACAGCGCTGCCCGCCTCGTGGCTCCTATACGGCTCGGGGCCACGGGAGATCCAGCGGATCTCACCAGTAAGAGAGTCCATGATGCACATAAAGTGAGTGGACTCGTTGGTGGTAGGGTATGTTGAGACCCACTCGCGAAGCTTGGCCTCGCCGATACCCGGCATCTCAATGGGGTCGTCAACCTCGGCCTCAATCTCAATGTCCTGGCAGATGCCATTCTGTCTGGCCTTCCAGGTGGCATCAGCGTCCCTGGTGATAGCTCGGATATGGTCGATCCACTTCTCGTGGAGGGCGTGCTGGCGCTCTTCGGACTCCTCGAGCCAGACCTCAGAGCCCATGATCTTAGCCTGGGCGGGGTTGGCGTCGCGGCGGGTAGTTTTGTGGCCACAGCAGTGGTCATGGTCAGGGTCGTGGTTGCATTGGATCTGGAAGAGGTTGCTCGTCTTGATCTTGCCGCTGTGGAGGTCCTTGAGGACATTCATGACCTGCTCTCCATCGCAGAGGGTTAGGTAGCAGGGAGAGGCCGGGACAGAGGCAAGCTTCTTGGCGATAGAAGTGATGGAAGCCAGCTTCTCGCCGTTATCATGGGGGTTAATGACTTTGCTGTCGTGGACCTTGGGCTTTTTGGTGGGAATGTTTTCATTCAGAAGAATACGGCGAAGCATAGAAGGAATAGACTCGCGCAAGCCAAGCAGGACCATGAGCTGGTGCTTGAGAAGGGAAGAGGTTCCACACTCGTGAACGGGGCGGAAGTTGAGAGAGACTGACAGGCCCTTTCTGAAATGTCTATTAGCTCACAACAGTCTTTGATGAAACGAAAAGGGCACCTTACCGAACGCCAGTCAGCGAGCCGACAAAACCAGCATACGTGACTGATCTGGTAATCACTTCGTTCGAGCCGGTGCTCGTGTCGACATACTCAATGATGACGAGAAGCTCACGCAAAATATCCATGCCCCACTACGGTAGATGTTGGTACACATTCTCTTCAATGGAATGCATCAAGAACCATACCTCAAGAGTGCGAAAGTGCAGCAGACGATCAGGGCCATTGTCACCAGCCTGGTCCTTGGAGCCGACCTTGACGAAGGCAGCCCCAGAGGTGCAGCCAAGCATCATGTCAAGGAAGACGTTGAGGGACACGAGCAGGTGAGAGGGGATACCGGCGGCGGCAGCGATGGACTTGATCTCCTTGGTCTGCTCGGGGTCAAAAACCTTTCTGAGGGCGAAGCGAGAAGTGAACTTGGCAATGCCAGCCAGGCTCTTGCCAAAGAGCATCTCAACCACCTCGTCAAAAAGAGGGCTCGCTCGTCTTATCTTGGGAGCAAAGTCTTTGGCAAGCCTTGTGAATCGCTCTCCGGCAGGCATGGCCATGTCGATCTTGTAGATGGGAATCCGATCCGGCGCAGGAGTGAGAATGGTCGGAGAGGCAGTGGCGTGCTCGTGAGCCTGGCCCTGCAGCAAGTCGAGGGCGTGGGTAGTAGGTGCCATTTTCGGCTCATCCGCCATGTTGGAGTCAAGAACCATCTTGGATGGTACCACAATTTTCGCTGGTGAAGGGCAGCCCAGTGTTTCCGAGACTTGCACGGTTATTCCAGGCGGCGGGGGACGGGGGCCAAGACAAGGCTGTACCGTGGTGTTGATGATGTGGATTGCTGTTGGAGGTCTGGGATCTTGTGTCTTGTGTAGATGCTAGTATTGATGAAGGAGAAGAAGTCAATGACTTGAGAGGAGCAACCAAAAAATGAAACCAAGAGGTCCCTTCTCAAGCGATCCGTAAAGTGGTGGCTATGGGTGGAGAATAATTTGTTGCTTGTGTTGAAGTTAGTGGGAGGGATGAGCGAGCTGTTATGGATATAGTGCGTAGGGAAGAAGAAGAAGAAGAAGGAGAAGAAGAAGAAGGGCGTGTGGTGAGATCCAAACTGGAGAAGGCCCGAGAGCGTCGGTGAGGAAGGCGCGCCAGAGGGCAAGTTTGTTTGACAAGTTTAGAAGACATTTGGTCGAAAGGGAATGGCAGGAGCGACTTGGTGGATGAAGAAAGAGCAACCTCAACTAAGATAGCTCGATGCTTGCCAACAAGCGATTGTGATATCTGCCGGAGAAAACGAGGTACGATATCTGAGTAAGGTCGCTCATGAACATGACACCTGATGACCTGTGATGAAAATGAATAGATGAGTAAGGCTTATACACCTCTAGAGGACCGCAAAGATTTGAGGACAAGGGGTAAGTAGGAAGAACAGTTTGATGAGACGAGAAGCTGGGAGAGATATTGTGTGTAGTGTCGAGATACTTAGGCTGAATCGAGTTCAGAAACGGGAGTTTCTTTCCTCCACTCCTCTCAATGACATACCAAGCCCAGGAAGTAAGCTTATGAAGTGATATAAAGTACGTCCTTAGGTTCATTACTAGGTGTAATACGAGCGAAATCTCATCTACCTCGCCCTTTGTCAAATCATATATAGTGAAGTAGCCCTGCCCCCAGGGCCCCATCGTTCACAGCACCTGCACACACATGGTTCAGCACCTTACAGACTCTAGAGCAGCATCCCAAAGTCAATGCGCCGTCTATCTCGTCTCTCTCTCCATTGTCACACCCAGACTACCCTTGGGTCGCAGAGTAAAGTTGGGGTTCGCAAGTTCCACCACTCCGTTATATCCGGGCCGCGGCGAGAACTTGAAGTTGCGCACCAGAGCAAAAATGACGCTCTTGACATTCAGCAACGCCATGTTCTTGGCGATGCAGCCCGCGGGGCCCTGTAGGAACGCCTCCATGGCGTACGAGTCCTTGGATGCACGGCCATCGGACCAACGGTCTGGGTCAAAGATGTCGGCGGTCTCGCCCCATACGAGGGGGTTGAAGTGCGCCACGGCCGGGCAGAGGGTCACTTGTGTGCCCTTGGGGACGAAGACTCCGCAGACCGTGACGTCTTCTGCGGCCTCGCGCGGGAGAAAGATGCCTTTTCACGTGGCATGTTAGCGATACGCACTCGAGTAAAGCAGGCTTTCGTTGTTAAGACTTACCTGGGGAGTAGAAACGCAGCATCTCCTTGAGAAAGTTGTTGACGTAGACCAAGTGCTCGATTTCTTCATAGTCAGGGTTCCAGTCCTGGGACTTGCCTGCACATAGACTGAGGACTTCCTCCTTAAGACGCTCCTGCACTTTGGCCTCCGTGGCAAGGATATGGCAAATCCACATGGTTGTAGATCCGGTAGTTTCGTGACCTATGATGCAGCGTTAGTCTACATCTTTTGGGTGTTCCTCGAAGTATCATCTATACCTCCGGCGATGAAGTTGAGCATCTGTTCCAGCAGAGTTAGTATATTTTATAATCTTGATGGTCTATGAACCACTTGCGTATTCGAGGAGCTCCAGGTCAGTCCAGTTAGTCTGCGTAGCGTCAAACTGGCAGTCCTCCAAGATGAAGGTCAGAATATCGCGATGTTCAGCCTTTCGCTCGTTGAGGCCCAGCTTCTTCTCGGCAATCATCTCGGCACGTCTGTTCTCAACACACGTAAGGAGCATCGTTCGAATAAGAGCGACATCCTTCAGCCATCTCTTGTTGCTTGCAAGAGGGAGCCAGGAGCGGATGGGGATGTGGCCGTCGATAAAGGTAAGAAGATGACCAGAAGGCGGCTGGCGGATGATGCGCTCGTACACGTCGTAGAAGTGGGCTTTGGGGATGGAGATGCCTTCGAGGTCGCAGCCGATTGAGCCAATAACGAAGACGTCAAGGGTTGCCTTTCGAATAAAGGGCTCGACTTGAGCCATCCATTAGCAATAGATGACTGTGGAATCAAAGAATTGTGACATACTATCGATGACCTTAACTTCGTCTCCTCCCATGTCTCGGCTGACAGCCTCGCACATTTGATTGGCCTTGAGCTGGAAGACTGGGAGCATCTTGCGGGTATTCTGGTTGGAGAAAGCCCCTGTGTAGCAAAGTCAGTCAGAAAAGCAAAGCTAGAGGTGTTTCAAAATAAAGAGACTCACGAGCCAGCTGAGTTCGCTGCTTCTTTCTCTCTTCACCCTCTGAGAACATGAGACCATGCCCAGTGATGGGAGAGAACATGCGGGCTGCCAACTGGGACTTTCGAAAAGAAAATGCCTTGGTCTGTTGGACCTCTTTGAAAGCCGCCAGGTTGTTAACCATGAGCGTCTCTGAGTTCCACATGGACAAGTAGCGCACAAAAGGAGCTTCCGGCCATTGCTTCGTCCAAGAGATGAAGATGTCAGCGGGACCCGGGGTCCTGATTTGGTTGAGCATCTGGCCGATCAAAGGATGGCCTCCCTATGAATGTTCAATTACATATCAGCTGCTGTTCAACGTCATATGACTATCTATATCGCTTCTTCCGTCAGATCTGTGAGGCAAGTTGAAGATTCTCACCTTTGGTCCTGGAAGATGTCGCAGTGGTGAGAGGAGAAAAGGATAGATGAAGGCATTGTATCCTAGGAGAACAACACACTGCAGAGCAAGTGAACCCAAGAAAATATTTACTGCAGCTGAAAGATCCAGATACAAGAATCTGACGCTGAGAATTGCCAGCAGGAGCGATATGCCTGTACAGAGCTTCAAAGCCATGGTCTTAGGAGCAAGGGGCTAGGGGCAAGAGCGACAGCAGATTATCTTCAGTACGGAGAGGGGTATTAAAGCAATGGGTGAACGAGTATTTAGGGTCGGATAAGGAGATGATGGGCGAGGGAGAGAGACGGTAGAAAGCGTAAATCGGCCAGGTAGATAAATAGAAAGACGAAGCCAGCCTTTTCCAAGAGATCTAGAATCCTCAGAAGAGTGGATGAATTCATTTCAGAAAGAAAGAATGCCCCTTTTTAAAGAATAGTCAAAAATCCAAAACCCCAGTCGGCAGTCCCCCTTTTCACAATCCCCTACTTTTCCAACCGGGCTTTTGACACGCCAAACATGTCACCTAAAATAGACTCAATCCAAGACCGAATATGCAACTTCGATGCTTACCCGCCCCAAATCATTCGTCCAGGGGGGGTTCAAGCTATGTCCGGACCAACGGTGTCGAAGGCAGGCAGGCCAAACAATCTCACCCATGCCAAAACGCCACCAACAGCAACTCCAAACAACGCCAACAAGATAAACCCGGTCTCTTCACTTCTTTGATCACAAGACAACGATAATCTAGGTCTCGTTGTAACACAGAGAACAAGCCACTAGATCTGGATGTCCGGAAGACATGAGTGCTGCTCTCACTATTTTACATCCTTGCCGAGGACCTGCTGATGTTGACGAAGGGGAGAGAGGGGGGGTGGGCGTGTCAGAGAGTATTCGAAAAGTGAGACTGATCCTTGCTCCCGCATGGTCGACGCCCACATTAGAAAGAGCCAATCCACAAACCTCCCACAGCAAGGGCAAGCACCGTCTAGTGCAAGGCAGCAAGACAAGAACATGCGCCAAGAGGGCAAGCAAACTCTTTCTTCCACGAAATTGCTCGGCATCGAGAGCGTGCTCCTGACCACTGACCTCTTCAGAAATGAAGCGGTTGAAGCGGAGAAAGGGGGAGACGACGCCCGCTGAAAAAGCATGGTCTCTGCAACAAAGAGACGGGCCATATGGCATTATAATCAGAGCTAGACACGGCGGATGCTGCCGCGTGGTAACACAAGTCCCGGGACTTTGGAACATGTTCCCCCTCTCGGCAGCTCGTTCCCCCAGGTTGAATAAGACACGAGAGATTGCGTCCATCTTCAGGGACGCGGAAAATGGAGACGTGCTGATTCGCCATAAGCCAACTCTCCAAGAAAGTCCCGACAATCCAATCATAAAAAAGATGAAAAGCGGAAAACAGGGGGGGAAACTATTGATGCCGGCGTAACAAGTTGGGAAATCCTTGCGAGTCGGATGTCCCTCGAGGAAAGTAGGCGCCCAACCCCCTTCCACCCCCCCTCCCACTTCTCGGAGAGCGAACGCGGGTTCTTGCTGCTCGAAAGCCTGGTCTGCGAGACGGGTACTTGCTGCATCGTCACATTGAGATGCACGCGCAGAGCAGGCCTTTCTCGAGATGTGAACATCTCATGTATCCTCGAGAAAGTTCCGAGGCTGAACTACTTGCCTCGAAACGCGATTGGTGGACATGTACCTTTCCTACCCTCCTCTGTGCGAGATCGGAGACGGCTCCCTCTCTGGGCTACTCCTTATGTCGGATGTGCATGTGTGATTCGCTGTTGCAGATACGCCTCCGTCATCATGGTTTCCGTCCCTGTCTTCCAAGGATGGGTATGCGAGATCTGGGGTCTGGATACCGACATATCTCACGCGCTAATGGGAGGGGGGGGGTTTGGGGTTCAGAGATGTTTCTGATCCGGCTGAGCATCTGCGATCGATCGTACAGAGATCTATCTCGAGGACCCAGACTTACGGCCGTCTTGAATTCCCGAAAATCGCTTACACAAATCAGGTGGCTGAAACTCGGCCAATGGGGACTTTGGTGGTAGGCTTCCGCGGGCCCTCTCTGATATCGACATGGCGCTTCGAGACAGCGTGGCAGTTTGTGATCCCAGAGCTGAGGCAACAAGGAGGCAAGAAAACGTTCGCTCTTTTTCTTCTTTGGCGACAGTATTTTTTTGAAGATTCTGAGTGATCCTGTAGGAGGGGTTGATACGTTTGAGTATGTGGTGTGAGTCAATCACGGATGGCGAGAGGGTGAGAGAGAGAGAGCCTCGTACAAGACTGCCCTCTATCGAGACAGAGAGAAAGAAGTCCGCAAGTCGCACGAAAAAGGGAAAACTCGTCAGAGATGACATGCTGCCTCTGTGTGTCTTTCTACAGCCTTCGACCCCCTCTTGAAATGTCTCGCACCTGATACCCCCCACCCCTTCTATTTACACCCTCCCCAAATAGCCCCGGGGTAGATGCAGATTGTTCATCAGAGATTACTGAACTGGCCACGGTGAGATGTGACACGAGACACTATGAGCATTATCTAGGGCTACCCAGGAGCCTGGCTGCCAGATCGTCGTGTAAGAGTAACAGTAGAGAGATGGGTGATCGTCAGATCTGAGCTGTTATTTTTGGGGCGGCAAATTAAGCTTGTTAGACATGAGATGGACTATCGATCTTGTCCTCCTTGACTCAAATGGGGCATTTATACGTACTGGCTTTATTAGGCTCTCGATGAGTACAAAGATTGTGTCTATTGGAGGTGTTGTGGAGGAGCTGAAATTCATCAACATGTATAATAGGTCTCTCTCTGTAGAGCTAATGAAGACGAGAGCCACGTCTGCCGCGGTTTGCTTCTGTGGAGTGACAATAGTCACCCGTTTTATCCATAAAATTTCACCAGGCTGGAGCTCGTTTATCAAAACGATGGATAAGTAGGGTTATGAAGTCGGACGCTTTCTCACACTCGGAGGTTGGTCGATCATAAATCGTGATTAAGCTGGTAGTAACAGTAGCCATTTTAGCTTGCCTCGATTTGTCGATGACAAGAGTAACAGAGAGAAAAGACTTGGGATACAGGAACATGTACGAGAGAGTTTGAACAAACCGTACGGAAACAACACAAAGTTATTTGACGCTCGAGTGCTAGAAATTTGCTGAGAGCGACATAAAACTTCTCAGACTCCTCCATTCCTCGCCAGATGTTGACGCTGGCTGAATAGTCCTGACTCCTGACTGCTTCATCTTTTCATCGCCTATTTAGATAACCCAAAGTATCTTTGTGAGTTGATAACTAAGTATTCCCATTCGCACAAACCAAACGCCGTATATCTATTTCTTGATGGCATGCAATCTACAAGACTATAAACTAACGCAAATCACACGCACGAGGACATTAAGCTATCGCCATATGAACACTTACGTCGGCTATGCTAGGCCGAAACTTTACCAACCTCAACTTACTCCCAAAAGACTTCCTGTTGTCGCAACACAATAAGAAGTCTATCAAATTCCTAATGGACCCACTTTCTTCAGTCTTCAAGGAGAATCCTTAACCTCGGCAAGTCCGAAAGCCCACCTCAATGGCCGAGACACCATCGGCGGCCGAGCAGCCCCCTCGGATGGCCGATGTTATCCGAATCAGCGCGCCCGCAGCCCTCCGAGCCGAAGACAAGCCCAACGTCCGAGGACGTGCAGCCACCAACCCCGCTGATTCGCTGCCGCTGCGTGAAGATGCCCCACGCAAGAGGCGAGGCTGAGGAAACATGATGGACAAGGTTGCACTTTCGTTCGGCGCAAGGCTATATATGCTCCGAGGTCAGTGACAATGTATACCTATTAACAATGCAAAACGGCTTTGAGGGGACATGGGTCCTCGAATGGCAGCGCGGGCATTCGTCATCAGCAAATGATTAAAATTTAGATCCCAGGGGCAAGTGTCACCTTCAACATATAAAAGAGAGCAAATGGGACCGACAGCTCTTGGGAAGGTCTTGTTCAAACAACGAAAAAGGAACTCATATGCTCAGCGTGACTCCTATGCTACGTACAACTGGTACAACTACAATCTCCCAGCAAGACCGAGCCTTCCTCCCAGTGTCCAAAACAGAATTCTATTCCTCCGCTTGTTTATGCAATTCGACCGCGCCGGTGGTATCTATCTCCGTCCCAGTCTCGCCTCATTTCGAGTCTAATCGCGTTGTCGGGGTGGAAAGGTAGGTAAAGAGGGGGTCGTTTTGAGGAAGGTGGGAAGCCGCCCGCTGTGTTTGGTGTTTTGTATAGCTACAGAGATGGTGGTGGAGGTTTTGTAGCTGAAATTTACAAGGTATCCATCTTGTCGAGGATGGCCTTGGTGAACTGGTGGGTGGTAGCCTCACCGCCCATGTCACGGGTGCGGACCTGGCTGTTGGGTTGTTAGCAGTCGTTCACGGATTGATTATGCGCAAGAATAGGACTTTACCCCTCGGCAATGACGCCGTAAATGGCCTGGGAGATGCGGTTGGCGTGGTCATCAAGACCAAGGTGGCGGAGAAGCATGGCACCGGACAGGATCAGAGCAGTGGGGTTGGCCTGGTCCTTGCCCTTGATGTCGAGACCGACGTGACGGCAACCGGGCTCGAAGACGGCAACGTCGCGGCCCATGTTGCAGCCGGGGACGATACCAGCACCACCGACGAGGGCAGCGCCAATGTTGGACAGAATGCCACCGTACAGGTTGGGCATGACCATGACGTCGAACTGCTGGGGCTTGCTGACGGCCTGCATGGAGGCGTTGTCGACAATCATGTCGTTGACCTCGAGGGTGGGGTAGTCGTTGGCGACGCGGTGGAAGGTGGAGCGGAAGAGACCATCGGCCAACTTCATGATGTTGGCCTTATGGATGCAGGTGACCTTCTTGCGGTTGTTGGCCAGGGCGAAGTTGAAGGCGAACTTGGCGATGCGCTCAGACTTGGCGCGAGTGATGATCTTGAGGGATTCAACAACGCCCGGGACGGACTGGTGCTCGAGGCCAGAGTACTCGCCCTCGGTGTTCTCACGGATGATGGCGAGGTCGACACCCTCGTGGCGGGTCTGGTAGCCGGGGATGTTCTTGATGAGGGAGATGGAGGCGTAGATGTCGAGCTCCTGGCGCATGGCGACGTTGAAGGACTGGTGGCCGGAGCGCTCAATGGGGGTGTGGAGGATACCCTTGAGGCCGAGCTTGTTGCGGCGGAGGGAGGCGACGGACTCGCGGAAGAGGTCCTCGGTCTTCTCAGGGGTGGTGGTGTTGAGGCCGGAGACCTCGACCTGCTCCCACTCAATGGGGACGTTGTCGGCCTTGAAGATGGTCTTGACGCTCTCGGCGACCTCGGCACCGATACCGTCACCAGGGATCAACGTGACCGTGTACTTGCCGCCAAACTTGGTGGGCTTGAAGATGTCAGAGCCGACCGTGGCGTAGGCGCGCGCGGGTTGCGCGGTGCGCAGAATCTGCATCGGGGAGGATCGTTAGCCATTTGTCCGTGGGTAATGTGGCATATCTGTCTGCATGTGTGCCCGTCTACTGGTGGCCGTGTGTGCTGTGTAACGGCGGAACTGTCTGCCTTGCGTGTAGTCCTTGCATGTCCTTCCATCTGAATCGGCATGGGCGTGTTCACTGCCTTATCTGCTGGGTCGCAGGTTGGTGTTGTTATTGTAGTTATTCCCCCTCTTACATCGCAGCCTTCCTCTGCGAACACGATGCACAGAAACACCAGCCGAAAAAAAAAAAAAACCAGAACCACATCGCGGCTGGCACAGCAGCAACTCAATTGGGAGTTGGCAAAAAGGTAACGTACCTGCGCAGTGCGGGCGGATCCTCGGGAAAGCATCGTGACGGTCGGGGTGCCTCGTGAGGGTATTCGCGGAGCAATAGATGTTGTTCGGGATCGGAGAAGTTTGAGAGTGGAAGAAATCAGAAAAAAGAGTGGAATTCCAGAGAGGCAGAGTTGCTGGCTGTCAAATGCCGCAAGAGCAAGGTACCACCACGGCGACACACGGGACGGTACGGTAATTGGGAACGGTACACGGTCAAAGTACAGACCGAAGGGTGGCAGGCACTGGGAGGCACTGAACAGGCACTGAGCAAGCACTGGGTAAGGTAGGCGAAGCAGGCTTTTCTCTGTCATTTCCAGCCGTCTGACTGGCTGGAATGGACCTCTAGACCCGCTATATTCTGTTCCGGGCGGTCGGAAGAATGGAGGACGACACCCGCGGGAAAGAGAGACTGCGCGCGCAGTGCGCCTGCTTCAATCTTCTGCCAGTGCTGTCACTCAGGTCGGGAAGGAAAGGAACCAAACGTGGGGCACCTTTCTCTTTTCAGCCTTAGCGCCTCTTTTCTCTTTCTTTGCGGTTGAGCCTCGGATCTGGGACACGGGGACTCACCGCCGCCCACGACGTCACGTGTCTCATTTCAACTGTCACCGGCTCATTCTCATCTACTATTATTACATCTCAGTAATCCTCCTTTCACTGGCGCCTTTCATAAGCGCCATGAAATCATTCAAAGCTTCACTTCACCATCAGCGTTGCTACTCGTCAATGGGCGCTTTCGGCCACTCTCGGCTACCTGGTTTCTTCAGTGAGCCGCGCCCGCTCATTCCTTCCGGGAGAATTCCCCGCCAGCCCACCTCTCCACTCCTTTTCTGAGACCGCCAAGTCGGTCTTAGACCTCCCTGGCCGTATTTGCGATGCTGCGACTTCGTTCGGCCGAGCGCGACCTTCGTTCCTTACAACAATACGTCCGTACTGACAATAGCAAACCTCACATCGACAAAATCAATCTTAGCATGCGATGCGATTCAATTTTGTTAAAATCAGCTAGGAGATATGGCATATGGCCGGCCGTCTGGATCAAAGACAGTCATCATTGAGAAATTGCGGCAACATCCTCTCTCTGCCTCACAGCCACATCCCATCACCACAGCCAGCCCAGCCAGCTCTCACAAGGTCAACGAATGTAGCATCCGTATAAGCACAACGAACACAGCCCTTCGCAACAGATCACGAGTCAACCTTGATCCCATCGTATCCAGAAGCTTCAATCCCCCACTCGAAACAGTCAGCCCATACCCGTCCTCCGGCGCTTTTGCCAAGCGGTGCCCCACCTGTGGTTTGTGTCCGTATCAGCAAACGTGCTGCCTTTCAAATATCTCGGGCGCAGGTACTTACAGTCCATATTCTCAATCGACAATATGTGCTTGATACACATCGCCTCGTTGAGTCCGTTCTCTTCATCCTCAATGATCGCTTGCGCAGATTTGCCTTTCGGACAAGAAAGGGGATTCAGTATCGGCTTGGCCCAGAAGTGGAGCATGCCGGTGTCGTAGAGCTTGCCAGTCTCATACGGGTTGTCGACCTGGCGGTCATAACTCGTCCAATAAAAGCCGTCCTGGCCAGCCTCTACGACGTCGTCGACAAAATTGACGGCTCCCCTCTCTCGGATGCGCGAGACGGCGTGCAGGCAGAACTCTGCAACAATCGGCCGCAGGGGCAGGTAGGTCGGCCTCCAGTCCTTGGAGTTCCAGCATTCGCCTTTCCCGTTCTCCAGTGCCGGTTGGTCTTGGTATTGATATATGAACGAAGCCTTTCCGCAGCCTTCGTAGTCCATGTATATCTTTTCCTTCATCCAGAACTCCAGGCCGCGGCCTAATGAGACACGCATCAGTACTTCATGTGTTGGGGCGTGGAGCTTTCAGTGAGATCTGAAGCAAGCAGTGGGGGACAGATTCACTTACACGGGCCATCGTTACGCAGGGTGCTAAAGGCCTGTATGCAGTTTCCTTTGCAATTGTCACCCGTCTTTGTCCACTTGAGCGTGACGGACCTGGCTCTATCTATCCTTGTCTCAGAACCAGCGTAGGTGCCGGCCCAACTTTCCGTATCCAAAGAGCTCCCTGCGCGGTCGCACATCATGTTGAGAATACTGTGGCATTGTCAGCATGTTTATTTAACACTGGCCAGGGGGGGCTCTGGATATCCTACGGCCACCAATTGTAATAGTAGACATTCCATCTGTCGGGGCAGGTAATGTTGTAATTGGGAGGGTTCTCCAACTCTGAGAGCGTAAGTTCATTCGGTACCGTCATGTCCACTGCGTTGTTCTTCTTGTAGTAGGCTTCGATGTCTTGCATAGTGAAGATATGGGTCGTGATGGGAGCTGCGGGCTTTGGGGCGTTGGGAACGTCGACATTCGTTGGGGAGGACTGGACGATGCTGGACAGAGTGGCGAACGCCCAGAGAAGGCTCATGAAGGGCCACATTGTGGAATAAGCTCCTCGTTGTAAGAGGAACGTATCGTGATAGTTAGAAAAACGATAGTGAAAGTCTATTGGTAAATGAGAATGAGACCTTGCGAGTAGTTGTCTAGCGAGTCTGACAAATCTGCGTGATCGAATTTTGGAAGAGCAGAGGCTGTGGTGAAGTAGGTCTTGTCATTGCCCCTTTTATCTTCGGTCATCTCATCTCAAATACTACAGTAAGGTCTGAACATCGCCCATCATCGTGTGTTCAGGGGCCATCGTAGCTGATGAACTGTGGTACAATCAAAACGCTGGACATGATAATGGAACATCACGAGGTGGCAAGAATGATCGTCTTCAACCACGATTCCATCCTTTGCCTCTTCAAATTTGTCCCACGATCGAAAAAGAGCCCAATAGGGACGCATGCCTCTCGTTCCGGGCCGGTGTAGTGTAACCGCAAACATGGCCCTCGTCAACAGCTCAAGACATCTCACCTCTCAGTCAGACTCGAGATTGCACTAGCAGCTCTGATGAGATGGTTGGTGATATCGAAGCGACGTAGAGGCAAACAAACAACACTCAGCTGACCTCGGACGGCCAATACACAGCCACATGAGGAGTGACGGAATAGCCCTGCGCGGTTTCTAGGAGGTGGGAAGCCGTCTCTCACAAAGCGGGTTGCCTAGACCACCGGGGCTGCGTAAAGTTGGAAATCGAGGGCTCCTTGGGATTTCTAATCCGGGCCGCTACTGCTGATTCCCGAAACCCAAGTGGATGAATACGCGATGAACGTCCCAAATCCAAGGTTCCCTCCCGGATCCCTGAGGAATGGTATCGTCAGCTCCAATGAATCTGAACATTAGCTCATATCAACATCGAAGTGATTATAAGGCGAAACTGTTGGCAGGTATTACCGCAACGCTATTGTCTACAAGAAGCGGGAAGAGCCACAAGAGCGCAATTTTCCGATGGGAACACCACACGGCGTACAAACAATACTTCCGAAGCCACTTAACGTTGAGATACGCGAAGATGTATTGCAAAGAGCTGAAGGTAACATTCTAGCTTTGATAGAGTGGCCTGTCCGTCGTGCCATCAGGCAATCAGTTTCCACGAGTCCATGGCTATTTGTCAAATATCTTATGTTGTAAGATTCTGAAAGCCACGAGTCGGAAGATATTCCATACTTTACTTCGGTTATCTCTGTGACTTGGGAATGATTATTTTTAGGCCATCGTAAGGGTACCTACCTCGAGAGTCTCCGAGTCAGTCCTTTAACCAATCATCGCGGCATACAGCAGGTCTTCTCGAAAGACAAATGACCTCGACAGATAGCACGAAGGCACCTGGCCGCATTGGTGTATCTTGAGACAGGCACCGCGGAAGATTTTCAAAGATTCCGATCCAAGGTCAATGGTCTATTGTGTTCTAGGTGACCGTCTTCGTGCCGGGTACCGGCAGGAACCCGTCACCACCACACGCTGAACGTGCCGGGCTTTTCTCCGTGGGCAAAGCCAAGTATTTGCAGCCCGCAAAGGGAGTCGGTCCCGTACAACTTGGATGGTCCGCATGGTCCGCAGTATCCTTGATGAAAACTCTATCAAAGATGACTGGAGCTGGAGAAGTTCGAGATTCAGCGACAGATGTTACAAAGAAAGCCTCAAAATGCCTGTTGCGTTCTACAACACACAGATGCAACGAAACCAAAGGGATTGGTTTTCAAGTTGGCGTGTAAGGGGGTTGAATACAAACCTGATAAGCTCGGCACTAGACTAACACGAATCTCCATGGCGTCGCTCAAATGGTTTGCCAGTCTCGTGATTGCCAAAGCGATGGTATGATGATGAAACCAAATAATTGTTTGTGTTTCCGTCATACGATACCTGGTCTGGAGCTTTGATAATGAGTCACTCATCAAGTTGAACCTGGGTTTACGATTATCGCGAAGTGTCCCTTGGTATCTTGACAGCGAGAAAAGGTCAGACATTGTCATTTTCGGAGTCATGGCAGTCAGCGACGATCCCGACTCGGCGCCGTCCCCGCGCTACAGGATGTTGTGCCCGGGAGTCATGGTTCTGGTTTCCTTGCCCTTGGTCGAATTCAGCCTCCGTGTCGGAATCCTCGTCGACGCTGCCAAGTTTGCCTTCCGCTCCGGTGCTCGCAGCACCAGTGACCGTATGTAAGCCCGCAGCTATCATAACGCCTTGGTCGCCAACTACGCCGGCTCAGCCGATGCTTAGGCCGGCCTCTAGACTTCTCTGCTATTCTTCAGCGGAAGAATAGTCCAAGGTAAGTGAGACTTTACCACCATGGCTACAAATCGCGCGATTCCGTCTTCACGAAATAAAGCCCCATACCAAGGTTGAAGAAGATGAAGGTGCTGAACTATATCGCATTGCACCGGCAAGCCTTCTTACCCGAGACATGGCCCGGCTTCCCAACACGGAATCACGATTCCGCCCAAATGGCGTGTTGTCGACTTCCAATTAACAACAACCCAAGTTCTTGAAACAATCGACGCCAATAAGAACGACAGGCTCTACACTGAGCTGCTAAAGCTTTCGCGCCAAGTCCAAGATCAGAGCCAGGGCTTTCAGAGCGATAAGGAGATTAGTTTACAGCTTGCTTTCCACGCAATCGAGGTTGAGCGTTTTTCATTCATAGACGATACATCATACCGTTGAAGAAGAAATGAACTCTTGACTGCAAGAAACCGAGAACTAGATTTCATGTTAGTAGTTTGAGCTGTGCCAGGCAGGCCTGTTCTCACTCATCCATGACAGCTGCGGGCGGATGAGTGAGAGTAGGTGACAGTCATTGATAAAAAGTCATCTCCAATAGACTTTAATCCCTGTCACCAAAATAATGTGTCCTCCGTATCTGATTCAGTATCATTGAAAAGAAACTTTGGCTTTGAGTACGCAAGGCGCTTCCGTCATCCGCGGAGATAAACTCAGAAACACGGGGAAACTCTCCTCATGAGATTCATTCGCAATGCGTGAAACTTTGCAACGCGTAGGTAGGCATCATGCGTAAGTAGGCCTCATGCGATGGAAAAAATAGTTGATACAGAAGATGATTAAAAGGATAATTATAATTATTTCATGATCTAAGCTCTATCATATCAAAGTAAAGACCTCAACCGGAGCCTTTGTGAGCAAATAATGAAGTTGCGGACACACCACACAATGCACCGTTTCCAACACCATGGAGAAATAAAATGGGTACCGCACACTACATGTACCTGAGACCACACTCTGTCCGGACAGTTCCAACGCTATCCATCAACGCTACGCCATGCCATTGGGAGCAAATTTACACATTCCCCAATCACCTTGAACACATTCACTGCTTCTGCGCAATGATCCGATAGCTCGTCGTCACCAACCGCATGGTATCCATCTTGACAAAGGCCTGGCCGTCGAGGCAAAGCCGGTTGATGAGCGTCTTGAAGTGGGGCGGCAGCAGGTGAACCTTGACGAGTCCCAGAATGACCTGCCGCAGGCTGCGGAAGTAGACGTCGGCCTTGTCGATGAGGGGCGCCTGTAATCCACCAATGCTCGCATTGTCGGACTTCAAGACGGTGAAACCGGCCGCCGTCAAGGCCTCTTCAAAGGTAGCGGGTGTCGGGGTCCCCACAGCTCCGATGAGCGGCTTCGTCCTCCGCATCAGCTCCGCATGCTCCGGGTTCGTCGCATCGTACGCTGGCAGACTAACCCAATCCAGCAAAGAAATCTTGGCGCCGGGCTTTAGGACTCTCCGCAGCTCGCTGAAGAGTTTGGTGAGGTCTTTGCAGAGGCTGAGCGCCTGGATCTGGTAGAAGGCATCGAAGGAGTTGTCTTCAAACGGCAGGGGCAGCTCGTTCATGTCCTGGATCGTGAAGCTGTTTTGCAGACCCATCTGCTCGGTGAACTCCCTGGCCTGGGCAACCTGGTTCGGGTCGATGTTTAGGCCCGTGACGACGGCGCCACTGACGGCCGCCATGTGGGCCGCGACTCTCCCGCGCCCGCAACCGAGGTCCAGGACCTTGTCTCCTGGTTTCAGACCAATGTCCCGTGCGATGGACTCCTCGTACAGCATCTGATTGTCGAGAACGGACGCCTTTTTGTCCATGAAGGGAGGGATGTACATCTTCTCCACGTCGCCCAGCGCGCAGAGATGATTCAGGACCCCATAGTAGGATTGCAAGCAGTCGCCGATCTTGGCCTTGTACTCTGGGCCGAGCGTCTTGACCATTTGCTCCTCGTCTGCCCAGTCGAGACTGTAAATGACGTACGAGGCCATGAAGTCATCGACTTGCTTTGGCGTCAAGTCGAGGAGGTACTTGAACGATTTCCAAAACGTCTTGGATCGCTTGGGCGAAGCTGTGCGGTTAATTTCATGTTTTGCGGTGTTGCTGTTGTCGCTGTTACTGCGGCCGAGGTGCAGGCCGCGCTTCTTCCTCCACGATGCCTGAGCGGCGGGCTTTAGTGTCGAGACGTCATCTGAGGTCTCGCTGGAACGGGGGGTGGTATCGCCGACGTGAGGTGTTGGTATCGCCGACGGCGGTGGTGCAATCGTCGCCGCTGCTGACATGGCTGACGTGCTGACGGAACGACAGTTGACGTGCGTTGAGAGATTCAAAAGGCTGGTGGTGTATCCGCAGGTCCAAAGGTAAGACAACCAACGGGAGGGGAGGGATCAGGAGGGTAAGTAAACAACCAAGGTGGGTATCACAGTGTGCATCCAAGAAATGATGGAGAGGCGAGGGGAACAGGTGATGGGCGAGCAAAGTCCTTTATACATGGTACTCTCATTTTACCCTCTCTATTTGGCACCGATCACTGACCACAGGGTCGACCGCCCAGTCAGAGACAAGAGAGATCTGACGGAGCCGCAAATCGGATTGCTTTCTAATGTCTCGTGACGTCCTTCGGGATGGACGGAGGAATGTCCGATGAATCCGACTGGGTCTAAAATCACCAGACCACTCAAAAAGGCGCTCCGGCGCTGGGGCTAGCATCCAGCCCATCATCAGCTAATTAGAGGCCGAAGAAAGAAAAACAGCGTTTCCCAAGGTACCGAGCACATCACAAGAGGGAGAAAAGCCCGCGGGAACGGACGGACTAGACCCTGGCGTCCGCGCTGAGTCACCTCCGTAGCCACCTGATTATTCGAATAAGAAGTAATGTATTGCCCGTACTACCTTATCACCTTGTTGGCCTTTCTCTCCCTGCGGACTACGCCGCCATTGCAATGCTTTTACCTTTTCCGTTACCCTGGTCTGTTCGGACCTCTGTCGCGCTATTTACCATTCGTTGCGCTGGTGTGTTCGTAGCATTTCGACGTCATTGTGGCGCCCTTGCATGGCTTCCAATTTTTGGTTTCTTTTTACCGGGTTACTCCCGGTGGATTATCAAGCCCAATCTCCCCAGCTAGCCCCAATTAGAACCACTTTATTAAGCACGTTCGGCATGGCACGCGGATCCCGCGTTCGTCGCGATAGGGCTGATGTGGCTGGAGCTGGGTGGCTAAAGGCTTAAAGCGGACACGAAGCACCGACGAAAGGGCGAGGGCAACGGAGGTCATAGCGGCCGCTCGTTGTTTCAACCATGGTGTTCCTTGAGGGCTATTTACGTCGTGGATTCATCACAGAGGGAGGAACGGATGGCTGCATTGTCAATGTGTTGAGTATTCATCGGGGATCAGGTACGATCCGCATTCCGGACCAAGAATGTTTAGGCTTCTCTTTGCCTTTCGGTGTCCATGAACCGTCGTTACCTTTGTCTTTTGAAACTACGCGTAGCCTCAGCTTGGCACCGGGAACACCCTCGCGGCCACGAGCCGCAACCCGGCCTGCACCGGTCCGCGTCTTGCCGCAACCCATAAGCCATATTTAAAGCATGCCGTCGTTACCTTTTCGGGATTGTCTGAAAATTCTCTATTCGATATCCGAATACTCGAGGTAGCGTACGGTAGGATCTTTGGTGGTGGCCTCTTCACTCATGAGGTCACCTGTACAAGGAAGGATTGGTGGTGTGGCTCGTCTCATTCTTGATTTTTGGCGTCCGAGCTCATTTAATGCCAATCAAGCTTATCAACATCTTAGATTGGATGAGGCACCCAATCACAGCTTTAGACAATTGTCGGTCAAGGGGGTTTGCATCTCGACTAAATAGTAAGGTACCTTATGATACTTGTCTGTGATTGCGTGCCGTCAGCACAGGCACACAGGGCAGCTTTGAAATCGGCGTCCACGGCACGAGATCAAACCAAGGAAATGAGACTCATTCGGAGTGAACACCAACGATTACAGGCTCTTTTAATAATGCCTTTTCATACCCCAACCTAATCGAGGGATCAAGGCTGCTTCAATCTGAGGGGAAATCATGCATCCTCAGGTCCCTCTACATTTATCACGACATCGGGAGCTTACCCGACGAACCGCCCCGCAAATGCATCCGTGTGTCAACGAATCATGGAGTTGCATTTTTTCTGAGGGCTCTGGAGGTCAAAGTGAATCCCCACCCTCCCTGGGCCCTGGTCATCGGATTTATGCTCGTTACTGAAAGACACCTTTATTTATAGCATCACAGCCCAAGTCGACATAAAACTGGCATAGTCTCTTCTTCTCCAAGGCATTTTCAGTGTCTCAAACTCTCATCTACGGACAGCTCTATACGGACGGTAGACTCTAATGTGGAGAGAGGGGGGGAGAGGGGCGGAAGAGGGGGAGAGAAAGAGACGGGGATATCTGGAATTACATGAACAATACTCAATAAGTCACGCCAGCTAAGACTGCGCTGGCGGTTCTCAACAAACACCCGGAACTAGTCTCATCGTCTTCATCTGCCAGTGCGCCCATTCATCACCACATTCTGCCTTCAGCATCCTCTCTTGTCTGCGAATCCGTCGTAGGAAAAGAGCAAACCAGACCAGTATATGCAGCTATAGTGGGACCAAACCCAAAATGACCGAACAAGCAGAGTTTCCACCTACCCAGCAGCCTGGCAAACCATCACTTCAAAGTAGAATTCGGCCAGTTCCCCACAAACATCTGAGCGCGCCCGCATATCAAGGGTGCTGCATGAACTAGTGCAGGCCGTTCATTTGGAGCTCTTGCGACTTCTGTAACGCAAAGGTGAAACTTGAATTGAGCTGTGCAAAAGCTTCTCGTCAAAGTATGCCATCGCAAATCATCGCTGCTAGCAAACAGTCCATCGTCCAGGACCACCCTCAGAGCATCTGGATGTTGGAGATGTTGGGGAAAATAAGCTCCAAGATGGCCCGGATTGTCGGGTTATCGGAGAACTGGAGTGTGCGAGAGAGAAGCAACAATGCAATAAACCTAGGCAGGTGCTAGCCACCAACGCTGAGCGCTCGCAAAGAACAAAAGTAGTGCTGGGAAGGGTGTGCGACATTTTTGAGTCGCGGCCGCGTCCTCTACTTTGGCCTTTGGTGACGAGGTCGCTCGCGCTGCGTAGTAGTGGGCGGTAGCTGTGGAGGCTGGGTATACCGAGGTATCCATTATTGAGTTTTTGTCGTGTATTTACTTCCAGCCATTCGCACACAATACCGCGATCATGCACGTTTGATCGGCGGCATTGAGAGCTATGGATGAATACGAACACAGGATATTGGAAACATCGGGCCATGGATCACTTAGCACTAACCCTTTCGAGTATTCAAATCACATCAACCATCTCGAGCTCATGTCTCGCGAAGATGCTTTAGGGTCGCAAAGAAATCTTGTTTGAGGACAGTAAATCGTATTAGACTTTCAAAATACGGATCGCTCGCGATCGTTCGCGATACAAGTACGCGGCACTACTATTGTCTGTCGGAAGTTCTGGTTCGCAACTTCGTATTGACCTTAAACCATCACCACTTATTTACGACGTCGGCAAACACACTAAGCTTCCTCCTCGGTGATGTCGCAACTCAATATTATCAGAAATGCTCTATCTTGCTGTGTGCAAACCTAATGCGTCTCGCCCAGGGCCAATAGAAGAGCAAGGTTTCATCCAGGCGTATCAAGTTTCTATGCATGCCAGGCCTGGGAAATATATTGCCGGAAACACTGCCTCTCTGTCGACGAGATGGTGATGATGCATATCGGAGGAACTCACTCAGGAGAAGACCATGAAATCAACAAGACCCGACGAATCTTTTCCAAAGCTGCTACAATTTTAGGTAGCCCAAGTGTGAGGTTTAGCTTCAGTAATTTTCGTCAACGGTGGATCTCTTTTCTTGTTCTGAAAACTCAACGCACCCAGCTGCACGAACAGTTTGTCGAGGATCACGCAAGGTTTCTCGATGGATAGTCGAATATCTATCACAATGCGGCATTCTGATCTTGCTTGATAGTACACACACTCGTGTCTCTAAATGAAATACCATGGACTTTCTAGTCATCAAGTTCCCGGCTGCTCTACTCGTGAAATACTAAACTTTATGATAAAGCGCCTGAGTAATTGAAAATGAAAATCTGGTTTGGGTCCAGCTGCTTATATTTCATGTTCTTAAGGAAACCCGTGTAATAATCAGCCAATAAGTCTTGGAGAAATTTGAGGAGGGAAAATGGCCTTACTACTCTATAGGAATAGTGCACTATCGGCCACTCTTCTCGCCTTTGCTTTTTGATGGTATTGCTTTTCACGATGTACGAGACGCACGACGCTAGGCGATCTCCCGAAACCATAAACATTCCCCTGGCATTGCAAGCCTGTTATTGACGCTGACGGAACATGGAGGGGCGTTGGATCCAATCTTTGATTACGGCGCAGTGATATGCCAAACACAAGAGGCCGAAGTTCTCTCTACGACGTACTCTACCCCAAACGACGGCTTCATCTTGCTCAAGTGGCTTTTTAGAGGACAGCGATCGTTTTAATCAGTTCCAAGGCTCTTCCTGAGGTACTGGTGAAGCAGAAAGCCCAATTTTATAGACCCGGAGACAGCCCGCTTCTTCCCACAGAGACTCATGGGAGACGGGCTGCTATCGCTTGAGAGACAGACTCATCGCCTCCATCAAAAAGATTATCAAACGAGCGTTTCAACCTTGACAAATCAGACATTTATTTTAATGTGGTCGAAATATATGACTTTGGTCAACTGTTTGCAAGAGAAAACGAGCAGAACCTCGAGTCCGAGACAGATTCCGCAACTGGCAAATTCACCAGCTGGGCTTCCAGAGTCTCCCTCGACATCATCGGGCTTGCAAGCATGGGTTACGATTTCTACATCCTACACAGGCACGACCATCAACTAATACAGCACTACGATGTCATTTTCGAGCCTTCGCTAGCGAAACGAACATTCCTCTAAGTCAACATTCTGATTCCCCAGAGATTAGTTAGGCAAGTTTTAACCAAGCTCAATCGTTTTATGAATAAGAATAAGGGCCATATACCTTCATGATCTTCGACCAAGACTTGTTAGCTCAAAGACAAGGTTAAATGAGAAACCACGAGTCCGTTGAAGATAACGCAGATAACCTACTAAGAATCCTAATTTGTAGCCGAAATTTAAAAGAACAGGAAGCTATCGGCCACATACGAACCTTTCTCTCCACTAGATCAGGAATATTCCATTCCTCTCCTACATTTACCCTAACATTTCTAGACGGGCATGACACAGCGGCAAGCTCTATTAATTGGGCGGTCTACCCCCTCTGAAAGATCCCCTCTATCAAAGACTGGCTTTTCTCGGAACTCGACAAACAAGGTACGTATGAGCTTCACGTTCATCAAAAGTTGGAGAGCCTCCCTCTTCTGAACGCAATCTGCATCGATACCCTTCGGCTCTACCCCGCCCTGCCAAAAGCCGCACGAGAAGCAGCCTGTGAGACCAGGATACTCGACACCGTCATGCCAAAGGGTACTTGCGTCATAATGTCACCGTGGGTCACCAACCGTTCGCGAGAGATCTGGGGCGACGGTGTCAACGACTTCAAGCCAGACGCTCGACTTACAACAGAGTCGAAGACGGTCGAAGACGGAAAAAGTGCATGTGAACAACCATGGCGGCGCCTCAAATGCGTTCAGTAAGATATCATTCTTGCATGGGCTACGGATCTGCATTGGCGAGAAATTTGCGAGGGCGGAGTTGCGGTGTAAAGTCGCGACTATGGTCCTACATTTCGATTTTGAGCTGCAGAATCTCAACGAAGGAACAGTACACACTGGCGTCTTCACAGCTAGGCCCAGTGGTGGTGTGTGATCTTGAGGGCTCGACAAAGAAGTGGGAATGAACTCCATGCGCCAGCTGCATGAAGAACGTGTGTGTTTCCCGATAGAAGGAAGAATCGGGCTCCCACTGCCGCGCATTTCGTACGCCAGCAATACTCTTTCGTCCTTTTGTAATTGACCAAGTAAGAATTCTCTAACTCCTCTCTGCAATTCTGAAGAAACCATCGCTTGGGCACAATAGCATAATATTCTGACCGTTTCACCGTTGAGAACAGCTTTGGGTCCGGTGCTCAACCCAAGAAACTTCCGGGGCAGACTCTTTCATGTTTGTAGAAAGTTGCGTGTAAACTTAGGTACTTCAAAGCACAAATTTCTGACAGTTCGGTACGACCCTGGAGGCTTTGGTGCCGTACAACTTGCCGTCGAATGGGGTAAGAAGATTGGCAACCTCTTGTACATCCTCAAGCAGCGATTGTGCTGCACATGTTACTAAACTGGTACAATATGTTGAAACTAATGCACTTAGTGGCGGTATAATGACGACTTGAATTTTTAGGGGACACTCATCAGGGCGATGCGCTCTTCCTTCGCGCTGCTGTTTACACTGATAGACCGAAAGCACATGGTGCCGTTGGACACAGAGTTCCTGGACTTCAATACAGAGCATCATCTCCGTAAGACACCAAAATTTCCGATAAGAGTGGCAGGGTCTTCGGAAGCTTGCTTTGAGCTAGACCTGCCTGTGACTGTCCTTCTGTGATGGAAACGGTGGCTGTGTCATCGAATACCTTCTTGTGCCTGACATCTTGGGACTCGCGGGAAATCATCAATAGCGGAGATACTGGCAATCTCGGATGAAACCTGAGTTTGATAGAAAACTCTCCAATCATATTTGGCTGGAGTCGACGTCCAACGCAAAACAAAGCTTTGAGGCGGCAAACTGCGACGATCATTTGCATACGAAAAGGAGCAGTGTGTCATCCTGTGATTCTGCGATTGCACAAAGCTACTTGTTCTACTGCTTCGATAACCATACGAGGCCACTCATCAACCCAAAGAACATGCATGTGATTGTTCTGGACTCGGATACGTACTTACCAGCCATCATTTTGTTGCAATATTTGCTGCGTCGCGTTGATTCTGTAGCTCTCCTTTTTGTCCAAAAGCTCTTAATGCGTGCTACTATCCGCAGTCTGTGCGCCCTCAACAACTCAAATTACATTTGGTCTTGTGGAAGGTATGCAGATGATTTGTAAGTGCCAACACAGTGGTATTTTAGGAAGCTCGCTCAAGCCCCGTTTGCAGGGCCGTCTCGCCGGTGGTGTCCAACGCACTTGTACTTTCATCGGGGAGTGACAAACGCGGCTTATGGAAGAGCGCACAAGCAATTGCGAGACATTATCTCTGACCACAAGATAGGCGGGATGCAGAAGGGCCACATTCGCCACTGTAACCTTTCGGACGCGCCACAATCACATCATGGATGTTTGGCTACTTGTAGGCCTCCTCGGTCTCGGCTTCTGCGGCCTCGATGTCGGGTGCAGAGACAAGGCCGTCGTTGAAAAGGACGCTGCCATCAAAGATAATTGGATTTTGGGGACGATGGCAACGGTTTCTATGAAAGAAGCTAGGAGTTTGGCAATATTGTGGCCGTCAATCAGAGTCTGCCCTAGTGAAGAAAAGTAGAGACGCTGAACGAGATTTATGATAGTGGACTTTTCAGTTCCAGAAGGTCCAACAAGACCACAGAATATCTCAGGCTGTAGTTCCGAAGAGACTTCATCGAGAATCTTGACACCAGAGCGGCTGGGGTACGAGAAAGAAAAGTCCTTGAACGCCATTTTCCCGCTCCTGGTACTGGATCTCTGCATCTTAAAACCCCAAGATGCCTCAATCTCTTTCATCTAGGAGTCTCCAGCTAGGTTCTTTGGCTGTGTGCCAGTATTGCTGAGGTCATCGCTTTTACCGAGGTTGATGACCGACGTAATGCGTGACAAAGCAATTCGGGCTCGAAAGAATTCCGGAGCCAAGGAGAACATGGTACACCAAAGCTGGGCACTAACAAGCATCGCCAACAAGACGATCAAGGACTCTCTGTCCAGGTGTATTCGCACTTAATGATGAGTTGCGAGCCCCAAAAATAAGCCAGGGAGTTGACGAAAGTTCCGGTAGCATTGGTTATTGCCAACCACAAGTTCATAGATACTGGAATATGGACCGTCTGCTTTTGAGAAGGGGTGAGAGGCGGACATACTCATCCACAACTTGGCTTTCGAGGTAGAGAGCAGCAACTGTCTTGATGGAATGGACTGCATCGGTGACCACGGACGTAGCGGTCGATCATTCGACAGAGTGACGTTCCTCGTAGCGAGTCAACATGCGCAGCTGCATGAAACCGGAGCCAATAAGAACTGGAACGTTAACCAGGCAAACAACAGCAGATTTCCAACCAAAGATATGGGAGGGAATGACGGCAATGAGAAATTTCACGCACAAAGCCAAATAAGTGCTGATGGTAGAGCCACTGAAACTACATGTACCGAGGGAAGCAGTATGTTTTGTGATGATTATAAGCAGACCATCAGGGGTACGGTCATCAGAAAGGTGCCATGAAACGTCCTGTTCGAGAAGGGAACGAAACGAAACGACGCGCACAGAGTATAAGAGCTTCTTGGTAGTGACTCCAAAGCATGAACAGGCGAAGAAGCTGGAAAAGACAATGTATGCAAGTTCGAAGAAAAGGCCTTCAACGAATCGTTCCATGGACATAATGCGGCTGGATCGACTGGCGCAGGGACTCAAGAAGCCGATGGTGAGCCCGTATATCAGACCAGAACCGGAGATAGTTGCACTACCTAGAGTTGCAGCAGCCACCCCTACGGTGAAGAAGTCCAGGGATGGTTTGATGAGGCGGAAAAGACCTTTGAAGACGGCGCTGTGCGGTTTAGCTGTATCTGTACCGCCAGTCCCATTCTCTTCCTTCCCCTGTTCTTCGCTGTCTTTCTCACTAGATTTGGCCTGTTTGAGACTTTCAGTTGCTACTTGGTCGTCACATGCAACTTTTCGGTTTCCGACATGATACTCCTTGCGTGTCTAATAATTCATCAATAGAGTCGCCAGAGGTTGATTCAGCATGAGCTGTGCAATAGGCAGAGCCCAAAGTCTGTAGTTTGGCAACCCGGGCGAATATACCTCCCTCGCCCGCCATCAACTCGTTGTACCCTGCTCAACAACCTTACCAGTCTCCATAACAACGATGTTGTCTGCGTTGCGAATCGTGGAAAGTCGATGGGCGATCGAGGCAATAGTACAGTTCTCGGTAACAACTTGCTCCACAGCAAGCTGAATGCGTTTCTCTCTCGCGGAGTCGAGGGCAAAAGTTGCCTCGCCTAGGACCAAGATCTTCGGATCGCAAATCAGAGCTCGGGGTAGAGCGATTCGTTGAAGTCGACCACCGCTGACTAGAGTGCTGTTGTTGGATCTCAGGGCCAAATTTGTTAACAGATGAAAGTGCGTCTTTGCCCCTAGGTGCGAGTTCAGCTAGCTGGCCCCCCGCTAAGGTACGGCTTCAAAAGCTGATGAGAGGGCTTGGGAGGATTGATGAAACCAAGAGCGATGTTCTCAAAGATGGACCGGTCGAGAAGAGATGGCTCCTGCTGAACGGAGCCAATGGAGCTACGAAGACTTCTGACGTTATGTTTCTTGAAATTATGGCCCTTGAGAAGAACGTCTCCTTGGTCAGGGCTCCGGAGCCGGGCAAGCAGTGCGGCGACGGTAGACTTGTCTGCCTGAGAGGCCGACAAATGCTGTATACATGTACATTTCTGCCGGAAACTCAATATCCATTTTGTGTAGTACGGGCCGATCATGACGGGAAGGGTACTCGAAACCGACGCTGCAAAGAGAAATGCCCTTGAGTTCGTCCAAGGGTAAGACTCTCTCTTCCTCCGAAGTTTCATCAATTTCAAAAGGGGCTTCGATGTCTTCCCATAGTCATTGATAGGCAGCCGATACACTTCCCAAAAGTGGCAGGCCAAGAGCAATCGAACCCAGAATGATACAAGCCAGGAACACATGAGCAGATCTTCTGTGCAGTTTTATCTGATACATAGTGTACCTATAAATAAAAAAGGGTGCATAGGAAAATACGGACACAACGTCGACAAGGAGGTAGACAATCGCGTAGATCTCGTCAACGGTTGCACAATCACCACGGCCAGTCTGCACTGCACCGGCAGCAGCCTTTTCCATACCGGTCTTATGTGCGGTGATCATGTGGTAGGCAAACTTGGTCTCTAGACGTGGATCGCCACCGAAAGCCTGGCCGACGGAAATGTGAGACAAGATTTCTGACGCAATAGAAGAATCTTTTCCATCAGATTCGGTTATGCGGCCAGCGTTCTTGGTAAAGTATTGGCTGCCAACGAATGAGGAAAGCATGGAAGCCGGGAATATGGAGACGAGCATGCCAGCGAGCTTGGGCTACTTGGTGAAGGCAATGACAAAGACTGTAATGAAAAAGCCCAAGCTACAAATGACAGTTCTGACGTTTCCTGAAGTGCCAGACTGAATCACCGTGATGTCGCCATGAAGACGACTAGAAACCTCGCCAGAGGAAGCTTTCTTGTCGAGATTAGATGGCGGCTCTTTAGAAGGGAAACAAAATATTGCGTCCGTAGACGCTGATCGGAATGCTGACTGATGATGCTTCATTAGAGGATGTATGCATAAATCAGATAGAGCGCGGCGACGCTGACGTATGTAGTCGGCTTGACCTTTTCATTAATGGCAAACTCGTATGTGACCGCGTCTACGTTGTCCTCAGCAGCGCAAGTGGCGGCATCACCGAAAATGATGAGAAAAGAGTCGAGATATGCTGGGTCAGTTGCAGAAAGTAGAAGAAGAGTTTTCCCAGTTGAGGTCGAATCAAAATGTTAGTTTCATGTTGGGCAGTTAGCCAAAAGTCGTCCTTCGTTCAGTCTGATGGGATCCTTGGTCATTAGCAACAGCCATCTTCACCCCTCTCGTCCTATTTGAAATCGCTGGACCGGATGAATTAAATGAGCGATTTTTAGGCTGAAGTCAAGGTTGCGTTGCAACAACGTCAGTTTTGATATCGGGTGTTCCTTGCCGTCATGTAGCTAAGTGAGGTTCTCCTTGTACGATGATCGATAGCAAGAATAGGTAAGTCTGAAGCTGGAATGCATACTGAAAGATATAGGTCAGGTACTATTCAAAATGGCTATGGCTTTGAATAATTGTTGGCAGTTAAGCTCCATGCCACTTTACTGCAGGACATGCTGTCAAACTGCGTCTTCGGCCAGGCCTGGAGCTATGTCTAGCTCACCTCATTGTAACAAGGAGTCCATTCTTGGTGAGTCATCAACGTAGTTCTGAGGGAGCCTCCCAAGCAAATACCTTCTCTTCAATCATGATATGATATAGTAGGTTCAAGATCTTATGGTGCATTGTGAGAGCCTTTGTTGCGTGAAATTTTAGTAGTCGCCGGTGTTCGAGCTTACTCCCAAACGACAATCCTGAGAGAACGGACACTTCTTGTAGGATGACCTGTCGAGGCCATGTCTTAGCAAGCCACGCCGCCAAGGTTTTTGACTGGATTGAGATATTTTCCACTCATAACAGACCTTAGGATGAGCCCTGTCTGATCGCGCCCTCTTTTTTATCCCAAGTTTCACGATACCATTGGTTCTTCCCCTTATTTCGCTCCTCCTCAAAATAACGCTGTGAGTGGGTCTGCGCAACTTTCAGTCTCTCAAATCAGTGACAGAGAGATGGCATAGACAAATCGCTCTTTGATCAAGTAATCGACTTACCCTAAACTGATGTTAGATGACACGCCATGACATGAGCATTTCGCTCCTGATCAAAAATAAAGTAAGTTGGGGCGTTTCACGTGGATTTAGCTTCAATGACACTGTGGGACTGATGTAGATCGAGAATATCCGCAATGCTAGGCTAAGAAGTGCGAATTCTTGAATTTAATTGCTATCCGAGTGAGGGTATCTTCCTGGCTTGGAGCAAGTTACCTATAGCTTCATGAATGGTTTCGGGAATAGACGGTCTTAGGTTTGCATCATCGAGCAGAACTACGTCAAGACTACGCACAATTAGGTGTAATAAATTGAGTGTATCACTGAAATACAAGAATGAGAAAGGCAGTGGCGCGGTGGTGAAATAATTAGATTCCACAACTCTTTCTGCCGTTCACGTACCCATCAGAAAAATTCTTTGACTCCCAATCACCCCATTTCTTCTAGTAGGATGTACTCTGGAATTCAATTCTTATATGCGGCATCCCTCTTGAGAGCCCTGGAAAGAGAGCCGAGTAGCTCCATCGAGAGACCTCGGTGACGCTGTCCAGGGCCCTTGAGAGGGGTTTACCGGGAGTCTTACGGTCGCCGACCAGGTCGTTAAGTTGCCCTTGTTGCTGAATGGCTCAGTGAGTAGTCCAACTGCTGCGTTGCGTGTTGGTTTGAACAGGTCAAACAGTCTCTAGAAATCAACGAATGGATGGCAACATGAGTCTGGTCGATATGTTTAACGGCTCTCCGATTTGTCCAAGACTAAGGTAGCTGACCAAGTACAGGAAAATCTGAAATTCATAAAAGCCATCTATAGGCCGACAGCCCTGTTCCACAAGATGCCAAAACATAGCCTTAAAGGTCCCTAGCTCGAAGCATGGAAGTAAAAGAGAACACAGCCCCTTTAAATCCTCTTCGTCGCCGTCCAGAATTGCGCAACTGTCCCTCCCATTAGTAAACGTCCTCATCACTCACAATGAAAACAACGGGGGACTTACCATAAGTAAACTTCAGCAACGTGTCCGGCTGATCAGCGTAAAGGCTGTTGACGCTCTTCCGCGATGAATGGTCTACATCGAACCCGATCAGATCGGCCAGATGAAGCACTTCCTCGGCAGAGAGCTGGAGAGCGGTATGGCTGCCATATTTCAGCGCTGTATACACGTCAGCTAGAGTTCGGCGGCGGACGGATGACAAGAAAAGGAGAGACGTCAGGATCCAAGGAACAAAGGGGTCACGGCATCGTCTTACGTCCAAGGTTGATCCAGGCACCACCAGGTTTCAGCAGCCGATGAATGTTGGTCAGAAAGTCAACCACGTTGTCGCCAATGTCGATGAAGAACAGTGTGACGACGGCATCAAACTGACCGTCTTGGGGGAAAACGTCCAAGAAGTCGCCCTCGACGAGTTTGACGGCCTTGTTTGGCCAGTGGTCCGGCACCGTCAGGGCCGAGTAGCGCGAGGAGGGGTTAGCCTGATGGGTCCATTTGGTCACAAAGGGATGCATAGTATGCTGGTGCAGCGAGCTGGTGTGGTTGGTAAGAAGATGGTAGGTCAAGATGGAGCTGAAGTCCAGGTCGTTGGCCGTCACATCGTACCCTGCGTCAATGTGTGAGCACTTGAGGCTACGCCTTCATCTCAAACGTGGAAGATGGACGCACCGAGATCAGCAATATCGCTTGCCAGCCTGCCCATACCGCTTCCAGGGACAAGCACCTTGTTCCCTTGCCCATTCCCGCCAAAATGTTGCTCGAGGCCAGCCAGAACGGGAGGGAAGACGGTCTGCCTCTCTTTTGTGCCCTGCGCGCTCCAGTCTCGCGACAGATGTGAAAATGCCAGGTCAACAAGACCGAATTCGGCGTTCTCTTCGTCCTCCAGCGCGCGCGGGCCGGTGTGGTAATACTCCCTCGCAATCTGCGCAATCTGTCCCGTGAGCCGGGCGTTCACATCGATCCCTTGCCTGGCCTTGTCAAAGTGTGCAGGATAGCCGAGCTTGTCGCCTATCGCCTTTTGGGCGGGCGTCTGCTTGGCATACCGCACATGCTTCCGCTGGAGCACTCGCTCGGCGAGGGACGGATACTGCTCAAAGGAGTTGATGGCGTGCGCCAGTCCATTGGGAAGCCTTTTCCCGCCTTGTGGTGCGCGCAGGGGTTTGGTGGGCTTGGCAGATGCTTCGACGGCTTCTTTGGAGATGGAAAGGGAAGGAGTGGCAAGGGGGGAGTTGAGCGCGACGTGAACGGCCTCGAAGCGCTCGGAGAGGTTAGAAAGAAAAATGGCGACGTCGGACAAGGAATTGGAGCCCCGGGTGGCGAGGTAGAGGGGGAAGACGATGAAGAGGAAGGGCGCGAGAAAGCGGGAGAGGGAGATTGAGGTGTACATCGTTGTGCTTGTGGCTTCAGTGTGTGGTTGTGTGTGTGAGAAGGATTGGTTCTTTCGTCTCAACTGTGAGAAGCAGGAAGTAGAGAGGTTCACGAGCGGATAAAAGTCATGATGAGTGGGAAGTGCTCCTCTACCCTTCAACATCTCGAGGGGCTGCAGGCACCGTAACGGCTGCGGCCGCTGTCTGGTCACGAGCGGTGGGGTCTGGACATCTGGATCAAACATTGTGGATAAATGACGATTCACCTTCACCATGATACCGAAGAAACTTGTCAAACTCAGATTTGCGTTAAGCTGCATTCAATACCAAAGGTGCGCCGATCCCACCCCCATGTTGTAAGGTTAAAAGCCTGGAAGAAAGATCGTCTTAGTCAAATACCTGGTAAGACGATGGGGGCACGGGCCAGCGCAAAGCCAAGTCTGACGAGTCTCTACTTACGGATACACTACAGCACTTTACTGACCAGGGAATATCGCAGTTCCACGTTCTTATTTAGAGTTCTGCCATGCCGCTGTGTCCCACTATAACTTGCGGGAACCTTCGGGTACATGGTGAGACCGCATGGATCGCTCTGGGCTCCAGCACATTCAGCCGCACGGCGGGCGGCCTGCCCGGCGAAACCCGGTGCGGAAGCCCATCCGGAGATTGGAATCCCGGACGGCTTCCGTCCGGGAAGTCCATGTCACGATGTAGAGAGATGACAGGCCACGTGCGACTCTCTGCCCAGCGCCCAACTTCTTCTTTTATACACCGCAGCCACCGCCAACGTAGCTGAGAGACTTTGACACATAAACCGTTACTTCATTATGTTGTAGTATAGCTAGCTACCTATGGAAGTACGTTTTATCCAACGTACTGGCTGTTGAGCCTGTCGTAACGATGAAGTTGCAATAGCGATTGAAGTAGATCTAGGCGGCGGCCGTTAAGCTGTCTAAATGCCTACTCTTTATTGGCTGAGACAGCGTTAAAGTGGGACACAGTCCACCTGGTAGAAGTTCTTATTTAATCCTGCAACAACCGCGACGACCGCGACATAATCATCTCTCTTCCGTGCCTGAATTTGTTCCTTCCCTAGCTGAATATACCTTCATGTTGCAATCATGGGTCGTACGATTTTCTTACTTTGCGTCCTTGCCGTCCTCTCGATCTTCCCGAGCCCGGGACAGGCAACAAAGTGCAGCAAACTACTTACACGCAAAGAATGGCGGACGTTGACGCATGGCGAGAAAGCTCAGTGGGTGGGAGCTGTGAAGTGTCTGGCGGGCATACGACACCAACGGCTCTCCTTTACGCCCGAACAGACGGTGCTTGAGGGGGTTAGGAGCCTGTACGACGACTTCTCCTACTCCCACGCAGTAGTGGAGCAGAGCGCGCATAGGAATGTCTACTTCTTGCCGTGGCGTGCGTTCCGTCCCTCGTTCCCTTCCCCACGCACTTGACTCTTTGAACTCACATGATAGCAGACCGCTGGTTCCTATACCTATTCGAGACGTCCCTCCGCCAGACCTGCGGGTACAGTGGTCCGACGCCATACTGGGACTGGTCGCGCGATCATGCCGACCTGGTCGGCTCGCCCGTGTTTGAAGAATCACCCGAGTACGGGCTGGGCGGCACGGGGGACTGCATATCCTCCCCCGAGGCCGACTGTATGGTCACCACGGGTGCTTTTGCCAGCTTCGAGCTCGCCTGGCCGATCCCGCACCCGCTGCGGAGGAACCTGACGCTCATCACCGGCTGGTTCGACCACGAGCTGCCTCAAAACAGCACCCTGGGCCCGGACATGGTACGTAACTTGACCGAGCAAAACACCGGCGACTTTTACAAGTTCCAGCACGCAATGGAGATGATGCACAACCACGTACACAACTTTGTCGGCGGCGACTTGGCGGGGGACTGCCCCAAGATCCTGCCGGAGGAGGATTGCCAGGACCTGGCCATCGGCTTCACGCCGAATGACCCGCTCTTCTGGCTTCACCATGCGCAGCTTGATCGGTTGTGGAGCAAGGTACGGAAAACGCCCCATATTCGATTCTCCATTCGCAGCAGCAGCAATAATGTGACTGACATGGCGTTGATGGGGTTTTGTAGTGGCAGCGCCACCGCCCGTCCAATTTTGCCGCCTTTTCCGGCATACCCCTACACCCAAACAATACGAATGACTCGAGCTACGACCTTGACGCCAACGCAGACCACAAGATGCTCTTTGACGTCCAGAGTGTGCCCGTGGCGCCGAGCATGGTGTTTGACACGGAGGCTTGGCCGCTGTGTTATCGGTATACGGATGAGGAGGAGTAAAGTTTGCCGGGCTGGACCGATGACTACCGCATATTTTTTGGAGCTCGCTTTGAGGTAGTAATGATAGGTCTGTGCGTGCTCGCTTACACAGAGGCGTAGAAAATGAACATGTGAATGAATGTCTAACACGCAAAGATGTGGAAAGAATTGATGGGCATTTGATCTATTGACAGGCATCCACATCTCATTCGAAGCGAACTTTTTACAGACTAGACTCTTTAATCCTCTCGAACATGTCAGGTGTCCATTTCTCATGTTGGCTCTCCATCCAATCGTGCACCTGTCTCCAGTCCCGGCAGGTATGCACAGCTTCTTCGCCCGCAGCGACCTTGTCACCGTTGGGCAGTAGCTTGTTTGTGCCGCCCGGCTCTATAGTTGTGTCGGCGGCGCAGAGAATGCCCTGCCGTAGATAATGGAAGCAGTGCGCCGTGTGATCCGACCCATCGTCCCCATTGACAAGCATGGCGCGAATGTGGTTCAGGCAGTGCATCTGGTGCCACATTGACACGCCAAATGCAAAGTGCTCCTCGCCTAGAAAGACGAAGCCCTTGCCAGGGGGCCGGATCGCGTTCCATTCGGCCATGGAAGCGAAGCCTTCCATCCCGTAGTAGTCGGGGTCGTCGTGGAATTTGGCTTGGATGGTGCGGACCTTGATGGGGAGCGCATGAGGCCGGTCACCTTCGAGGTAGGCTGCTGTGTGTTAGTCGTGGATGGGAGAAGACGCTGGCATGGAGATTTGACGCACTGTATGACTGCGACCCACGTGTCAAGATGTTGAGGGAGAAGAAAAAGGCCCCTAAATTCAAGACGAGGCATACGCTCAGCGCTGCGAGCAGGCCGAGCGAGGGGCCTCGAACCTGAGATTTGAGAGATTGAAGGAACATATTGACGTGCTGGCAGGGTTGGGCGTTGAGGTTGGCAAAAAAAAAGAATACGATTGTTGAAGCAGCACCAAGAGTGGGCGAGCAGTGTTTAACACGTTTGTGGCCGTATCCGCACGCTCTTGGTTGAGTGGGCGAGTCGTGATGGTCCCGAGGGGCAATACAGGAGAAAACGCAGTTGTCACGATGCTCTCCTCATCAGAGTCAGTCTTCAAGGAAATGGGTCAACAAGTGGAGAGCACAAGTGGGCAGACCGGGACCCCAGGGGGCCGGAGCCAGCGCAACTTGCGGTTCCACAAGAATTGCTTGATTCGAGACCAAAGCACGTTTCGTCGTCTAAATGGACTGCGGGATCCCGGTGGCAGAAGTAAAGGGACCGCAATATAATTTGCGGTTCGACAAGAACTGCTTCATTTGGTATTGTTGATTTGAGACGAAAGTAAGTTTGGTCATCCAGATGAACTTCGGCATGAGCGTGGAGGAGGAAAGGGACCGCTGGACAATTTACGGTTCCACATGAACTACTCCATTTGAGACGAAAATGAGTTTCGACGACTGGATGAACGGCCGCAGGACAATTTGTTCGCCGACCGCCCGGCCGAGCGAGTTGGATGAGGCCTGGCCGATAGAACGGACGTTTGGACATCGTGACCCCGTCCGGCGGGGGCGTCATGACTCCGTCCAAGAGGGCGTCACGCCGGCTTGCCATCTACACGCCCCAGACCCGCTGATGGGGATCTCCACCAGCCTCCTCCCCGTGACGATAGCTAGTCACGTCCGTTGCCTGGAACCTCACCATCGCGTCCACCTTGGACAGTTCAGAAAGCATGTTAGAGATAGGAACAGACTCAGACTGTATGAAGGACCCACGACTGCAGAATTGTCGCGAGTGTAATTACGGATCACTAATGCGCGCTTCGGATTGCCATACGGATTTACCTTCCACGAGTTCCTTTCCCTTCAGACTGGAAAATACATAAAAGCCCCCGAGACATGATCATGTTTGACAAGAAAAATCATCATCAACAACAACATCAGACTACCAAACACCTTCTTTACCAAACAATTTCTTCACCTCACCTATCCAAAGCGTCTACTTGCCACCAACCGCCAAAATGCATATCAACATCGCCATGCTCAGCCTTGCCAGCCTCGGCCTGAACACTGTCCAGGCCGCGGTTATCCCCGCCGCTGACGCCGCTCTCGCGGCGCGCCACATCTACTCTGTCGATCGCGATGAGACCGGTGTCGAGAAGCGCCACGTCTACGATGTCGACGATGATGAGACCCTCAACAAGCGTCATATCTACGGTGTCGACCGTGACGAGACTATTAGCAAGCGCCACGTCTACGACGTTGACGACGATGAGACCCTTAGCAAGCGTCACATCTACTCTGTCGACCGTGACGAGACCCTCAGCAAGCGTCACGTCTACGATGTTGACGATGATGAGACCCTCAGCAAGCGTCACGTCTATGATGTTGATGATGATGAGACCCTCAGCAAGCGTCACGTCTATGATGTTGACGATGACGAGACCCTCAGCAAGCGTCACGTCTATAATGTTGATGATGATGAGACCCTCAGCAAGCGCCACGTCTACGGTGTCGATCGTGACGAGACCGGTGTTGAGAAGCGTCACGTCTACGACGTTGACGATGATGAGACCCTCAACAAGCGCCACGTCTACGGTGTCGATCGTGATGAGTCCTCTTAGATGGATATGGGAGCGGTTGCAAGGAACAAGGGACAGTCAGGAGCGGCGTTGCGGCGACAGGGTTACGAATGGCATGATTTCATGGCTGGCTGACGAGAAGGGGAGATGTAGTGGGGGTGTACCAGCACTTTTACGAACTTCCAGTGATCCTAGCTAGGTCTTAGACGATGTTGTTCACGCCAATGTACATACATTCAATTGCACTCTATACGGAATTGCCTGGCCAACGGCGACAATGTGTTCCCCCCTGGTGATCGCCAACAACCCCAGAACTCTGAGGGCTTCTTTTTAAGCCTATTCTTTTCATAGCGTCCGTTGCATAAAGTAGCGCGGTACGTACAAACAAGCTTGAGCGTAGCGCGCGCGCGCGGAATCTCGATTAGTAACATTGTATGCACGGACGTGTATCGTATCTGGTCTTTCGCGGTCCGGGGAGCCTATTTTCTTTTTTTGCCACCTCAAAATAAAGTTTAAAGTTCGACTAGTCTCTTGGCCACTTAATCAGTTTGACTCGCTGCTCGATAACTTGCTTAACGTGATGCAGCTTAGTGGAAAAGGCGTGATCCATCTCCGCTTCGGCGTTTTTTTCTTTTTATGAGCAAGCGGCGCTCTCTTCCGCTGTTCTTACTTTAACGCTGCTTTAATAGCCTTTTTAAGACTCGGCGACTTTGATTGGGATCCGTACTAATATAGAGAGGAGCATGTATTTTGAGGACTAGCCTCAGCCGTATCCGATGCACTGTGTAGGTACGCACTTTTTTTTTTTTTTTAACGGTTTGTCTTTACATTTTGTCTTTACATTTTGTCTCCATATTTTGTCTTCACGTTTCGTCTTTACGTTTTGTCTTTTTTATTTTGCGGAAGAAAAAGACATTGATAAGGCTAGCTCACACAGTACATAAGTGCATTGGCGGCATATTGTTTATTTAGATAAGCTACAGAAGCAGCAAGCTGGATATTGGCTTCATTCTGGGCTTGCAGTGTGCCTTTACCTTGATTCGTTGTACGGTCATGTTATAACAGCTCCTCGGCCCATGTCTACAGGTACTCATCCGGCATTGGAATAAGCGTCTCATTGAAAGCCGCACACATGGCCGGATGCTCCTCAGGAAGAGCCTCTGTGTCAGTCATCCTGACGTCAGTGCACTATCAATTTACATCAGCCTCAGTTTCACGATACGTGCAAGCCGGGGCAAACTGACATGGTATTCCACTTTTCCCGTCGCCGGATCCTTGGCCTCAAAGTACATGACTCCCATCTCGTCGACCTTGGTCTGAAACGGTATCGTGACGTTGAGACACAGCTGTCCCGAAGGCTGTATGGGCACATCCTGAAGGATGACATGAGGGAAGTCGTCCCTCTTCTTTGGCACCCTGTTCCGGGTGTAGAGAGCTGTCACAAGGTCCCCAGGGTGTCCAGAGAAGGAGAGGAATGTGCGGGATACGCGGGCGTACGCTTGGGGGTTGTGCACAATCTCCCCTTTTCTGTGTTAGACTACGATGATGCTGGACCGGAGACAGGGTGGGGGGAAGGGGGGGGGAGAGATGGGACGTACGGCAAAACGGATTGAAGTCATCCAAGTCTGGGCGGGTCCAGAGGTTCGAACCGCGGGACGACCATGGGTACTGGACGTGGAAGCCGGCGTGCGCGGCGGACGTGAGGTCGATGCTCGTGCCGAGGGCAAGCAGGAATGTGACTACGGTAGGAACGCAAGGCATTGTGGATAGGTATCAAGGACAGGTCGGTGTAGATGCCACGTTGTATTCTGCGGAGCGCGAGGGTCAGACGATATATAGCTTGTGCTGAGGCAACTGTCAGGAGGAGCCCACACGGTCACCCCGGAATGGCAGATAAATTATGCTCACCATGCTTGCGGACCCGAGAGGTGGCGAAACCATGGGCGTGTTGCACTTCCACAGCAGAAGATCGTAATTTCTGGGCGCTCCTCGCTGACTAGCCTACACCACACGTTTCTTCCGTCTATTGAAGCAGAGTGAATCTTCTTTCCTCCTCCTTCTCTCCCCTCCTCCTCCCTCCTCTCTCCTTCTCTCTCTCTCTCCTCCACTTTCCTCCTCCCTCTACTCTTGTCTCCTCTTGTCTCCTCTTGTTTTCTCCGCTCTCTCGTCTTCTCTCTCGTCTCTCTCGTTCTCTCTCCTGTATCAAACTATCGCTATGTTCTCCAAATCAAAATCGGCCTCCCCCCAATATGTGCCCCTCACGCTACAAGACCATGGCGAGGGTTCCAGCACATCTCTGGAGAAGCGCGCCTCGTCCGAGGACGATGACGACCACTCTGCCCCCTTGCTGGAAGCCCCAGGAAACCTGCCCGCCCTCGCGCCATCCAAGCCCTGGCAGTTTCCCAAGCTCATTCTCTACTTCTCTTTTGCTCTAGCGCTGCTGTCGGCTGTAAACGTCGGTCTTCTTCCCGCTACACTGTCAAGCTACCGAGCCTCCCCTTTCTCCGAGTCGGAACTCAGTGCCCTCCCCTACGGCGACGCTAGGTTGGGATTGGACAGGGCAGCAAAGATGCTCCGCCCTCCCAAGGTTCATCTCCGCGCCTGGCCCGACAGGATTGCGCGGGTGAGCCGGAAGTTGAAGACCGCCGTGTGGGGTAACGGGTCGCAGGTCTATGTCACTGTCGAGGTGCGCATCTCCTACTTTTTGTCCCTTGTTCGTGGGCTTCCCGAAAAAGAGATAAAAAAAAAACTGACTGGGAGAAAAAGGACTCTACAATTATGCGCTTTCCCGTCCCTCCCAATGGCGTCAACGCCTGCGCCATCACCTGGCAGCCGCCTCCTGAACACTCTGCGCGTGTCAAGGATCTGACGACAAAGGGGGACATTTCGGAAATCGAAGTGTGGCAGCTTATCGCGCCATCCGTCACCTCTACACCGGCATCCGCCTCTAGCTTGGACGAGCTCGACTATGACACCCTGTCATACTCGGCCCTTCCCGTGCGCGGAGAGCTGCTCGGCGTGCTGGACCTCACTGCCCGGCCGAACAGCACGACAGTAGAGTTTGCCTGTCCCACCGGGACGAAAAGTCTGGTGGTGGAGATGAGGTGCCAGCGCGTGGCGTGTCATGTTAGCTTCATGCAGCTTGACTTGTTGCCGCGATTTGGGTTTGAGTTGGTGCGGCGGAGGGAGTGAGCGGGGCAGGCCGCAGAATGGCAACGGCCGTCCGTGGCGGGGCAGCGGCAGCGGCGTGGTGCACGTGTGCTGGAGGGGGGTCGGAGTGGTCGGAGGGGTATACCTAAATGGAGGCGCCAAGGCGGGTCCCCCAGGTCTCTCCTCGCGCTACGGATACAAGACGTTCGCTTCCCCCCCCAGCCCAGACTACAATAGAATCCACCTCACCTCACGCTTCAACTCATTACCCTCTTACTACACCGAGTCAAGTACAATCATCCTTGCTGTCTGGTATTTTACTCCATAGCAAACTACTCAGCTGTTACCAGACATCATGTCCACTCAATTTGACGCCGACGCCATCGCCCGTGTCTCCTTACACGATCCCAACCACTTCAATGTCCAGCGCACCCAGACCCTTCACCGCCTGGCGCTCCTCCAACACTGGAATATTGCTGCTGGCTCCAAGGTCCTGGAACTAGGATGCGGACAGGGGGATTGCACGACCGTTCTTGCCTCTGCCGTGGGCGAGGACGGGACTGTGGTCGCCGTGGATCCGGCCGCGTTGGATTATGGTGAGATATTCCCGCGTTTTCCTGATACTCAATCTGTACCCAAGGTGGGTAGCCTCGACGAGCAGCCGACTGATGGCTTCTGCAGGTGCCCCGTACACCCTCGGCCAAGCACAGCAACACATCTCGCAGGGCTCGCTGGGCGGCCGCATCACTTGGGTCCAACAAGGGCCCCAGGACTATCTCGCCGCCCTCCCTTCTGCCGCTTCACCCGACGAGACCAAGGCCTTTGACGCAACAGTGCTCGCCCACTGCCTCTGGTACTTTGCCTCACCCTCGCTCATTCTCTCCACCTTTCGTGCCATCAGGCAGCACAGCAAGCGTCTCCTCCTCGCCGAATGGTCGTTGGAAGCGACGGTCCGCTCGGCCCGGCCTCACGTACTAGCTGCCCTCACGCAGGCCGCGCTAGAGTGCCGCAAAAACGAGGGCAGCATATCCAACGTCCGCACCGTGCTGGGACCCAAGCGGCTTACCGAGCTGGCCCTGGCTGCCGGTTGGCAGCTGAAGAGCGAGACCCGCGTGCAATGCGGGGAGGGGTTGCAGGACGGACAGTGGGAGGTCGCTGCTTGTGTGGGACGCGGTTTCGAAAAGGAGGTGGACGAGTATGTCAAGGATGAGAGGGAACGCGCCGTGGTTCTTGCGTTGCGGGATGCCTGTGAGGCGAGTTTGGACGGTGTGCCAGGGGGTCGGAAAGGAGTTAGCGCCATGGACGTTTGGGTCGCCGGCTTCGTCTGATCGGGTGAAGTGATTAAGTCCCCGGGAAAAGAAGAAAGGCAGAAAAGTCTTGTTGTTGTTTAGGTTGTCCGAGTCAAGGAACCCCCAAGGGTCACGGCATTTCACAAGATACGCGCAATGCTGATCACTTCCTAAACACCTGTTGTACGGATACTCCCCCCCCCCCCCCCCCCCCCCCTCCAACCCGCCGCACACCCGCCCCCACGCTACCCACCCCCCCCCCCCCCCCCCCCCCCCCCCCGCCCCCCCCCCCCCCCCCGCCCCCCCCCCCCCCCCCCCCCTCCTCTCCCCGCCCCCCCCCCCCCCCCCCCCCCTTGAAACTCCAGGCGCGGTTAAACGCACGCGATTCTCAGCCCCCACGTCTCCGGTTGCCCACTTTTGAGGCTTTCGTGATCCTATCTCCATAAACTTCAAATAACTCTTTTACATGCCTCATGAGTCGACTGTTGCCACAATCGCCATCTCTAACGGAAGCTGTCCGGCCGGGATCCTCATTTCACTCCAGCCCCTCTGCATCTTGCATACCTAGTGTAATGCTGAGCAGTGTTCATGCTGCCGGCCGGTGATAGTCGAGTGCCTGCCGCGCTGCCACCTGCGGCCCACTTCCGGCTTCTAGGCCTCACTTGGAGGCTCCTCTTGTCGGCAGCAGTATCCGTAGGCCATGTTGACCACATGCATTATCTAGCAATGACCTCCTCTGTGCCCCTCTCCCCCACCCCGTCCCCCACCACATCATTGCTTAGCACTCCCCACCTCCGTTACTGAATCAATAGAATCATGTGAGAATCCCGGTACCAATATACATGATGACAGACTGGCAAAGATCTGGGCTAGCGGTTAGGATTCGGGCTCGGGTTAGTCTTGAATGAGTGGGGGCGTGGGGAGTATAAAATGTCTGTTTTTTGAGAAGAAGTTAAAATATCAAGATAGAAACAGGCCTGTACGGATATCAAGATGGGGATATAACAAAATGATGATATACGTATTGGGTTTAGTGTGAGCGGGTAGTAGGCCGCGATGTGGGTGGGGCGGGGGTGGTAGTAGTTGAGGCGTAGACTGACCAATTCCTGCTCACTGTTCGTTCCACATCCATCCTGGCCAGTAACCCTACCCATTTCGTTAAGAGGATCTATAGGATCGCGTCCTAGCGTGTGCGGAACTGTCGGGTCAACAGGGGTACCGCTGAAGACGATAGGAACCGGCCGCTTGGCGGATGAGCACCAATTGGGAACCTCCGCCCCATAAAACAACCCACCAGGTGAGAATTAGAAAGCTAGCTCGACTCAATCCTACCGTTATACTCCGTACATACCAACCAAACGGACCCCAACTGTGCGGCCGATTTGCCCATCCCAATTTTACGTCGTTATATGACTCGGATGATTAGTTGCGCTTATCTCATCTTGACGTAGGTCCCGCCCGTTGAGGTGGGTTTGGCTATAAATCTCGCAAACGTGGAGTTGGCCGTTGAGAGAGTTTAGGACGGCCCGCAGTAATAGCCAGGGGCTTTAATCATGAATCTTGAACAATGTACGGATAGAACGGCCGAGGCTTTTGCAAGGGCGGAAGATACGACTCGTGCAGTACCGACCCGTTTGTCGGTAACTCACAAGAAATGTCGGACCCGAACCGACGACCCCAAGCGGAAGACGCTATTTTGGGAGTTTGGTCATCAGGATGCTCAAGCAGATGCTGGCGCTGCTTTTAGCAATGGCAGAGGTACGTGTAGCGCTCGTGGTGCTTGTGGTGCTAGCGAACCTAAGAATGCCCTCAGCAGCGCCGGGCCATTGGCGGGCAATTTTGATGAATGTATCGATGAGAGGAAGTGCTTTCCAACTTCATTCAATCAAATTCCGCAATTTATTTGACAGGCCATGACGATTTCATCAATACATCATATACATGTGGCTCCAGCTCTCAAGGGAGGAAAGGATATAGAGCCGTGTTTTCAATCTTCCTGGTGGGCAACGGAGTTTATGTCTCCCAAGTATGGCTCCAAAACAAGGGCAAAGTAGTCGGTTCTGAGACCAGTCGTCAGAGTCCGTAAAGGTTTTTTTAAAAAAA